TCACAGATCCTTGATTCCACTGATGAATTGGCAACAGAGTGGCAGTCTAAAGACTCAAATCCAGTTGCTTTAGAGTTCGTGGTTAAAAAAGGATCCTTGAAGAACAATAATAGTATGCCGTATGCTGTTAAAATGCTAAAGTGAAAGAGTAATTCTCCTTTCTCTTGATGATGTGAGCAGTTATAGTGAACTGGATACATAACGAGTGTATCAAAAATGATTCAATTGACCCCAAGTCGTCTATTGGCACGTTCTATAAGAGTCTATAATAGAACGTGCAATTTTTCTCAACTGCGGTTTAGCGTGTCACTTGACAGAATACGGCGTCACGGGATAATCAAAGTGCTGGAACCCATGGGAAATAGTAACCCTCAATTGGGCGTCTGTATATTCATGCGAGTGAGCGCCCCATATAGTTTGGCATAGCAGCAGCAGCAGCAGAGTTGGAAGGTCTAGTGTATAAAGAGAGGGAGGAGAGTTATTACACAATCCCCTCTTCAACACGCGTAACGCCGCAAGGGTAGTTGAGTGGTTGATGTCAAACTGAAGTCAATCGTTGAAAAATGACCACGTAGATGCTTTTCCATGTATGCCCAACAGCTATTTTTGCCAATTATTCTTGATGTATCTAGCACAATTGTAATTCTAGATATTTAGCACGATTAAATTTCATTTGAATGCACGCATGAGAGGTATTTCCGCTCTATAGTCAATAATCCAGTGGTTTATCTACTACCTCTCTAGTCATATATGGCGACGACTGCAGGAGATACACTCAGATTATTGGCGACGATGAAGGTGAGCGTTCAAAGCCCCAGGCTCTAGTCCCAGCCCATGCATACCAATTGTCCACCACCTAACGCCGGTTAACCGCAACCAGTCGAGCCTCTGCTAATCAGAAAATCACAGTCCACAGTAACCCCAACGGAGTGAGAGTCTAGTGCATGACTAGATCGGCTTTTAAATTAAACCTATATCTGTAGATTTATTTTTTAACAGGATTTTTCTACATACACATCTATCAACTACATTGCATTTTGCTTCTTTCCAGCTTAACATTGCATGTTTAATTAATAACATGTTCATCAGCTGAATATCTCATTAATTTGATCCAACAACAGAAAATGATTATTAAATAATCAATGATGGATTATCTAACGATTAAAATTATCGACAATCTGATATATTAACTTATATTACCTCAAGATATTTTTGCTACTTTGGATTAAATATCACATGACACTCTCACTTACTTTATCTTTCATTTGCCACGTCAATCACTTCTAGTTCTACATAAATTCAACAACAACTTGCAGGTGTTGCACGAACACTTGAGCTTTCTGATTTTACCCTGATACTTATAATAAGTTATCTCTAATACTAGTCTTCCTAACCCATCGAAATACTCTTTTTTAGCATGCAACACTCTTTTTTAAACTGGATTCAACATGTCTAAATTAAGTAAAAAAATCGTTAAAAATGGCAAATTTTTTATTTTGAAAGTCTCACGTCTTAAATATGAATATAATGAAGGACTAAGAGTACTCAAGTGGTTCCTTGTGCTCGGGAAGAGGGTGAAGCTCTCACGAACGTTAACTGAAATGGAGCAGTTACACTGGGCAAGTCAAGGGTCCAAGTATTCGACTTGAAAAATTGACAAATGCCACAATAGGTCCTTAGTGACTTTAATACATTTATAACCACTTGCAATTGTTTTCAAGTGATCAAGGGAAACGAATCTGATACAAGGGTGTGTTGGCCAGCCAAGGGGACTCCATTTGGCTTTGGTCGGTGTATACATGTACAAGTATCGTGGGGAAAGGATATATATTAATGATTGCAGTGAATTGTGCTGCGAAATGCGCAGTCGAGTACTCTTGAGACGTGTATTCTTTTATGTTAAAGATTGTCTCATGAATTTTTTATATCGATTTTATAAGATCACATTGATTTTTACTGCTCTTAATGCAGTCCACCCTATGAAAGCCAAGTAAAAAGGTTGTGTCAAGCTTCCATAGACTTGAAAGAATCAACTATTTGTTCGCTTATCCCTCTCAACTTTCTTACTCTACTGTTCTAAAAGTCTAAAATCCAATTTACTCGAGATAAAGTCTGCTATTTTATTCTTTACTTGTTTCTTGAAAATTTTTTATCGTTTTATTTTATTTGTATTATTGTCTTGACTCTCTCAAGTTTTCTTGAGTAAACGGTAGAAATTTAATGGAATTTCTCGATTTAAAAATGGAACTTGCAGTGGAATAGTTTGTCAAAGATGACCTCCACTCTCTTCACTGACATTAATGAAGACCCAAGGAAAAAAAAAACCACGTGAAAAGACCGAAGAAAGTTTCCGGCGGATCCGGAATCAGGCAAGTTTTACCGTATTCGCGTATCCGGAGTCATAAATAACGCTTTCTCCCTCACAGAGACGCGCCCTCAAGACGTTTCCATTGGCCAAGTCGAAGCTCAACGACGAATAAAATTTGCAAATGTTATTTTTTAACTCACAAACTCTAATGTTTGCTTTGGAATTTAAATGTAGATGAATTATTTTTATAAACAACATAAATGTTTAATAATTATCAAAGTCATTCCTATTTTGATATTAATCAACATTCATCTAGATATTTAAATGTTCAATTATACCTTTTAAATCAGTCCAACATATATTCATTGCAATTTTTAGCTATAAATCATCTAAATGGAGTCCAAAAACTCAATAAAACTTGTGAAATAAAATGTGAAAATATTTTAACGTTTAATTAACAATCATTTTATCAGTTAATGGCTATTGAAAAACATTAATGCACTAGAAAAAAATAAAATAAAATAGCAGAGTTTTCAGCTGGACTACTTTACCAGAACCCTCACATCTTAATTCTCGACAGACGCGTGACGATGGAATCCGATAAAGATAATCCTTATTTTAGCGGGAGATGCCATCTAATTCACGGAAATGTAAAGAGTATAAAAGTTATAACATAAAATCACAATTATTCTCTTGACGTCATGAAACGTTATAATCCATAGCAGCTTCGTCCACACATTTCGTCACGGATTCTTTGTTATAGAAGACGTTTTTATGGATTATTGATGATCGAGGCGTTCTGCTATTTCGTTCGACCCTTCCGATTTCACTCCGTCCACCCACGTCCAGCATAATAACATAATTACGAACGTGTTGACAAATTGAATTGATTCCAATGTATTCTTTTCAGAGATTCCAAACCCTAATGCCTCGTTATAAATATTTCATACTCTTATACCACTAGAATAGTCTCTGTGTGGTAAATCATTAGAGAATTTTTTCAATACTAAAATAAGATCATCTTTCATCAATCAGTATCAAATTCGTTTTGCTTTTCCTATCAGGAACAATCGTTTGTCTATTAATATTGATATTCACTGTTATAAATTATCACAACACTTATTTACACGTCATGTCGGTAATAAATCAACAGTAATAATAAATAAAAATCATCTAATCATATGAGAATAAATTATGAATATAAAATGCATTCAATAGATTTTTTATTTCCTCTATTTAAAGAATAAATAGTGTAATAAATTTATCAGAAACATTTGTTGTATGTTTATTCATCGAATAATTTAATAATTTATCATGCAAACTGTAAAGATATATTTGTAAACAAAATAGTTATTAATAAATCTTTTATTAAATGATTAAATAATAAAGGAATATTTAAAAAATTGTAACTACATTTAATGAAATAATTAAAATAGTCAATGCATTAATTTTATCGTTATTTTTAATTTTTTAATAGTTTCTTATTACGTTTACATAATGAATGAATTTTAATTAACAAGTAAAAAAGCTCTTTAAATAACAGCAATGTAGTTAAGAATATTAAGTACAACTAAACAAGTGTATCTATGAATTGCAAATGTTATTTATTTTTTTTTTTTTTAACAACAGTTACAATTAAAATTACTGCGACAAATGATTGGTGGGAAATAATTGTAAAGTATAGTAATCATAGATATAATAGTTGTGGATGCTAAATTCACTGTATCCAAGTGGTATAGATTTGGACAAACTATTTTCGCGTCGGCTCGACGAATCCGATCGTATTTTCATCGACGCCAAATTGGCAATATCCTCGCCAGTGACGATTCTTGAATTATGCATTACCCAGGAGGCCAGTCGCTTCAAAGTTTATCCGTCCCGCTCATTTCCATCGAGCCAACCCATCTAGGATTCCCCTTCCCCCTGGATTATTCTCGTGCCGGAATGGAAACGTCACTTACGTTCGCGAACGATCACGCGGATGAAAATATCGCGAGTAGGAGGAGCTGCTTGAACCAATCGAATTACTTTAAATCATCGAATGGTATTTAAGTGTTAAAAAATATATTTATGTTCAATATTTACTTGGTATTAATATTTTTCACTTAAATTGTAAATATGTACATTGAAGTGTTAGTAGAAGAAAACACTTGGGGAAAAAAGATACATAGAATCTTGATTAAAGTAAAAAAACGTGATGACAGGGCGTTAATGCTCCTCAGCCAAGGATAATCATGTTATTTATGACGTCCAACTGTATACGGTTGGGTCAGGGAAATGAAAAAGCCAAGTTGGACAATGCCCAAGTCGAGGAAAAAAAATGCCAAGGGTGTACACATTAACTCTCCACTCAGTAATAAAATGATAACAAGATCCACAATATTTAGTTTTTCTCTCATTTGTATATAATTTTTTTCAATAAACTTGAGGTCACTGACGCTGATGAACCTATTATCTCTTACTTGATAAATTTTTTTATTTTTTCTTCTATATAAAACATACATGAATATAATTATATTTTTTTAATGATTGAATGTTTATGTGATTATAAAAGTATCATTTTTAATGAATATTAAAACAAAATATTTTCATATTACAAAATAATATTTACTGAATAAAAATAGATTTATAAATGACAATTGGGACATTGACTTATTTTATAAAAAAGAAATTTTCGTTTTAGTAATAATAATTTATTTGATTCTTTTTATTGAATAGTAATTATTTATTTCGAAAACTACACAATAATTCTCGTCTGACAAGAGGAATTCGACTCTGGATTTCCGGAGGACATGGACAATCACCTGGAGGTAATTTTCGAGGTGGCGCACATGGACAAAGAACTATTGGTTGTGAAGGTGGTTTTGGCAACAATCTGGATTGTAAAATTGCTTCATTTTCTTTTTTTATTCTCTCTAATTCTTTGGGTATTTGTATTGTCGGACAAGGTGTTGGTTTTTTAAATTTCAGTAAAGGGCATTTTACAGTGGTATAATCAATTTTTTCATTTACTGGAGGTGTTATTCCTCTAGGAATCTCTTTTTCTTTATTCTTTATCTCTAAGCATTTAACTTTATCTAAATTACAACCCACTTTTGGCTTTTGTGGACATTCTGGTATATTACACGGTTTTTTTTCGCAAACTTCATGAACAGTTTTACACTTAGAAAAAGTTGATGAAGAAGAATCACTATAATTACGGTCTGATAAGAAATGAACAAATATAGTATTATGCTCGTGTAAATAGTATGATGGAAAATTTTTGTCTAATTTAGATTGTATTTGTTTTATTATATTCATACTGATAATTTTGCAGATAATCCGATATTAATATAAGATGATTAACCTATCATTGAAGAAGAAAAAAAAACAAATGAAATAGTTTCGTGAAAAAATGACAAAAAATTCTTTACTAATTACATATTTGAATAGTAAACTAGAAAATTGTTTTTTGATCTTTAAATGCCATCTTTGAGGAAGAAATTTTGTTAACGGTATCGATAAAGAAGAAAATATTCATATTTAACCGATAACAGATAAATATAAAAAAATTCTTTCTATTCAACATATGATAAATTGACAAAAAAAATTCTTACGACTTCTTTATTATCGACAGTCGGTTGGTACAAAAATTATTTAAAAATTGAATACTCCATAACAAGTAATTATAAATTATTCCTTCTTATTTTATTCCAAATATTCTTTTTTTTTTCTAATTTTTATATAATGAGAATAAAATATAACATTGCAATATCAACTGCAATAATTCCTGTTGAGCTCATTTGTTATGTTAATTCATATAAGACAAAAATTTTCCATCCAATAAAATCAATAAACTATAAAGAACATAAATAAATTAACATTACACTCACATTATCACAAAGATATTAATTATTCTTCTAATATCCTTCATCAGACCATGTAATGCTATAATCTGGATACTTCTTCTCTAGTAGACCCACGGAAACTTTATGATCAGCTTTGCCGAATCCCTATAAAGTAATAAACACGCATGGAACATTGAATTGAGAAAAAAAATAAGATAGACTACTCACTTGAGAGTACCCATAGACCTTAATGGTTTTTTTCTCTGCATTATGATCAATTCTTCCACCTCCAAGGCATTCAGTATCAATACCTGGTCCATATTTCTTCAGCTCATTTCCAATTTCATCATAGATATCAGCTAAAAATAAAAATATAAATAAATCATATTATTTATTATTATAATAAATTTCAAATAAAAATAGAGATAATATACATTTATTATCATCTAACGATTATTCATGTTGTTGAAATTCAGGATAATTGTTGGGTCTGCGGTTTCCCCTAAATATATGTTATCTTTTTACTATTCTCCTAAGTTACACATGGAGTATATACACGTGAGAGGGTGAGATATCGTAAAAACTGACTTGAAATAATGAGAAATAATGATACTTTTTAACGTACTAACGCAAAATTTTTTACTCTAAAAATTGAGCTTTAAGAAAAGTCTGAGTATTTTTTACTCACATAACTTGCAATTAATTATGCTGGAAACTTTCTAATGAACATCTATGACTGCTCGCACAGAAAAAAAAATCAATTATAAATTGAAAGAAATTAACTGAAAGGAGGACAAGGTCAGTTTCGTTATATACAAAGACTTTCATTTGTGATATTTAATGTTTTTTTTTTTTTAATTATCAACGGGCCGTATGATCGAAGCATATGTTTGCATACATATACATAAATATAACTCTTTGTCCCACTACTTGTCGAGTCATCACATTTATACCAGTGCTCAGTGCTTCACGCTAGAATAGTTATGATACCTGTGCTTTATTAAATGTCCTCCAACTAGTTGATTTTGTTTATATTTGAATTAATAGGTAATTTGCACCAACTAAATGCATTTATCAGCGATAAATCTATTCAACCAAAATCACGAATGGTTATCGATAAATAACCTCATTGATACAATAAACTTCTAGTCAACTATACTGTTATAATTCCACTCAATCACCAAATACATTGATCAAAGAAATTCTGCCTTGACGTTTCGGAAAATATTTTTTTTTGGTTAAACTAAATAACCTGGATATTTTATGAAATGTCAAGGTTAGAAACAAACCATACTAAAAAAGATAAAAAAAAAATTCCGAACTAGAAATGCAAGCTTTGGAGCTTAACTAGAAAATAAATTACAATTTTTTTTAAAAAATTACAACTAGAAAAATATCAAAGCACATATATTGGTTTTTTTTCTCTGGTAATTGAACTGTGTTGTAAATAATGGAAAAGAGTTGATTGCAATATTTAATATGTTTCAAAGTATTTATCCTCGACCGTTGTCTAGCTAACACTGACAATCGATGGAGGAAATAATATGAATAGACTTAATTATCTAATATCTATCTAGAAAATAATAATACTAAAACAGATAAAATATTCATAAGTTTTATTTATTTATGTCTCACGAATCCATCATATTAATGATAGTAATAGACTAGCAGAGTATTTGATAAAACAGTTTGTTAAAAATACTTTGATGAGAAACTCGATCAAGAACTAAACATTGATAGCAGAATGTTCCAATCAAAAATACACTTAAATAAAGAGTTTCGAATTTAAAAAAATTATTTATAAGAATATTACAGTAACAGTTATAATCGGAAGTTACTAAGGGTTTTGAACTAAAAAAGTATATTGAGCTGTTATTGTTATTAATTTGTAACGGATCTTCTTTTGATGTATCTGAGGATCTTATTTGTTGTGTCTTCAATTCTTTCCCTGCAAACACAACAGTAATCAAGACTGTTGTTGGGCTGTTCTTTTGATCTGTCGTAGCAGCCAAATGTTTCTTTGGAAATAGGATTATTTGATTGGAGCATTCTCATTTTTATCAATTATTTCAAACTGATAAAGTGAAAGTCAATTAATCCAATCATCAGAATACACTAAATTAGCAGTTATAAGGGAACTAGGGTAGTTGTTTTAATGAAAATAAAACACACAGATATGAATTGAATTATTTCTATATCAAATAAAATATTAGCTGTTACATAAAGAAATAAAAGTAATAATAATTAATGATCTAAATTTTAATAAAAAAATTTTATGCGTTGAATTATTTGGAGGAGTTGGATATTCTAATATTGTTAACATATTTCAGGGCAAGCTTCTTTCCTTTTTATAGATTTAGTTTTCAACTTATTCAATTTTTTCCTAATAACGCAGTTCGAATATCGAGCAATTTTATTATTCATGAAAAATAATATTGCACCTTGTTGAGCTCTCGAGACATTTATAATGCTTTTAAAGACTTCTCGTTGGTTAAAAAATAGAAGAATAATTGAAAGTAAAAAGTACAAAAAACCGGAAGAGCACTACCGGCAGTTAGAAAATTACCAGAAATCGATGAACGTTCTCACAGCGGGTAGTAAAAGCACCAACGAAGTAGCTAAGTGCAAACCATCGTCAAACCGATAATATAAGGTTTGCTGTCTAATATAAATTACAGCCAATTTCCGTAAAACAAGTGAAAACAATCAAATAGTAACTCGCCAAGGACGGATAGAATGTTTTTATTTGTAATATGCGGAAATAATAACACAATCTTGTCTATTTAATCATGATTATCTCGAAAGAATGGTCTGATAATTAAAGAGATGAAAAAATATGACAATATCTCAGCTGAAAATACATTAAGCTCTGCTCATTTTTACTTCATCGGAAAAACCTACCCTAACACTACATGTAGACCAATTTTTTTTTCGTTATGTATGAAATTTTAGATAAAATATTATTCATAGAGATAAAAAATGTAGAAAAAAAAATTTATTTTTATTCAACTTGTTAGTTTATTTACTATAGAAAATTATTAATATTAATTAAAATGTGTTTATGAATAAAAAAAAATTTTATCCAACACAAAATCTTTGTAAAATCAAATTAAAAAACTTGGTGTGAATTTAATTTACTCGCTATCATTCGATTATCATAAAGCTATCCATTAGATAAATAATAATATGGAGGTACATAAATCATCTTCGAGTATAAATATAAATTCTAAATATCAATGGTTAAGATTATAATGAATAAAAACTTTTGTTTATGAATTTTAGATTTAATTATCTTCCTGAAAAAGTATATGTAAATGAATAGCGGATTGTTGGCTTTCTCTTTCAACATTTTTCGCTGTCATTTCAAATATCTTCTTAAACTGAACTTTGACCTTCATATTCATGTACAATAAAGATCACTAGAAACATATCTTTATTAAAAATATCGTTTATAAAAGGTTTTTCAAACATAACAATTTTTCATATATAAATATTTTAAAAAGAATGCTTTTATGATTTTCATAAATTAAAAAGTATCTTTTGAATTTTAATTTCAATTTACTCATTTTTTCTCACTAAATAAACCTTCATAAAGTTAATAAATGATTTACTTTACTGATATGTATTGATCGTGATTTAATTTCCGTTTGAATGTCACATTTATTTCTAATTATTTTATCGGATGTTTAAAGTGTTTTTGTAGCAAAAAATCGAACATACAAATGCTATGATTGGTAGAATTAAATATAAAATTTAAACTATGTAAAATATTTTCAAACGTGAGTACCAATTCAATTAACTTCAATTAAATGTAATGAGTGTAATAGAATATAATCAACAGAATTAATTAATAAAATTTAAAATTCAATGGAGTACAAGAGCCCAACACTTTACCAATTTTCATCAAATGAATTTAAAACCTTTTTTTCAAATAAATTGATTATCTTAGTATAAATTTTATAAATTATAAATAAGAAAAATAGTCATGTTTATTTATAATGACAATATTTACAAATAGCTAAAAGCTTTGATAAAATCATTGATCAAGGCCACCCCTTAGACGTTGCCTAATCATTGTTGAAGTTGAGTGACCTTCCAGAAGGTTCAACATCTCACGTCAAAGAAAAATTTGAATAAATTTTTTTATGATGAAAAAGCTTATAAAATAGGTTGATTTATTATTTAAAAACTAAAAATGATTAACATTATACTATAAAACCCACGTTCTATAAAATAAATAAAGTTTGTTTGAATATATATTTATAGACTAAGATCAATTAAATATGATTAATTGAAATATTATATCAACATTTATAATGAAGTATTTTTTTTGAGTTATAGAACTCTGGTAAATATATTTTGTTCTAAATGACAAAAGTATTTCTTTTATTATCTTGAGTTGGTTTCTTCATATAATTCTTCTATTGATAAAAGGGTCATCGAACGATGAGACCTTTATGAGACAAACAGCCAGGGTGTTTAAATAGATATCACCTCAATGATGTAGACAGGGTTTTTTGATAAATATTCGTTCACTTTGGATGATCGGTGCAATTAATAAATAAAATAGCAGCTAATGATGCCCGGAAGCGAAGTATATATCTTCATTGAACAGTTCTATTCTGACAAGTATCAAAGTCGACGGAGTATAGTGGTGAAAAATGATCATGCTGCTCCAAATACTCTTCAAGTTGTAAAATCTAAATGTGGATAATAGGAGGAGATGGAGGCAGCTAAATTAGAGGTCGTTGAAGACAGAATAAAAAAACCGAAAAAACAAATATCATCTCATCGTAGACTGGTAAAACTGGATCAACTCTGAAATGATCCAACCTACCTGATGGAGCAGATAAAAAATGTGATAGTCTATATCGTCATTGAAGCGCAAATAATCTCTATGATAATCCACTTGCTGAGAGCTCTTGAGACAAGCAAAAACTGTCCAGACGTATTTGGTTCTTTCCAAATCGATTAAGGTTAGTGATCTCTAAAATTACAAGTAACCTCTACTTCAAGCTGGACATTCCTACACAACAACTTTCAATATAGGATAAAGAAAACAATTCTACATGGACTAGTGAATTTAAATAAATTTTCCTATGTTTATTTCTCCATGTGTAAAAAGTGAAAAATGTTTTCCTTTATTTCAATGAATTTCTGCTCAAAAATAAATGGTCAATTTCAATCAAGATATTTTTCTCTCATCTAATTAATTTCAAGGCAAGTTGATGTTTAACATTTTTCAAGAGCAAGATTACATTAATTAAGATTATATTAAAGCTAACCAGAGATAGTTGTTTGTGGTTGATAAATCAATTGATTATTCAAAGCTTGGTTATTTTGTAACCAACTCAAGTGTTTAACAATATCAAAGCAATTCATTTTGGTAGAAAGAGATATTATTTGAATGGAAATTCATATGCCGTGAGCAACAAAAGCATCAGAAACGTAAATCACTCAGAGATATTGATACAGTTATACTTAGCTATTATAACAAATGCTACAAGTTATTTATCTACTTTAAAATCGTTAGCTATTGTTTTAGAATATCAATGATATGCTGATAATTAGAAATTTTCATTTATATTAGACGTCTTTGCCAAATTTCACAATTATTGATAGAATATTAATTTGTAAATAAATTTACAAAAATTATTTTATAAAAAACTAAATAATTTCCAGTGGAACAATGTTGTTTTAAGTATTTTTATTCACTTGACTGTTCATACAGTTTATTTAAAATTCACTTTTTCATGTTAAAAAATTTCTGAAGTTGTGTCACTTGGTTTAGCATTGGCAATCAATATCTGGATGCATATAAAAACTAATGAACCCCGTCACAAACACTCCATCATTTGCTTTTAATTAAATTGATCATAAATTAGAGAATTGATTTAAAGTTACTTGTACCATGTAAAAGAAGTTTATCCACTTCTCTTTGATACTTGCAATGGCTCTAGGGTTTGTTGGTTTAAAGTAAACACGAGCTACAAGTTATTATGATTACAGTAACTGCAATACTGTATTACTGTAAATAAAAAAAAAAAAAAGGTATTGTACTTTAACAATTTTTCAAAATTTTTGATTGAAAGAATTTCTTTCAATCCAATATCACTGTTAAATAACGGAAGTGTAATTGAAATAGATCTCAACTAATATTTCTAACTTTTTCATTTTCAAACAATCAACAAAATAAAAAAGGATAAAATGACCATTGAAAATTAAAGAGGGATTATTCTCCAGGGAATTTCATCAACAATCAGCCTCATTAATGTAGGATCCACTATAATTACTGATTAGCGTGTTTGAGTCGATAGGGGAATTCCAACAAACTTTATCAACATCGAAAACATGACGTATAAAGTTAGAGTGTTTCATGATGTTCAGGTCACAATGAAAATTATCAAAGTATATTATCCAACATGTTTTTGATGTTACATCAAACAACAAACTCTCTAAACAATTTACATACAGTAAAAGGATAATTAATTTGTAAATATTTAGATAAATGAATAGTCGAGTTTGAATGATTTCTCTTGAAAAATACATACAGAGATGATTCAAACAAAAATTTAACGTTTGATTAAGGAAAACTAAATATCATCGTTTGACATTTATCTATTTATCGATTGAATTTTATTGTTACGTGTTAATTTTAAAAATCCTCTGATAGAATTCACCTCTTGATTATCGATATGAGAGTGAACTTAACTAGTCAATCATCGAGCACCAAAAATAGATTGGCTCATGACCATCATCAACAAGCAGATTTCGCTAGGATATTTTTAATTAGTGATAAAAATATATAAAATATTTATATAACCATCCCTCATACGTATCTCTTCTCAATTATTTCAAACGAAAATCTTCTTCTTTAAGACCACACTAGACTTTCATGACTACATCCACTCATCACTTGCTTTTAATATTTACATAATTTATTTCTTCTTTAGACTCATTTTCAACACAGAAATTCACTTATTCTGGGATGTATTTTATTGTTGTTGGTAATAACTTTTCATTAAGTAAAACAGAAAAAAAAAAAAAATCATAACAGTCTTCTCTTTTCATAGCTTTTTATATCAATCATCATAGTAATTTAAAAGTAACAGAAAAATATTCGTAATTTTGAAAATAATTTTCTTTGTTTTTTTCTTCTTCATTGGCTTTATTTCGAGCTTCTAAGCTAGTAATACTGACAAGGTTATTTCTATTCATATAGAAAAAGAAAGTTTTATTGGTTATTTCTTTTCTAGAGTTGGAGTAAAATTTTCAAACCGACTCTGTAAAAACGTTAAGAAGAGAAACGTAACTACCTTCACTTTATCCTATGATTAACTTCCTTTATCCTATCTTGACACTCCTAATTTCCGGCTCGAACTTTTTATCCTTTCTTTACGATTATAGAATTTTCATAGATTTATTTATTTACTCTTTTATTCTTATTTTCAATTAAAAAAATATTGACATTTGGTATTGAAAAACAACGTTGCCAGTTATAAAAGAATACATCAATATATATCTACTAGCAGAGGAGAATGTTGTTTAAATAATTTTTAAATTATTTATGTGATGAACTAAATACTTTGAAATATTTCTCTTGTTTATGATGGAATAAAATTTTTTAGTGAATGTGGAGCAGATTATTTTATCGATACTACAAACTTATGTTCTTATCGGTGTACGTGTACTTTGTGAATAATCCTTCAATAATATTCCAACAATGTCACGGTATTTCTTTTTTAATAACACCAATCTACACACTTGGAAAGAAGTACCCATAGAACAAACTTCTCTCAGTTCCACCCTTATTTTACAAACCAAGTTTTAATTGTTTTTATTTTTTTAATTCATTAAAAGAATTTTTATACCAAGACAAGTTTTGATAAGACATGTCAAGGATATATAGATAAGCATCAACTATATTAGACAAACCGACAAGTCCTTGATTAAAAAACAAAAAAAAAAGGAATTCTCAATTGACTGAGTAAATTAAAAAAAAGAATTAGAAATACTTAAAAAATATACAGTAAAGTTGTGAAAATTATAATGAACTTTCAAGGGAAAATAAATATTTTCGTATGTAAAACTTGTTGCAAAGATGATTGTAATTCATAATGAAAACTTAAATCCTTTATGATTATTAAGATAAACAAGAGTACCAAGAGTACAAGAGTAACAAATGAAATATTCACAAAGGTAAAAAGAAGAAAAAATAAGTGAGAGGGAAAGACTTATTGAAAATATTGTAGTGCACAGAGTGGCGAGTGTTGAAGCCCGCCGAAACGCCTGCGTGAGTTTCCCTTCAGTGCTCGACGAGCCGCTTTAGATGTCGGACCGGTCTGATGTAGCGTCGACTAGTTTCCCTTAGCGTTCTATTACCCCAAGTAGTAAAAATCATTTTTACACGAAACTCCTGTAGAGATAATTTAAAATTTTCTATCTCATATAAATAGTTAAACCCTTAGAGATGTGAAAAATAATTTGACGTGTCAAAATAAAAATTAGTTTTGTTGAAAAAATGATTTAAAAAATGTAAACAAAAGTGTAGTGAATTACAGAGAGAATTTTAGCTGCAAAAAAAAAACGTTGACAGCATCATAAATTTATTTCTACTGACGAGAAAGAAAAATTGTAATTTGTAAAATAATCATTTTCTTATTATCTTGTTGACAAAATAGATGTAACTAATGATGTTTATTTTTAAAATATTCACTAACTGACTCAGCAACTTGTAATAAATTTATTTTTAAATTTGCATCGTGTAATGGTGTAAGAAAAGAATAAAATAACATTTCTAATGTGTAATAAATGATCATTCGCAAGTGTACCAAATTATTCTTATTGGCGAAAACGATAAAAGACGACATAAAAACATTAGGGATAAATTGTATGATTAATTCAAAAGGTACAAGTTGGTTTTCTTTGTGTTGCTTATCTACTTTATTTCTCACAACAAATTCTTAAAGATAAAATGAATTTATTTAAAAACTAGAATGCAATTTTTTAGATTGGATTTTAAAAATAAACTAACTGATAAATAATGAGGTGAGCTCAGGTGGTAGATATGAAAATTAATCTAATAGTCTTGACTACCTTCAAAAGTTTATAGTCATTAAAACAAAAAAGACTGGTTATGAAATATTATCAAAGTTAGAAAGATGCTTTCAATGAATTTTATTCAAATCTTTATCTCAATGAGAACTATTTAAAATAATAAGCAGATTATATTTTAAAAATAATTCTAATTATTCTTATGTAAACATTTAAGCTTCGTTTCATTTTTAATATATATATTTACTAAGGGGAAAATTTTTTAAACCTTTTTAACGCAAATGAAAAGTCTGTATATCACTTGAGTGACTTCCACTTTTCTACGATGTCAAGGTCCTCATTAATGACTCTCTTTTTTTAATCTTCTTCACTTTTTTCACTTTCTTCACGAAAAATATCACCAAAGTCTTCAACGCCGACCTTTTGTTCTTCTTCTCTCCAAAGTGAACATTCCATTATTATGCACCATCGAGCAAAACTATTGTTTCTTTTTTTAACTCGACAATGAACACACTTTCGTTCCGACATTTACAATTTTAATTTCTTGGAATTTTTCTATTTCATTTGTAACTGTTTTATTACAATTAAATTTGATTTTATTTGATAAGGAATAATTTTTATGTTCAAAGATATGTTTAATTTAGGTAGATTCTAAATCAAAGAAATCATTCTCTAATAAAAATCCTTTTTTTTTTAAATTAATAATTAAAATGATTCATTAGTTATTTATTTATTTCTTTTTTTTTTCGTCAACATGTTGATAAAATGAAAATTTTTAAATCAATAATATTTGTTGATTTTTTAGTTCATATTTAATGAAGTTAATAATCTATTATTTTAATCAACAATATTGTTCACAATATAATATCTTTCTCATCAATTTTTTTCCTTCATAATACATACATTAATATTTATAGAAATATAATGATACCTTTAGTAATTGATAAGAAGTGAAACTCCACCCTCAGAGGAGTAATAAAATTTTTTTACGCTTTCAACTGCGACAGCGTTCCGACATTTAGCTTTTTTTTTCTTTCTCTATCCAAAATATTACAATAAAACGACTTTTTAGTTTATTAAAGTTACTTTAGAAAAATAGTTTATCATTTACATCTTAATTAAATAATTTTGCTCTTCTTATAATCAGTTTTTTTAACAATAAAAAAAAATCTTCAACAAACTACGTAGACATATTTTGATAAAAGTTATTAAAGTATGTTTGAAATCGTGGATTCTTAATCGATCTAACTAAAGGTGGATTTTTACGAATGCCGAGAATGCAACAATTACTCGAAACATTTTTCATTGCATTCATATATTTATTTATCACGAGACACGTTCGACGTTTATCCGACCACTAATCTTGTAAAAACTCAACAAAAACATGACACAACCGATATCATAGTTATCATAGTTTTGCATGAAAAATATTCCATTTTCCATAAGAATAGAATTTGATTTGGAAAAAAACTTTTCCACTCTTTTGTATATAATTTAAATCACATTTATGTGAATAAATATAAATACATGTCGAATCGAAATATAATCCACTTAAACAGTGCAAGGTTAAGTAAAGGTCTTGAGACATTTCAAAAACTCGTGTACATTCATGAAAACTTGGTGAGGTTAAAATGTTATTCAATGCTACAAACATTTATTTACAACAATTATTCCTTGAATCTCTAGTATTGAAATAAGTAACTCAAATAATTGAAAAATTTCTCATTAAACTCGTATGACAGGTTTCGATAAAAAAAAAGGTAATTTTATTAACAGAAATATTCAGGCAGATTCTAATAATCTTGTAGCATAATTCTGGAAATTGGAAATAATTGGATATGATTTTTTATAATCTGCAAGTTGGCGAAAGTATGAAATAGTTTATTTCGTCAGGTAGGAGATAATCTATTATATGATTTCCGGATTTGAGGTGGATGACAGACTACCAAGTCACTACTCTCTTTCAACTTCCTGTATTTTCTTTTCAATCTCTCTGTAGCGAAATTTCATTAACAGATGATTACTGATTTTATCGTGTGACGCATCAACTTTACCTTAGGTAATGAATTTTCAGTAATCAAATTAACTTTATAATTGAAAATATTCTATAACCTTCAATAACATAAAAGCTATTCCATTTTTAGTGTATCAAATTTTTAGAATTTTTATCAGTGAAAAGGAAAAAAAAAAAAATGAAAAAATTGACCGCAACGAAAATCAAGACAAAACACTTTAGAAAGCCTAAAGTCCTAAGGGACCATAATATCAACCCCACAAAGTCGTGTGGAATTTTTTTTAGCTTTTCCCACACCTCGTGCTAGGACCCCAGAAAATCAATCAGGGGTTTTGTATGAACTCAGGGAAGCTTTTAAAGCAAGAGTATCACGTTAAGCTGCTTAAGAGAATGTTTGGGAAAAATTATTCACTTGAAAATCTATTGTAACTGTGTGAATTGAAACTTTACCTTAATGAATTATTATTCTTTTTATTCATTCTAGTCTTCTGATGAGTTAATATACTCTGAAACAAATTTTTACTCGACGGAACTCAAAAGTCGAATTATTGTTTATCTAACTATATCTATTATTCAAGTAATAAAAAGCTATAAATTTGCAAAATTCTTTCACATGAATAAATAATCTTTTATCATTTAAAAAAAAAGATAAATCAACTTTATCATTTCAATCTTACTTCAAATTTTTTTAAGCAGCTTATCTTGAAAATTTCATACCGATTTAAAAGCTATAAATAAAATTATAATTCACTTATAATAAATTTATTAATACTCTATACTCTTCACTTAGAAAAAATCCCTTAAAGCTTTTCTCATCTCAAATATTAACAAGCAAAATTATACAGAATTAATTATAGTGATGAAAAAAGTTAATATTTAAAATGAAATTTTTTCAGTAGATCAATTCAAAGTAAACATATCCTAGAGTGATCATTAATTAACTCAATTTGCTTTTTGACTTCACCTTCATTCAAGCCCTTCACCTAATGAAGAGACCATAAAACAGTAACAGTGTAGACGGTTATGTGTGTGACATTGAACAATTTGGAACTGTTAATTTGAAGAGAATTGAGCCATTACAATGGATAGTCGTTTAAGCAGCGAGGAAAAGCCGAGTGTTGATGACACAAAGGAAGGTGAGAATGAAGAGAGAAATCTGGGTCGTGAGGAGAAGAGCACGGATGAATTGCAGCAAATAGACACGCGATCTAATAGGTAAGTATGTGAATACCTAAGGATTATTCATTTCTATAATTTAAATGTCTTTCAGACAAGAACAAAAACAATTTTGTTGCTTGTTTAAACATCAAATAACACTTGGACATCCAATCTTAACTATTTTATTTCTAAATCATCATCAAAAACTAGCATTAATTTTTAAACGATCAACCCATGAACAAAGACTACCAACCACCACATTTACTCATGTGTGTCAACAACTTTATTCAATTCATCCTGATAAATATAAACTGGTGTGAAATAATTAAATTTTCTTCCCTAGCGAATAAATATTCTCACTCTCTCTGGTGATATGTATTCCTACATGACTTCATCAACACTATGTGTTTAATCCAAGTTAACATCCATTTTTTGGTGAAGTAAATATTACAGTAACTGGTCATGGACCTATTATTTAAATACTGATGTACCAGGTGGGAATTTCGTGGTAATTTATATCACATATTTATTAGTAAATATTTAAACACATCTTGATCTTGCATATAAGAGACAGAATAATGTGATAGTAATATTTATCACAGCATAGTAAAAAGAGTTATTCAGTTTAGATAGAATTCATCATTTTTTATGAGTTATTTTAGTGCTTACTATATCTCACTATCAGAAGAATAATGGTTCATATTCATTGCTTATAAATATATAGGAGTTTGTATCTTTTTTTTATCTTAATAAACTATTAGATCATTTTAATCGTATAATTTTCGTTGAGAATAACTCAGCTAATGATTTGACCGTGAAATATTTTTAATTTTCTGTTAATAACTTTCCTATAAGTTAGAGCTTATAGTTGTTTTTATGCTTTGATTTGTATATTTGTAATACATCACTTGAATAAATGAATTAATGATGAAATAACTCTATTTATAAAAGCTTAATAATATACGCTCATAATATTTCTAATGTAATCACCAACAGCTTTGATATGAGATGAATAATGATTAGATAAAATTTACATCATTTTCAACACCAACAATTCATTATTTCAATTATTTTAATCGTTTTAGTTTAGACAAACTCTAATTGATTGATTTACTCTTTGCAATTGACAATTAATAAATAAAAAAAAGCTCCATGTTTATGATGGATCAATAATATGTTTTTGAAGTTATTTAAATTCCAATTAAGAAAGGGAAATATTTATTTTGAAATATATTTTAAACTTTTAAGTATGAAGAAATCATTATCCTCGATCAGTTGATGTGATCTAAAGCTTGAATAATCGCAAATTCTAATCAGATTGAAGCAATATACTTTCCAATAGATTTGAAACTTTTTAGAGAGGAAATAAATTTTTTATTTTTGCCATTACTTCTGCTATTCGTTAAATTTATTCATGGATCATCAACTTCTAAAATTAACTTTGCTAAATATATCAAATCTGCATAAAAAACGTTTCAATGACATTTTGACATTATATTGTATCGAAAATGATTGGAAAAAATGAGGAGAATACGTTTCTCTTCATTTTGTATAGAAATAAAATAAGAAATTCTAGTCTTCTTATCCCTAATCGAGAATATGAATATTCTATAGAAGACTTTAAATAATGAATTTTTTTCTCACTTATTAAGTGTGAATTATTTGCACGTGTTCACTTATTTAATTCACATTCATTTTAGAGTCAGCTTGGATAACTTTTAGCTGAGAAAAGTAACTTGAGTCACTGAGTTTTCATCATGGTCTATTTTTTTTTCTTAAATTTCATTATGGTGATTAATTGAAATAGTTATAGTTATATTATCAATTTTATTCCAGGATTATTATCTAATACAAACGAAAAGTAGTTGGAAAAATTGCTGAATAATCTAATTTTCTCTTCTAAAATTATCCAAGTTGAAAAAATTGAAAAAAAAATCAATATTTTATTTGTCAATATTAAATTATATAATGATTTAAGAATAGTTTGATAATGATGCTAGCACAATAAATAATTTTTGATTACAATAACACTTTTTAGACACAGGTCTATCGTGAAAAAATAACATTTTATTATTTATTTTTCAACTTATTTATGCCGACAGTGTAGAAAATCAATTTTTATCAATTAATTTTATTTTTAAAAATTGACTAGTGGATTATCTATGATATTTTTATGTGAAATAAATATTTATAACTCTGAGTGACTTCGTTAACAATGAAAAAAAATAAAATTTATTCAGTCACAAATAAAACATTGTATTCTCTAATCTTCATGGTTTTCATAAAAGAAATGAGAAAAAATAAAACATTCTAGTCACATCTGACTCTAGTGTAGAAACAATCTATTTTTTTTTTGTTGGGGTGTTTTTTAAATTTATCATTAATAATAGAAAAATCCTCGAGTATTGACAGAAACTCTGCAGGTTTAAATGACATTCTTAAAAACTATAAATCAAAATTTTTCATGGTATTATTTTTAGATAGTCAAGCTACCTCCACTAAAGTAAACATATGATATATTTATATTTCGAGAAATCAATCAAGTAAATATTTATTTTAAATTTCCTAAAACATCAATTAATATAATTCTGTTTTCATTTAGAAGTCAGAAAAAAAACGAGATTTTTTCTCAATTTTTTTTTTAACTAATTTAATAATACCATCATTTAGAAAAAAAACTAAATAAGTAAAAATAAAGATGATTTTTTTCATCAAAAATGCAAATTTTATTCCTTCATTAACGCGCCTTGAAAATTGGAATAAACTTTTGGGAATGAAATTTAGAATATAAAGTATAATAGAAAAAATATCTAAAAAGTTATATCCTAAAGGATCACATCACATCAATTTAGTAATGCGTCTTTATTATTTTTGTGATGGGTATCAGAAGAAAATGTCGTCAGAATAAATGATGAAAGATCTGAGGAAACAAAAGACAGTATATTGTATAAAGGAAAGATAAAATGATGAAAGTGACAAGTGGAGTCTAAGTCTGAGACACTTAATGTCGTACTTTCTGAGAAGGGGAGAAGAAACTTACTCCATCTCTCTCATGCTGTTATACTATATAGTCTGACGATAAATATGTCGCTTCACTAGTTGTTCTCTCAGTTCCAACCTGTAGAGCAGTTCGAGTCATCATGAAACTTCCATTTCCAGAACATTTTCAAGTGGCAGAGTGAAATTGGAAGATAGACAATGAGGTCTCCAATATTCATGCTGGTATGTTCCATACATAAAACATGGAATGTAATATGCAGTAATGTGCCTAATCTCGTTTAATAATGTCCTCTACCATCATATCTCACGCTCAGACTCGTAATTGGACAAAGACAATAATTCAATACCATTCTCTCTCGATGGGATTGACCGTAACTTACACAATTCTCTCAACAAATTGATCGTACCATAAAATAAAACATCACCCACGAAATACTCATCATATTTGGATGATATAAAAAAACAACGTGGAAAATAAAAATAATAAATATTTTCCAGCGATAAAAAGATATGAGTAAATAACTCACCAACAGAAGCTTAATGGATTCTTCTTAAGGAGCTTTTTTCTATTGATCGCTAAATAATGAGTGGAAAAAAGAATTCAAAAAGCTATCAAGAAGACTACAAGTATTGTTGATGAATTTTTGTTTCAACACCATTTTTACATTTTGATTTTTCATTGTACAAATTTGAGTTATTATCGAAATGAATAAAATTACCAACCAAAGAGTAATTTTATATAAAATATTTGTTAATGAAGCTACATTTCTAATCGTGAAAAAAACTTTCTAAAAATAATCATTAAGAGATTGTAAATTATTTTTGAAAAGCTATCTAATTAGTGTATATTTTAATATGATATTATAATCGTGAAAGAGGATAGAACGCATGATAAAATATTTAATTATTTCTTGAACAAATAAAAATATAATGAATATCATAATAAATAAAACCGAATTAAAAGTTAGTATAAATATTTTATGAACAAAGAGATAAATATTAATTCAAAGAGAATACCTAGATATTGAAATAATTGAAAATGAAAATAATTTTATATATTTCGGAATTAAACTTTTTGGTTAATAAATAATAATTTTTTCCATGAATTATTCATTCCTGGTGTCTGGTATTGTGGTATATTTAATAAAGTATTATTAAGGTTTAACTTGTCAATTTTCCATGTCACCTACAGATGACAAAAAATATTGCAACTTAATTATTTATCATAACCAATCTTATGTATATAATTTCTTTCTGATGATGCAGTAATTATAGAAGTTACTTTTTTTTTATTATTTATGAAAAATTCTCTACTCTTAGTATTGGTTTTGACACAAGTATTGACGAGTTTAAGTAAAATACCAACATTAATTAAAAAAACGAATTAATCGAATTGTTCTCTTTCAGAAAAAAGATTTGAATTAATACATTTTCTATAAGTTTTATTTTTTATGTATTCTCAACTCTACATATCTATTTTTTCTACTAGTGGTTTTTCGTTCATTCTAGAATCGTCAGGAAAATAGTAATGAAAAAAATATTTCTAGCATTGATTTGTTCCATCAACAGTAAACATTTCAACGTAAAAGGAAACATTTTTTTTTAGCTAACTAAAATTTTTCTATAAAAATAAAAAAAAAAAAATCTTTTAAATAAAATTAATACAACTTTGAAAATGTATGTTTTTGTTCGATCAAAAGAAAATATTCAAATATTCTTGAAAAAAAACGAGCCAAAACCAGAAAGGAGTGGTAAATGCAATGTTTTATGAAAGTTCTAATATATCATTCACGAAGTAGAATATTTGATGATCTTAAGCGCCTAAAAGTAGACTTGAGAACCTTGAACGAGAGCATATAAGATGCATTTTGAATAACAAAAGTATCTATTCAGAGCAATGCCGAGAAATCGAAGGACACTACTCAATTTTTCTCTGGCCTTGATGGCTAGTGTTTCAGGAGTAAGCATTGCATCAAATAAATATTGCGTCGTAGAAAACGATGATGAATACCGGAATTCCACATACATAGGAAAGATACCCACTAGAGAAAAATTCTTTTTCCTTCTCTCTGCATATAAAACATAGCCAACTTTTATCTTTCTGCAGTTGGTGATTTGTTTTCTATTCCCAAAGCATAAGTGTTTCTTTCACTCAATGTATCACCAGAGTATGAGCTATTATTGGTACATGATAGACATGAGTAAAGTTTTTAAATTCATTTCATTCCAATGGTCTTTCTCAATAACACAAGTCCATTACTTATTATTATGAGTAATTTGTTCTACAAAATTTTCTACAAGAACATTTACATATTTTCAGAATAACCTATGACCTACAATTCATGAAATCTGATCAGTCTCTGTGTTAGTTTGCACTTCAATAATAAATTGAATCGAGAAACTGCAAGCAATCGATTAACTGTTATAGTTATTGCAATTTGTAATGCATCAGAATCTCGGTGAGAATTTACCATAAATTACCTATCATTTATGCTGCTCGTTAACAAAGAAGAACTTTCTTCATGGTTGATAATGTTTATTTACGATTGAAGTGTGAGGTAGTTAGAAATAGATTAATACACTATCTTTAAATAGTTTATGAATAAAAAATTTAATATTATTAAGTTGGTATTATTTAGAAACAACTTGATTAGTTTTTTAGAAAATAACTCAATTGTTTATTTCAATCAAATAGTTTATTGAAATTCATTTATTTTATTATTTGTTATTCAATTTATTATAAATTATATTAAAGTACGTAAATATTGAATATACATTAAAGTATGACTAAAAGAGCTTTCAGTTTAAAATATAATTTATTATTCCACCACAAATTCCAATGTTGAATCAATAGATTGGTTTAATAAAAAAAAAAATTTGATTATTCATATCATCATGAAATGTTTTAGAATTTTAAACCATATTCATTCATATAGCAATAAAAAACAGTTTTTTTCCATTCACTTTTATGATATTCAAAAAATATTCTGATGTTTATTTAATTAATTCTCTTTAACTTTGTACTTCACAAATAAAAAATATAATAAATGCAGAATTTTAATTTATGAAAAAGCTTCATGCGTTATAGAATCTTCTTTTCGTATATATATGCGAAAAAGTTATTTTCTACATCTGTCTGGAGAATAAAGTAACATTTAGGATTCTTGTCATTGAATACTACCACCAGACATGAAGAATGTATTCATTTTATCATAAATTCATATATCCAAGTCGTTGAAACTCCATTCCACCTGTCACAAATGATTGTCCAAGATTTTACAAACTATTCATGATGATAAAATCACTGATCTCTTTCATTGCAGGAATTTGGATGCAACATTACCACTAACTGTAACTGATCCTGTGTCCAACAACCAAAGGTAAATTCTACTGATCGAAACGAGAAAAAATTTCTTTTAATATCAGTGATTTTTTTTTCAGTTTATATTACTGAAAAAAAAAATATTCACTAAATATTGCATAAAATTTTTCTTTGTCTAGATTGAAATCAAAACTTTTGTTTTAAAAAAAATTCAACAAGAAAAATATTTATACGCTTCGATTATTATTCGTTATGTACACAAAAGAACCCATGCAATTGAAAGTTTTGCTTCAAAACAACTGATTATTAAATTTAATTAGAGTTGATGAAATTTTTTATCATTAAAACACAATAAATCAGACTTGATTAAAATTACTTTCATTTCACCACGATACCTTTCTACCAAAAATGCAAACATTACCATACTAAAGTTTATTAAGACCAATCTAAAAGCTCACTGAAAGCAAGCAAATCATAAATCTTGTCTTATAATGTAATCATCCAAATCTCGATCTCCACTTTTGATTAATTTACCTAATCTAATTCCAGGGTATTCATGAAATCTCTGCCTAACAAAAAAATGACTCTTTATCTTGTTAACCGAGATCTTATAGCATACGAAAACAGAATTGATAATCTCATAGGAGTGCTGCTGGTAGACCCGGATTATGTTGAAAATAAGCGAGTAAGTATCTTAATGAATAAAGACTGATAGCTTAGAATTAGTTAGCACATTTAATGATCTGATGGAATGATATGAATTTAGGTGTACGCACAAGTCACGATGACCTTCCGGTATGGACGAGAGGATGAGGAGGTAATGGGGATAAATTTTTGTGCTGAACGGATCATCGGTTTGGCCCAACTCTATCCACCATACATGGGAGCTGATCACCAACAACCAACACCTGTACAGGTATTGAATATCACATATGTACTCAAATACTCTTGTGAATTGCTACTGAATTGTGACCTCTGTGGACACATGTATACATAAACTATTTCACCAATGGTTATCAACAAGCGTCGAGAGTTATTACATAGCTTGCAGCGTTTATTGTTTCTCTCGTAACTGACTCGTCGCCACTACCATATTGCTATTAACGACTAACTCAAGCATACTACCTTGTCCTCTGTCTATTAATCAGTTTAATGAGAAATATGCAATATTGTACCGAATAATGAGCTGTGAAATAATTATATTCATGGTTCAATTTGAGCTGATTTTAACAGTCAATAGTAGAGATCAATTTTTTGTCATCTCATATACAATGTAACCAAGCACATGTTCTAATTATTACATGTAACATATTTTATGATGTAAATTATTGAATAATTGTAAAACCAATGTTGATTTTTGCTTTCTATTCCTAACTATTATTTTTTTGCACACTTAAAAAAAAAGTCTTTAATCTAATTTACTTGAGTTTTTTTGTCAAACTTTTGGAAAATACTTTTCTAATGTATTTACTATTGATCCTTTATTGAGTTTAATAGTCGATAATTAAAACTGGATTGCTCACAGAAGCATGTTCGTTAAGTTTAGTGATAGTTGTTATTAAGAACCGAATTATTGTTATATTTATCTTATTTTTAATGAGAAAATTAACTTGGATGGATAAGAGATTTAAATAATATTAGACGTTGAAAACTTTTTAAGTCTTCTTGCTATTATTATGGATAGAAATTAAATCAATTTAATAAAAACTAAAAATACTAACATCGTTTTTAGACGCCATTTGTTAAAAGTAGTATAAATAAGCTTTCAGGTAATTTTATAGAGCCCATATAAAAGAATACGTTTAAAATATCAGTTATAAAGAAAGTAGCCTTAAAAGTTGTTCTCCCATTCATGCTTTTATTTCTTCTTTTTTCAACTTTTGATGTACTTGAAATAATAATATAATTTTATTTAAATATTCATCACAAACTAGCAATCATTAATATTAATGATCACTGAAACGTAACTATGGTTCTATTTCTGGCTTGACATTTTAATCTAATTGATCTCTTCTAGCTTAATTTCACCAGTCCGTACCTATTCGTAAAGTCAACATTTCTATTGTCTATCATTATTATTATGATCATCATCACTAAAATTATAACCAATTTTGAAATTTAATTAAGCCAAGACAAACGACGAATTTTGAAATATCGATAGCACAATCAATAGCAAGTGAAGATGTTAATGTTAGCAGACAAGTATACTTGATATTAGTGCAGGTACTATTCAAGAACCTGTGTTGAACATCTTGACTCTTTAGTGTACACCAGAGAGCCAAGCTCTGGAAGAGTAATTTTTTGTAGCTCGATGGCATGAGAATGAAATTGAAGGTGATGGTCACATAGAATCCTGTTAAATATTCATGATATTTTAGCATCTGGAAAAATGAAATATTTTCATTTTATGCGTTGAGAGATGTACCTACTGACGTCAGTGGAGTTTTTATTGAGACCTGACCTTGGCCTTGACCTGATACACTCGCGGAGAATTCATTCGCACGTTTACCACCTTGTCAGATTAACGAAAATATATGCTTGTATGAGGATCAAACGACTGATACCCTAAGACTCAACGCACACTCATCAATTTGTTTGCAAATCACTAGTGAGATAATTGAAAACATTGGTGAGATTAATATTAAAGCTGATAGGTCATGCAGTTAAGGTTGCAGAAGATACTAGACACCAAGTTACAATTAATCGTCAACAACAAAGTTCTGAGTAGCAAAATATATAGAAAGGAAGAAATCTTCATCTGGCCTCATACAGCTTATTTAGTTATTGTTATACAAAAGAACAGTCTGCTATTCAGTTACTTATACTATCTCGTGTCTCACGCCATCTATCCACCCTTAAGTTTTTGTCCTAACAGCAAACATAAATCTTTCCATACCTTTATATCCTTGAACTCACCGCCTATAAGAGCATCAAAAGCTTCGCAACAATACCTTATTCTTATTCTGAATGAGTTGGACTAATAAACATATATATCTACTAAAGTTTAGTTTAATTTAGAGTTGACTTGTTTAAGTACGTATTGGACACTGTTTCATTTACTTGGTGTACGATATTTTTGGATAAAATTGCTCAACTTGGCCACTAACACTAATGGAAAATAATCCATTTGTTCATCTGTAAAGTGCTGTACTGGATACTTGAACTGAGCTACTCTTGTTCAATTGAATTTTTAACCCATAACATGTTTCCTTCAGTTCGCTCGTTCGATTTTTCTTCTCTGATTTTTATTTATAACTGAATTTTCTTCTTCAAGTGGATAACTTTAAGTTATTGATAAACAATAAACCAGTCGTATAAAACATTTAGAAGAAATTATTGTTGTAATAAATTTTTCTATTTTTTTTAGCGTCACCGAGAAATAAAAGTACCCAATGTAGTCTAATATTTATGGTTTTGAACTTGAATAACCGTTACATAGAAAATTGAGGAAATAAATTAAAATTTATGAAATCAATAACGATAATTAGTTTGATTATAGAACACTTCTGTAATAGATGATATTATTTTATCGGAATAGAATCGTTCATAAGATGATTATAACCATTAAATCTCTTTGATCTAGACAGAAGAAAAAGAATGAAAATATCAAAGGCGTTAACTATTTACTGCCAAGCTATTTTTCTCAATTTATCAAATTTAAAATCTCTCTGGTAATAAAAGTATTGTTAAGGAAATTTCTCATCATGCTGGTTTTTTTTTAGTGCTGAATTTCTCATTTATTTATACATTAATAAATTATTTTTATTGATCATGAAATGTTGAAGTCTTTCATGGAGTTAGTGATTTATGAAATAGAATATGAGTATAAATTTATTTGCGGATTAATATACAAATAATTGCTTTAATAATTGACTGAAACAATTAAATTATTTGATTGCTATACATTCAACTAAAAAAAAATCACCTGTTAAAAAAAATTGTAGCCAACTACAATAACTTCTACAAATTGATTTTTACTGTCTCGTAAAATTTATATAACGATTCACATAATTGTGTAGCAGTGACAATTCAACCACTAATTTGTCATAAAAAAGCTAATTCAATAATTTCAAAAATAAGTGACAATTATCCAGCAAATGTTACCTTTAACGATAGTACATGTTATCTTCACGTGGAAAAAGCTATTTTCCAGTGATATAAAATTTTCTAGCATCAAGATAAAACATTGTGATAAAACCGAATGCTTGTTATATTTGAAATCACTATTATCTTGGTCTCGTAGAATTTGCTACTGATTAGTGGAATGTTTTTTTCTCTTCTCTCGACAGAGAAATAATTATAATGCTATGAATATTCGTGTAATTCCTGAGCTATGAAACTAATAGTAGTAGTTCTAATTTTGTTTTGAAACTTTACTACTTGACTGTAACTTTATGATTCAATCTAAATTACATCTGTGATATTGACCTTTTCCATTCAAGTTTAGCATTTATTCTTCATATTTTTTCGTTTAAAAAAAATTATTTTTCCAATTAAAATTATTATTTTTATTATCTTCATCATCAATGCATTTAAATTTTAATGAATCTAAACTCGAAATATTTTTATCGGTAAAAAATATTTTTCAATATCTAATTAAAAGTAAAATTCAGTATTTATTAACATCGATAAGTTACTCTAGCAGACACAGAAGCTCCTTAATCAACATTAATGGAAATCCTAAAAGCTGTTGAGCATGCCTCTTAGTGAACCTAGTTAAAGCCTAAACATGACTCAACCAAATCGATCAGAATATTATCAAAGATTTAAATTTATCTCCATCAAAGAATATTAAAATGAATGTAATTGAATATTTCCAGTTTTTATCACTTCTTCTAGCTAATCTATCTTATATAATAGAGATTATGATCCCTATTAATAAAATCCAATATCGACAATATTAACTTGATTCCTTGATATAAAATATTCAATAATCTGGAATTACTTCTTCACCAACTGAAGAGGAAACATTTTCCTCTAACATCTTCATTTTCCGGTTATTGAATAAACAAAATTGAATTTAATTCCACTGAAATAAAATCGTTTTATCAGCTTTACAAAAGTGGAGAGAATAGATAAATTGTGTCGAAAAACTGTTACATTTTTTGCAGTTATCGAACTGAGTATTTCTCTCTCTTTTAGAAAGCTTTTTCGGATAAAATAAAAATCTCTCTGTGTTTTAAAAGACTACAAGGGAATAAATCATCGAATGCGAAGACAGTAAATAGACTAAACTATAATAGTCAATAACATAGATAATTCTAGCAAGAGAAAAAAAAATCAAGTGGTTTTAAAAATATCATGAATGCAATATTCATTATGCTAGAAAAATAATTAGAAATGAAAAGATGGTTTATAGTTTATATATTTCATTTCTTATATTATCATTTATAATTATTTATATCTTGCTAAATGTTCTAACATGAAAAATATCTAAAAAAAAAAATATTAAAAATTTATTTTAAACAACTTGTTTGTTTTATTAAGGAGATTGAATAAATGGAAAATAATGCTGTGAGTTGAACAAGAAAATGGAGGGATATTATGTAATTGCATAATTTGCTTCAAGAAGAAATATTTCTTCTTCAAAGAATATAAATACGAGATTTCATTTTCAACTATTCTTCAGAAGCATCTCATGAATTTATTTTACTACAGTTATGCCACTTATTTTTCATTGTTATATTTATTCTTTGCAAGTTCATTCGTGAGTGAATTTAGAATGTCATTAGGAAGTGAGCTTTTATCTACACAAAAAAAAAAAAAATAATAATTCATTACACCATTATATTTTTTTTGTGCATCCTCTTGTTCTGAAGAATTTTATTTCATTTTTTACTGTCTTGTTCATGTATATTTATTTAAACATAATACTGGTAAAAGATACTCAAATAAACCACCAAGGACTCTAGGATTTATTCAACCATTAATAATAAATCTAATGTCAAACATCAAACATATATTAAAAATACATATATAGGATTGAAAACATGTATTAAGTCAATATCTTTCAACTAAGTAAAAAAGTATTCCACAAAGTAAGTTCAAATGTCATTCGTTGAAAATATCAGACAGACAAAAAGTCAGTAAAGAAAAAGAATGCGTCTCGAATTGCTTGTTCAGATTCTACCGTGACAGCATCTTTGAAATTTTATCTTGAATAAAATACGTCATGCCTTTTGTTGATAATACTTAAAAGAAATCAGAAGAAAATACTTGTTCAATTATTGAAACCCATGAATATCTAGATACACCTTGATGTTTATTACTTAACTTAACGTTTATTTCATAAACTTGTACAGCCATGTCTACTGTTGAATGTTGATAAAAACTAGCAATAAATGTAAATGATATTTGTGTGCTGTAAAACATCTTCACGTAATGTGATAAAAGATAAAATAAATATCAATAAAAACTTGGTTGATTTGTTTTTATAAAGTTCTCATAAAAGTATCGTTCCAATAATAGCAACTTATGCTTTGAGTATCATATGAGTGGGTTTATTAAGAAAGTAAATATCTTTCATATTGAATGAAGAAAAGTTTCATTCAACCCTTAAACCAAGCATTAATCGGCTTTAAGGGTTCCGTAGATGAAATGAATGAGGGAAACGAGATATTGATAATAGAAAAATAAAGTTAGGGTGGAAAATTCAACATTGATATCAACATTCATTCTAACTTTCATCAATAACGGTGATCGATTTATATATGTCATGATAAAACATACCCTCATATATATATATATATATATATATCTGAATGCTGATCCCAACATCTTCCTGGATAAAAAGTTATCTTTTTATACTTTCTTTACCTTTTTAGAATACTCACGACAGACAAACATCAATAGATAATTGTGTCAAATGATGATAGCAAACAAAGAATAAAATTTTAACGAAATAATAGAAATAATAGTCAACTAATTAGTTAATTTGTTTTATGTTCTTGATGAAATACAGGAGGCTCTCATCAGACGACTGGGTTCCAATGCTCATGCGTTTACCATAGCAATTACTCGAGTAGTACCACCTTCTGTTCGTCTTCTTCCAGCTAAAGAGTACAATGGTGCTCCGATTGGCACGAGCTATGATGTAAAAGCTTATGTGGGTCAGTAACAACATGCATTTAATTTATTATGATAAAAAAAAAGCTGTCTGACACTTTCATAAGAATAATTGCAAAAAAATGTTTGCATTTTTTAATTATTTCATTGAAACAAAAAAAAATTAAATAAGCTCATTTGACGTTAATACAATTCAAATATTTTATTATTTATTTTTAATTATTTTTAGAAAAATAATAAATTCCCATTTAATATAAATTTTATGAATTACTTTCATTAAATAACATGACTAAATTAGACTAATTTAATAATAGTTAAAATTATACAATGTTTAATGTTGTTAGAAAAAAAAATTATTCTCTTGAAGTTATAAATTCAAAAATTATGATTAAATATTAAAAAAAGGAGCTTTTTTTTTATTGTGGCAGAAAATACTAGAGCATTGAACAAAATGAAATTATAGTCAGTGGTAAAAAGAAGAAAAATTTAAACTAGACTGTGTTTACTGTTACGTGAAGATAGACACACGACTACATTCTTTATGAAGTATAGAAATTTTTTGAATAACATCAACAAATTTAATTTTGTCATACAATTTGCAAGTAGTCCAATAGAGGTGCTTTAATATAAATAATTTAGTTTTAAATTTACATTTTTTTCCTACTCTCCATGTCATTTTAGTTGATCTCAAATCATTGAGAAAAAAATTGCAATATAAATTCTAAAAATATTGGAAAATTAATTTTTGCTCACTTCTTTCCCACATGTTATCTTTCAAATCACGACAAACTGCATCTGAATGTGTATTCAATTAAAATACTAAATTAAATATAAAAATAGTTCTTTGAATTCTAATTGAAAAATATTAAAAGAAGATGAATAAAAAAAAATCTAATAAAAATATCCAATAAAGTCATGAATATAATGAGATGATAATATAGAAAAATGGATTAGAAAAAAAAATATTGATCATGTGTATGTTGTGAGTCAGTGCCTCATTGATTCCAATGACCTTTGATAATTCCGGACAATGGCCTTTATAACATATTTCAGGTCATCGATATCATTGAGGAGGCTCTTAATATATAATTATCGAATAAATATCATAATGAGCATGATGCAATTTTCGTCTAGTTCATAGATAAATCAATTTTAACACTGAAAAATACATGAGGGATCATAAAAACACGTGTCATGCAATATTTCACCCCAAGCTAGCTACGATTCAGTACATTTCCATATAACATACGAGCAAATATAATTTTCAGAAAAAATATCCTTGAGAGATTTTCCAACTATTTTTTTATCTACTTCTACATATCATTCTCATAAGACACAGCTGATATGTGGATATGAACAAATACGATTTAAAAGACAACAAATATTTTTCATTAACTATTTAGCAGAACATCATGTTGAGCCATCCAGAACATGGCATTTATTTTTAATGAACCAATTTTTTTTCGGTACATCTATCGTCATATTGGAAAACAAGCTGAGAATAGACTTTAGCAAAGTGATCCATAAAAATTAATTGAACAATCATAAAATTAGTTAGCTTTAATCAATTTTTGAGCAAATTTTATTTATTTTATTCCTCTGGAATAATATTTAAATTATCATCAGCTTGCATCTTCAATATGTCAGTAATTTTACTCACTGAATTTTTTCGAATCAGTTATTGATTTTTTTGCCAACAAAAAATAATCAATCTTAATCACGATTCGATTACATCGTTATTTTTTTCTGAGCTCAAAGTAATTAACAATGCTTTGTTCTAATTAATTTTCTCAAAATAGACTCGTTTGCATTTCATAAAGATCACAGTTCATAATCGATGATAGTGAACTTCACATCGCTATTGACTAAAATTTGTATTCAATAAAAAAATTAAATAAATAATCCATAACAACTTATTTTTATCGAGTACTGTGTTCATCAACATTTATTCTCACAGCTAAAATAGTACCTCTATTTTAATATAAATTTCCAGCAGTTCAGATAAAGCGAGATCGACTTGCAATTTAAAAATTATTAACACCACACGATTTTATTCTACCGAGATACTAGGAATAAAAGAAAAAAGAACTCGTGCATGTTTCAGTACATTGGAACTTTATATTAACAACTATTTCCTGCGCCAAATTTCACAAGTATTTGAGTGAATTTTTTGGCGCTTGAGGCACCTTAATTTCATTGATATTTATATAAAAGAAAATAAAGTCAGCTAAATGACATTTATAAAAAAATAAAAGTCATTCATGTATTAAATAAAAATAAATTAAAAACAATTTCATGAAATATCAAACCAATTAAAAAATTTTAATTCAATTTTTTTTTTATTGTTTACTCATACTTTATCAAGTGGTCTGTTCAATTTATCCCAACCTGTTGTTATTCTCACAAACAACTTTTTCATTTAGAGGAATATCAGCTATTTTTAGATTACTCACAATTTATTAATAAAAGCCACATAAAAAAATTCTGTGGCTTTTTTTTCGTGAATACACTAAGGGAAAAAATTGTTTACATTTTTAAAAAATAACTGTACAAAATTGACATTGTAATTTATATGAATGTGTGTAGCGGAGAGATTTGATGAAAAACTCCACCGTAATACGACAGTGAGAATGGGGATAAGGGTTGTTCAGCGGACAAATTCACCAGCTGTGCCCATGAGTAATCTTTACTCAGTTTCCCCAACGATTCAGCACGAACGTAATCCACAAAGTGAGAATGAAATTGTTGAGACTAAAGGTAAAATAAAAATCAAATAACTTGAAAGTAACTTTTATATATCCATATCTACTCAAGTACTTCTCTAGTTAATCAATGAATTTAGAAAAATCTAATGCAGTACATGTTTCAGAACCTCAAGTACCTCATGCAGTTGTTCAGAAAGAATTTTTACTCAATGGAGGCTCCATTCGACTAGAAGCACATCTTGATCGTGCTAATTATGCACATGGAGATACAATTCAGGTCCATGTTAGCATCTCCAATGACAGTCATAAATCTGTGAGGAGAATCCAGGTAATATGATAATCTGTTTCAGTCACTGACTAAACTCTAGATTAACTCTAGAGTATATTCCACACTGATATACATCTAAATATTTCTCAGTTATAATAATACTTCTGGACCTTTCATAAAAACTTCTAGAAAAAAATACGATTATGAGATTAGAATTTTTTTTCATCAAGATTTCTTTTTCATGAAAAAATATTCTTTTTTTTTTTCTAGACTAGAAAGCCTAAAATATGGATGCCCTTAGAATGAAGATTTTAGTGGCTACATATTTGTCTTCTCGATACTTTATTCTCATAAAATAGTGTATGAAAACTTATTGCTCGTTTTTATGGTATATAATAAACAAGATAAAGTTGATATTTCTAATTATTCAAAGAATATATTTAGCTAAAAAAAAAAAAATAAATAAAAACTTTAATGGTAGTTGCAGTTTTTAAAAAGTTCATTAAAAATAAGTATTTAGTACTCATTGTTCGATCTCACTTTACTCTATGTATATTTTTTATCAGATTAAGCTTTCATTACATTTTGAATAAAACTGTAATGTTGATATAAATTTTCTTTTCTGAATACTATCCAGATTACCTTTAGTTATCTTTATGAAATTGTTAGAAGCAACATTTAAACATACATCAAAAAAGTTACGTCAATGTAACTTTCTCCATAAAAGATAACGGAGTAAGTTTTTTCAACACCTAGTTTACTAGGAAACCACGGTTATATTGAAAAAAGTAAATAGATTTGTTTTTCCAAAAGAATTTATAAAATTGAATCAATATCATAAAATTATATAAAAGTAGAGAAAATAATTTTTTTCAAATTTTTTCAAATTATTATTCATGTTTTAGTAAAATAAACATTTAAAGATATTACTACATTTATAAAGGGAAACATTTGAATATTTATGATAGTTAAAAATAGCATTATATTTTTGATTAAAGGTCTTGGTACTTCAGCATGTAGATGTATGTATGTTCAGCAGTGGCAAATTTAAAAATGTTGTCGCAAAGGAAACAGAAAAGGAAAATTGTCCTCTTGGGCCAGGATCTAATTTTACGAAAACGTATAATGTCAAACCGACTATGACCTCAACGAAAAATTGGATTGCTATTGAAGATAACTATACCAAGGCTGGAACAACTCTTGCTAGCTCAGTTATATGTCCACAACCTAGAACTAAACAAGGGGGTGACGATAAAGATGAAGATAGCGAAGAAGAGAAGGAAAGACATGCATTTGATATCAACATATCTTACTACGTCAAGGTAAATATTTCAATAATTTTTAATGTACCACGTTAAGTATTCTGATTCAATTACATTCTAAAATAATATTGATCCAACAACTTATTTAAAAGCTTAACTACTTGATAATTGCCTAGACGTAGCTAATCGTACTCTTCAGGGAGACATAAACAAAAATCTTAATTATTAATTTAGAACAAGTTGATTTAATCATTAGTATCAACTATTAATTTTGTAATTAATAGCAAAATTTATTGATTTTTGGATTACTGTTTCACAGGTTAAACTTCAGATTTCACGAATATGTGGAGTAGTATCACTTAAATTACCGTTTAATCTATGGCACCGAAGTACCGAGCCCGATTTAACAGGATTCCCGTCACCGATTCGAAACATACCAACAACAAATGCAAACACTGAACGTGAAGAAGATAAATTGCATACATGTCTGGCAGTTATGGAGACATTTCAATGTGATGGAAAAGTAAATTCTGAGTTAGTACAAACTAATCAAAAAGCTGATGTGAACCTAATAGAAAATCGCGAACCAAAAGGGAGTACCTGAGAACAAGATCGGGCTTACGGTAATATACCATGGCCCCATGATAATAATAGAAATAAATTGATAAATACATTCAAACATTCTGATCATAGAAGTTGTATAAAAAATTTCAATATCCAAAGAGCTTTTTGCTGCTTCCGCAGGGCTTCTTAGTATATCAAGATATAAACATAGTAAAAAAAAGAAATATTTTTAAAAAATCCGAATGTGCATTGAAAATAATTATTGACCATCGTGATTTTTTTCTTAATTAAATATGGAATTTTTCAAATTTATATCATTTGTAGATGCAACAGTAATTCATTCTAGATAATAAGTTTAATTCATTTACATTATTATAATTTTACTATAATATTGAAGTATTCAGATTTAATTCATCGAATGTGAAATATTTTTACTGCCACTGAAAGTTATCAACTGTTATATTATTAAAAATCTATGTAATATTTTTATTAATATTTCTTTGAATAGCATGAAGAAATTAAAAGTAAAAATATCTATATAAATGACTTGTTTTGTAAATAATTTAAAATTCAACGAAATGATGGAAAGAACTCTAACTGTCTATTTAAAATATTCAATGTAAAATTACTGTAAATTGATAATAACTCATTATATATGTCTGTTTAATTTAATAAAAATGATTTTATGTAAATAAATAATTAACTATGTATGACATCCCTGAAATAATTATAGTAATGTTCGATTAAGTGCAATTCTGTCGTAATAACCCAATTATGGTATTACAATTTTCTATTAAATTAATTTACGAAAATATTTCAACGAGCTAATTAATGATGACAAAATTCTAAATTAAATATCACATTAATTAAATTATTAATGGTTAGCAATTATATTGAAATAAATTTATAATAATAACATTAAATAAAAAAGGATTAATTAATGTTGATTCTAAAATTTTATGAATAATACACCAACTGAAATATTTCTTGTTTCCTATTTTTACTCACCATGCCATTTACATTTTGCATATCCCCGGACAATCGGCTTAGTCTGTTTGTTGTTGTCATCATGCACGTGAACTAAAATATATTTAAAGACTCCATTGGCGTCGATATCAACATCATGAATTTGATCAAGCGGCTCAGACATTGTAGAAAATGTACGAGAATAATTCAAAAAACCTGTAATAATATCCATATAATAATCAATTTTCGATAGACACTTGAGTTTATTAATTGATAAATCGAATGAATGTTCGAATGTAAACATTGTAGACAGGTGTTTTTTAAATAATTTTTTTAGCTAAAAGTACGATTTAATATCATATTTAAGCAATGGCAATCGTATCTAAACTTACAAAAAATCATGATCTTTTATTATTAATAATTAAAAATTATTTAAATAACGTAAAAATACCTGGTTTATGTAATTTTTTAACAAATGACGCGATCACTCCTCGCGTGTGGGTGCAAACAACCGCCATTGACACTTGTCACGACATCGTACGGCTAGTTCGAGTACTAATTATAGCAATGGCGGGCAGATTTAATTTAAATAAATTAATTTTGTTTTTAAAAAAGCAACTGTCAGAAATTTAATAAAAAATCATTTATTAATTTAATAAACATTTTATGTTAATTTATTTGAAAATGATCAAATAACTATTATTGTGTCGTATAATGAAAATTATTCATTTTTAATGTTGAATTTCCCGCGATTTAGTCCTTTTCATCCATTGGTTCACCAATTCAGGATCAAAAATCAAATTGAACCAATCCACATCCGTGTATGGCCCATCAACAAAATCTAGATTTCTAGCAAAGTACTTTCCTCAGCAAATGTACTCATTGAGTTTTCTTTTCTCCCAATGTCATCGATTCTCTTTCTCAGGGCATGGCCACCTCGTGTTTCAGGTAAACACTCTATTATTTTAATTATCATAAAAATTAATTTTTTTTTCCTACATGTTGCATTTTAATTTGAATTCAAAGAAGATAAGATTGTTTTGATATTTTTTAGTAATGTAGATGAGTATGGATTTGAGAGACCATCGAATTTCGACTATGAAACTTACGAAGAATTCATGTCAGAATACTTGAAAGTATTGGCTAAAAGGGCAAAAAAATGGGCTGAATTAATAGGTGAAGGAAAATCATTAGATCGCAGTATTACTATTAAACGTTATGTCCGTAAAGGCATTCCTGGAGATCACCGAGGGATGGTAATGTACTATTTATTATTTTAATTCTATTAATATTATTTGATGAAATATGATCATAAGTTCTATTTTTTTTTATATAAAAATCATCTTTTATAATTGCGTCAATATTTTTATGGAAAAATATATCTAGTAAAGCTTAAATGATGATTAAATCTAAGCATTTAGAGGAGTATGTGTCACATATGTATTGTGTAAAATAGAATGATGATCACGTTTCATGATAATAATGCAAAGTAAATAGTGAGTAATTTTTATAATAATATTTTTATTTCATCAACAGAGCGAACTTCATTCGACAGATATATTTTTTCAAACGCAATTCTATTTAAACGCTTTTTAAATCTAAAACAAATTCTTTTCTTTTGACTTTCTTTTTTTTTTAGGTCAAAGTTTAATTGATTATTGTCTCTATTGTATTTCAGGTCTGGTTAGCAGTAAGCGGAGGGGAAGATTTGAAGAATGCTGACCCAAACCTTTACCAGAGATTACTTCATGGTCCTCACAATGAGCAGGTAGCGGAAATAATCAAGACTGATCTTCCGCGAACATTTCCAGATAATATATTCTTCAATAATACTGTTAACCATCAGCATCAACTTTACAATATTTTACTAGCATTTGCTCATCAAAACGAAGCTGTTGGCTATTGCCAAGGTTTAAATTACATAGCAGGATTATTATTATTAGTGACAAAAAATGAAGAAACCGCATTTTGGTTACTGAAAATATTAATAGAAAAAATATTGCCTGATTATTATACTCCAACAATGGACGGATTGCTCACAGATATTGACGTTTTAGCTGAATTAGTTAAGTGGAAGATACCAGATGTATTCAATCATGTTACCCAGTTAGGTTTACCCTGGGCAGTTATAACAACCAAGTGGTTTATATGCCTTTTTGCGGAAGTGTTGCCTATTGAGGTATAAAAAATAAATCCAAGTATTATCTTTAAATAATTTATTGCATCTCTAACGATTTATTTTTTTTCAGACAACACTAAGGATATGGGATTGTCTTTTTTACGAAGGAAATAAAATAATATTTCGTGTAGCTTTGACTCTTATTAAAAGAAATAAAGAAAATTTATTAGCGTGTGATGATTTTGGATTGTTAGCGGATTGTTTTAAAGGTATTACGAAGGATAGTATTGTTATACAATGTCACGAATTTATGCAGGTAATTGAAACAATGAAAACCCGATGCTAATTGTATTTTTTTTTTTTTTTGCATTGACAATAATATTTATATTATAATTCTAGAGTATTTTTAAAGTACCTGGATCTTTACCTGGAAACACAATCGCAAAGCTGCGAGCAAAAGTATCTCAGGAAAGAGCGATGAACAAAAAATCTACCGTGCAACGATAGCGCTTATTGAATTATTTTAAATGTGGATTGCATCATGCTCTAGTCAAGTCAGCATTATTCTATATATCTTTCATTGAATCATTGTGCAATTTATTTTTCATGTTTATATACACGTAAAAAGGATATTTTTGCTGGTAAATAATTTTACATTATTGACAATTCTTTATGAAATTATAATTTGATGTATAAAATTCCTACAGATTTTAAATTATTATATAATGTTAGCAATCTGAAGGGACTATTATCGGATCGTCTCTTATCTTTTATCTAAATCGCTGGATCGATAATTGTAAATGATATTTAATATATTGGATACAATTTTTCTTATTGAAATATTTTTATTAAAATATTAACTTATTATTTATTCACACAAATAACCGAATAAATATGTACATAATTTTTTTTACCTAATTTATATAACAGTCACTATTTATTGAGCAAATCTTTAGCTTCATTTATTTTTGCTGCTATATAAGGCGATCCCCCACGATCTGGATGATTAGCACTCATTATCTTTTTAAATTGTTCCTTAATTTTGCCTTTGCTTGCTGAAGGTGATACTCCTAAAATCAGACTAGCTTCTCTCTTCGTCATTGTGGGCTCAAATCCTCCTTTATAATATTTACTGTTTGCTAATGACTATATGTATAACAAATTTTAAACGTTAGCTAAAATTATATTCAATAATATGAATATAAGATAAAGTAAAAAGATAAAAATTACTTGTGAATCTAGTTTTGGCAGAGTTTTATAAGCTTCAGACATCCTTTTAGAAAGCGTTGGCATTGATCTCATAATATAACGGCCTGTAAATCCTACTACAGCTAATCCTACACCAACTACAACTGCTGTACTTGCCTAAAAAAATAATTATTCAAATTATTACAAATTTAATTATCGTTTAAAACTTTAAATCAATATCTAGTATGATAATAATAGTAATTTTTCATCACATGTTGCAATGAAATTTAAGGTTATAATTGTGTACATATCATAGATAACAATTATTTCGATAAATTACTTTACAAGAAGCAATCAATAATATTAAATTTATATTATACATTAAATAAAAATAGCTGTCAATGTAATTATTTACCATTTTAATACAGAAATGTGAAAAATTAACAGCTGCGTAATCGAAATGTAATAAAACTTTGTAATCGTATCACTGTCGTTAAACTAATATTGAAAATCGAACTAATAAATTGTTTTTTTCTATGTCATACGAAATTTATATACGTCCATTTGGCACTGTTAAATAAATAGTTATTTTTATATTTAGATACTTTTTCTAATAATCAACTTTGTTAGAGAATAACAGAGTAATCAACTGACTCCTTTTTCAATACATGAATGAAAATACTCAATCGATAAAAATGGTTTAAATAACTAGATAATCTGATAGTTTTTTAATGCCACATAGTTGCTAATATTTAAACATTATAAAAAACAATTATACAATTTTGTAAATACTCTATTCATTTAATTATTCAAAGAACAATTATTATATCATTATTTAACTAATTCTCTTGTCTTATACACAGCTGAATGTATAGGAAGTAGTATTTTTTATTTCAATTATAGTAACTTTGCTATTTTAATGTTTAATACTGCGAATTTTTTATTTATTTACATTTATTTACTCTACAGAAATATTTATAACAATAAGTCAAAAAAACAAATCTTTCCTAACAGTCAATCAAAAAATAATTTTGAACAACTTATAATTCTTCAACTGTCCATCAATTGATCAAGCGAATACTCTCTTAAAGAAAACAAATAAGGTTTTTACACGATCGTGTGAGTAAAATACGTTATAACAAAGTATCGATAATTCTATTTTGATATGAACTCAAACTTTTACACCCGCTTTTCATTTGTTTAAACACGTGCTTATTGGTTAGAGATCAATTGATCATTCACGCATTTAGTAAAGTTACATTGTCTATTGGCTTAGTCACTAGTTATCTTCACTAATGGATCAAATTTCTAATGCATTAAGCTACGTGATTTTTACTAATCCTATAAGTGCTACGGTTGGCGATTTAGTAAAAACATCTGCAACATCTGTAAGTTCATTTTTATGTTTAAAATGTTTTAATTAACATATAAAATATATCTTTCTCTGTATAGATTATCACTTACTCTGGATTGACTCCTAAAGTAGAACCTAAAATGATACCACCTGAACCTTTGTGGAAACTTGCAGCATCTGCTGGACCATATCTAAGACTGGCAGGAATCAGTGGAGCTTCTGCAGTCATTCTTGGCGCTTACGGAGCTCACAGTAAACTAATGAATATTCTAATAAAGTTCTAATATTACCTATCGACTTTATAATTTATTTTACAGAAGAGTTCAAGGATGAGCAGCTGAAACAAGTATTTGATACCGCAAATCGATATCACTTTTATCATTCCCTAGCTATGATTGGATTATCTTTATGTAGAAAGCCATTTTTGGTTTGTAATTAAATGCAAAATTTAATTCTATTTTTCACTTCTTTTAATTTTTATGGATATTGATATAGAAAAAAATACTAATAGTTTTATATTTACAGACTGCTACACTTTTACTGTCAGGCATGGTGATGTTTAGTGGTACCTGTTATTATTATGCATTTACTGGAGATAGACGTTTCAGTATGATTACTCCTTATGGAGGCATATGTTTCATTCTCGCTTGGTTGAGTATGTGTATCTAAATAGTTTTAATGCAAATATCACATAAGTACGTATTTTTTAAAATAATGTATCGTACGTTTTATTACGTATAAATATGTAAGAATGTTATTAAAGATATATTGAAAACATAAGAATTTTTCTTTTATTTTACTTGAATATTGACTAAATGATATAATGGCCATGAGGAGAATAAATTTTTAGAAATAGGCGGAACTTATTGAAACTTTTCTTGCTAAAGAGTTTATTAAAGAATTTCAAGAAAAAGAAAAACAAATAATATTTTCAGATATGAAAAGTGGCTGAAGATAATAATTGTTATAACATTGCCTTACTTTATAAACAAAAGCAATTTTCCATCGTCAGACAAAAGAACTAAAAAGTTAACATGAAAATAAAAATATCTAATTAATTCGATGAATTTACTTCTAATATTAATGTACATAGACGTTCGGTAAATATAATAAATTATTATAAAAAAATTCATACAACTTCATATGAATTAAGGTCAGCATTAGAATAAACAAAATAATCCATATACGATATCATTTTCTTAAAAGTGATTATGATAATGGTGAAGGGAATTATTTATAAATGGTATGTATGCTTGGAGATATTATGATCATGAAAATTCACCATTAATGAACTATTTTTATTAGAGTATGCAATTAATTCTAAGCCAAACAGTCTGACGATGATAACGGCACCCTTATGTAACTAAATAATGATTTCGCTACCTTATCTTTACAATAGCAATGAGAAATAATATTTAATAGGCTAATAATTATAAGTATTATAATAATATTAATTATTCCATTAATTGTAACTCATAAGTAAAATTAAACAGCGTTGCTTACGATATTAAACAGTGCTCGATAAGCTCTGCAGAATATCTGGCAGCAAATAAGAGATCGATTACAACACAACGAGCAAGAAACATGGAGTTATGATTTTGTTTGTTTTCAAAGACGTAAGTTTTCTTACAACTATCAATTATGCGCATTTTTTAACGCACCACAATTAATGATTTTTCATTAATCATCAATATGATACTCTAATCTTGACCGTCATGAGCCAAGAGAGTTGGCGATGCACACGAATGGAGTACATCGCTGATATAAAACTTCACTTAAGACTTAATGATCGTTCTCACACTCCTACAATATATAATTCCATTAGTATCAGTGCTTCGTGGCTGTATGATAAAGTATTTATATAGACTTACGTATATCAAACTATGCTGAAATAACTATTTTTATTTACATTCTGTTTTTTTTTTCTTTTCCTTTTTTATTAATCGCAGTACATACCGCAGATATAGCTTTTCTCACTTTCAAATCGAAATCGACAATGAAAAATTTGACGATTAATCGACTTAGTTTTTTTACCTATCAAATTAACTTAAATTATCTAAAATTAATTACAACACTTAGGTCTTAGACCAAACACAAATTTACATTTTATTAAAAACCGCATCAAGACAAGTCAAAATGACGAGAATTCTATATGAAATCAAATGAATTCAAAAAAAAATTATTCATTATGCTTTTTACTATATTATTACAAATAGATAATCTTGGAAAATAAATAATAATACATATTAAAAATGCAACAAAAACAATTTCTTTGTTGCAAAATTCTTAATAATTTTACCATGATGATCATAATGTTGGCAACGATGTTGAAAATTATTTTTAATATATATTATCTTCCAAGATATCTGCATATGGTCCCTATCCTAACAGGAGGGATTTTTGGAATCCATTTCTAGGACAGATGGAACGAATGTTGGCCTTCTTGCGCAGCTATTCGTAGCTTTTCTCGCATTATTTCTAAAGTAGTATAGTCCGGCAGTTTAAGATAGTTGACACATGTCATCACAGATGGTAGAAAATCATCTGTCTTCATTGAAGGATCAAAAGTTTTACGTACTATTGTTAATGGTGGGCTTAAACTCTTGAAGCCTAGAATAATACCAATGAAAAATGATTAATTAAGTTAGAGAAAAGTTTTTTCATGTTTTCATAAAGATTTATGAGAAAGATCGAGTTACTTACCACCAACAGGCAAACGTGGAGATCCCGTAACAAACTGAATAAATTGTCTTTGTTCTTCACTATTATATCCCGCCATAACTTCAAACAAAAATCGAATTGCACGAGAATCTGGTGTATAACCATGATCAGTTCTACAACACTCCATAAGAGTTTTGACATCCCACTTTCCACCACTTTGTCCATGACCACAAAATACTGCTTCTAATTCTTCAGGGAAGAATAATCTCAGTTGATTTGTAGGAAACACTGACTCGAAACCTTCTCGAAATGCTTCCATTTGTCTAAATACCCCCTCATAGAGGAACCAATGGACCACAAGCTGTAAAAATAAAATTTGTGTCAAAAAATGTGTTCAAAATAAAAATTCATTAATCAATAATTAAAAAGTTTCTTACCTTAATATATTGGTCCAAATTGTGAATAGTCACAGCTATTTCACTTCCTCCTTTCCTGAGTTCAATATTCTCATATCCCGGTAAAACAAAGACTAATCCGAGATCATTAATAGGACAATTATCTAAATCAAGAGATTCAATAAGTTGTGCTCTTTCATGAGTTCGTAAAGTTTGATCTCGTTCAATGGCCTCTCTTCTTCTAACAACATCTTGAAGCTTACTCAGTGTACGATAAAGATCCGGACAAATGTGAGCAATATCAGCCAATGTAAGAGTCTGTTCTTCTCCTAATAACCATCGATAGAATGTTAAGCTGAATGGTAAGTCAATCATTCTTGAATCATAAATAGCCTTAGCCATAAACTTTCCCAAGAATTTAAATTTAGCTTTAAGCTTTGCAAGATGTGGAACCTTAGTATTCCACGGTGTTGGTTTAGTAAAGAGTCCTTTCAAAGTATTTACATAACCAGATTCATCAGGGCTTGAACTACCGTGCCAGAGTTCCAGATCTGCCCGTTGTAGTTCACGAGAAACTAGAGCGTAAAATTCAAGTGTTGGACCCAGTCCAGTACCAACTTCGTTAATATATTGCACTTCAAGTAGAGCTTTACTAGACGCTAAATCTTGGATAACTTGTTCTGCTTGTTTAAGAATATCTGTTCGAGAGATAGTCCGTTTTCTTCTTTCTAAACGTGGTGTAACACGTTCTTGGCTATCTGAGCCAGATAATTCCGGTGCTGAATCGAGGAGTCGTTGTAAAGCACGATCACGATCGAATGAAGTTGCGTATAAAAGTAGTTGCCTTGTTTCAAACGGAAACAAAAATGGACAAACTGTTGCGATTTGTTGCAACCAAGATGGTAAATTACCAGTCATGATAACCAAAGGATCTTGTAATTGTCTATTAGCTTTGGCAGCAATTTTATTATTGATAAAATCTTGTGGAGACAATAAAGCTGTACTTTTTATATGAGGGAACAAAATACCCCAGTGGCGATTTAAAGAATGAAGTAGTCGTAATAAACATAAACCATCCAATGATGCATCAGAAATTGTCACTGATGGCAAAACTGCTGAAAGATATGGAGCAAGAGGGCACTTGGGTGGTGGAACTGCTCCTTCTAGCCAAAGGCTATCTTCTTTCCTCTTGGAACTTATTTTTGTACTTTTACCTTTGCCTTTTCTACTTGAACTACCTTGAGAGCTAGAACCTGGTTTGGGTGATACCGACGCGTCTTCCTCAGGCACTGGTCGATAATAAATTGTGTGAGTTTGAACCCATACGGCATCATGACCAAGAGGTGGCTCACTATCAGTCTCAGCCTCGGAATGATCCATTCCTGGGCAACTAAATTGTCTCACTGCTTGATAAACTGTCATATTAAATGGTAATATTTCATCTCCAATTAAAAATTGTAATTTGTGTTTAGATCCTTGACTTATAACAACCGCTGCTAAAGTATCATCGATGTCATCTTCACTATTTTCATCATCACTAACCATAGACTCAGCATCACGAATTCTTCCATAACCTCGAACCATCAAATAACGTTCAATAGCCTGAACTAATGCGAGTGGATCAATTTTCACTGTACCACCTTTCCACTGTTTCAAATTATTACAATCAGGATGTCGTTGAAGGTTGCATTTTAATTGGTGCGTATTGAAAAATTTCAAAGCACTTGTTCCGCCACGTCCTGCACCAGAACCTGCTGGTAAATCATGAACTTTGACTGGGAATTGTTCCAATTGCGCAACACAACTATTGAGTTTACTAACAAGAGCTCCAAAAGCTCCAGGATTTAAATCAACAATATTTCCGTCCTGTTGCATTGTAGATTCCGCGAATAACTTCCAAAACATTCGTAATCTATCATAACGATTACCCGGTGCATCAGTTGTAGTTAAATAATTTAAAAGAGCTTTAATTAGACCACTATAATTCATTTCAAACGGTGAAATGTCACTTTCAAGCACTATATCACGTAGTTCTGTTAATGCTGATAACATTTCATCTAACTCATTTGATTGTAGCCGTTGAATTGCTGCGGTAAGACGTGATAACACTGTGAGAGCTGGATGAGTACATGGAGCATCATCTTGATACCTCGATAAAAATTGTGAAGCTTGTTCACGTACCCATGCCTTGGCTTTATCACGATTTCCACCAGTTAAACTTGGATTACTTGGTGGTTTTGTAAGGCTAGATGATGAAGTAGAATCCCTTTTTTCACCTGAGCCACTTGAAGTTGAAGACTTTCTACCCCATCGAGCTGGATTTAAATTACCCAGAAATCTATTATTCTTTGGAGTAAATCCAGTGAACAATGACTCAGGTTGTTGATTTTGCTGAGGTGTAGTATTGCCCAAACGTGCGAGTCTTCCTTTCTTACTCTGCCGTTTTCTCTTTAGTACATCTCCAATTCTTCTAAGAAAATTTTTTAATTAATTTTCGGACAAAATAATGGAAATAATTCTAATTAAGTAGGAATAAAAGGGTTTGCTGTTTAAATCAAATCTAACCCAGAAAATAAATATAAAAAGATTAAACCCTTATTCTACCTTTCATGAGCTTAATAAGTTATTACTTACAGATGAGCACTTTGTGGTGTAGTTGCTTCTTGAATATTTGTACTCAGATCACTTTTGCTACGAGTTTCCATTGTTGTTGCAAGATTTGGCTTTAGTTGGCTTGTCGCTAGTGAGCCAAATAGAATGTTTCCATTAGTGGTTGGGGAAGCAACAGGGGTCATTGCACTACTAGAAGACAATGTCATAGCTGAAGAGAGTGGTGTATTGGATGGACCCGGTTGTGGACTAGGTAATGATGTACCTGAAAATATAATAAAACAATTACGATAAGTTGACTTCAGAATAAAGAAAAAAATTAATTAATTAACCTCTTAATTAAAAAATATAATATATTACCAGAAGAGCACTTGGGTGGTGAGACGCCAAGAGGGACCTCAGGATCGGCCAATTGTCGAATTTGATGTAATACTCCTTCTCTATGGAAATGTACTCCAAACACTTGAGGCAACCTTTTCATTAAAATACTAGCCATTTGTAATGCCCCTATTACTATTCTAAGGTCTTGAGACGCCAACATCCCAGCTATGTGGGATGATACAACTTGATTTTTTAGCACGTCCTTGAGAAGATCAGTAGATGCATAATATACCATACGTAATAGTGCACGTAAGCATTTACATTTTACAGCAGGCCCTGCAGAGCTACTATACACTTCATAGAGAACAGAAAATAATGTTCTAATGAAAGATACCAGCCATTCATTTGTTTCAATCACTGGTGGAACAACATCCATATTCGATGAACAAGTAGGACTCTTATTCTCAGAGTGATCCGTCATCACTCGACGGAATATACTTCGAGCCATACCGATGTCTTCATTTATTTGTTTCATTGTTGTAAGATCGATCGTATAAGTGCGACCTAAAGTAGAAAGACAAATCTCATCTTCGCCATTTTGAAACGCCATCTGGAAGAAAATAACACCGGAATTAATTAAATTTGTATACAAAATAGTAAACATTATAAAAAAAATTAACATACTTCAATGATTCGTGAATCAATGGTGCTAAATGGATGACAACAATGTCTTTCATCACGCCATTCCCAATGAACAGTTTCTTGTTGATTATTCGTTCGTTCAAGTAGACTATTTACACTAAATATTCCATCTGTAGGCAATGGAGGCATCAACTCTTCGATGAGACATGTTATTTCAAACCATTCTTGAGGAGATCGTGGTACCAATTCGACATCTTCCGTTTTTACTTCAAGAGAACCAGTCAGTAAATAGCTTAATGTGTAAGCTATATTTTGTTGAAGCAGCAGTTGGGCTAAATCGGGACACCGATTTGATATCACAGAGAGCATTCGTAAAACAGTGATGAAATTATTAATACTATTAACTGGAGGTGTAATCATTAACTATAAAAAAAAAGGTACCAAGTTAATGCATATCACATCAATATTTAAGAAAAAAATTAATATTTACTTACCAATTGCTGAAGATTTTGCAATAACTCAGGAGTAATGATTTTATGCAACATCACAGGATCGTGTTGAAAACTATCAACTAAACGACTGAATGCTTGGCAAACACATTCGACACTTTTTTTATCTTGATTTGCAAGTCTACTTGTTAACAATGTCAAGCTGTCAGAAACTAAGTGGAAATCGTCTGGATGAAGATTTTGACAGCAATTGGCGGTAATTGTTAATGCAGCACGTTGAGCTGTGATGTTGAAGAAATCGACGAATTTTAAACAAGCACTTACACCACCAGCATGAAGGATTGTCTTACTATGTCTTCGTGATAACATAGCAAGAGCTGTTAGACATTGTTCTGCAACATCCATGCATTCAATAGATTCTAATTTCTGGAGAAAAACTGGAACTGCATCTACTACAACCGTTGATGATCTAGGTAATGCTTCCATCATATATGTGAGTGCTCGGCACGCGTGGGTCATGATGACGAAATTGTGCTCGATTCCTAAGAGATTTATTAATGCTGCAACAACTTGTTTAACTGGGAAACCAGTAAGAGTGTCTTCATTTCCCATAACGAGAATTTCTCCCATTCCTATAACTGCTTGCAGCTGTTCTCCTTCATCATTTACGGCTTGTAAACCTGCTAGAAGCTGTTGTGCTTTTGCAGCTGAGCTAGCTCCCATACTACGATTGAGCAAATGTTGCATTCTTGGTCCTAAAGCTCCAAAAACGTGAGGAGGAAGACCCCGTGCTTCAAGAAGAGCTTGAAGCCGGCCAACTTCTCCGTCATCGCTTTCGCTGTCACCAGTTGTACCAGACATTCCAGATGGACCTCCACTAGGAGCAGCTGACGTTGCACTGGCAGTAGATTCTTCTTCACCAACTGAAGAAGTAAGAGGACCTCCCGGCGTTACTGATGCTGATGCAGATGTAGGTGTAGTGGTATTGGTTAGTGAATCACTTGTCGACATAACCAATCCAGTACTAGCAGAAGTACTTGTTTCTCCTCCTGCTGATTTGCGTGCTCGTGACAGCGAGCGATGTCGAGAACTCGAACAAGATCCCGTCGTTGTATCTTTTTTATGATGTTTCCCAAGAGATTTGCCACTCGTTGTAAGCTCCTTTGGTTGATCACTAGACAACTTTACTCGTGATCGTAACAGATGTTTATGCGTTGGATGATGGTGCGTAGAGTTGGCACTCGCGGAGGCAGACACTGGGGGGTTTCCAGTGGACGTCGTTGTAACGCCACTTGTGCCTGCCCCGTCATGTGCCAACGCACCCCCTCCACTCTCCACAGAGTTACTAGCTGCGTTACCCACTCTGATGCTGGACTTCACACCCAGAACTTGACTACCCGTTCCACCGTTTATGTAATTTCCGCCACCACTTTGTATTTTGGAACCTAACATTTCCAAAAAATAGCTTTTTACTATTGCAAAAAAACGTTATGCATTATTATAATAATGTCCTCATATACAAGTAATAATATTGATTAAAATTTGAAACATATGAATTATATTTACCTCGTCCTCGAGATGTAGAAGGATAACTAGTTAAAGAATTACTGGATGACGGCGTTATATTAACTTGACTAGCCGATGATTTTTTGCTGTTATAAATATTATATATATTGGCCAATGATACTTCGAAATTACTAGTGCTTTGAACAGTTGGATTCTGTGGAGCACGAGAACGAGTTCGAGAAGCTACACAATCAATAGGTGCAGAATTAAGTTCAGGTAAAGTGCTTTTTGCAGCAGTTTTTCTTCCAGAGTTACTACTACTGATATTGTTAGAAGAATTTTGTGCTTTCAGTTGCTTCCAATCAGTATCTGAAAGTTTTATAAGCATCAATGAGCATTTGTGATTATTAATAAACAATGGGTTATTGATGAAGAAAGCTAAAAACATACCAGCAAGCGATCCTACACCACCTCCATGATTTTTACGTTCTCCCTTTGCTTTACTTTCTCCTTTAGATGAATCGATTGAGCGCCGGTGAACGGGGATACCACAAGTTTGAGAGGGTTGTGAATCAGTCTGTTTGCGACGTTTTTCAGCGAGTGTTGCAACAACAGTTCCAGCTCCCTGTCGCTTTCTATATCCAGTAGTGCTACTATTTTTCCCCCTTAATTTAGAGGCGTCTGCTGAAGCACTAGCCTTCTCTACAGACCCCCCGAGTGACGACTGATCTTGTTGATCTGCCATAGATTAATCGACGCATGCCACTATTCTGTCTGTAAAAAAAAAAATTCTCCAATTTTTATTTTGAAAATAGTATTTTTTAACTTCATCACGTTTCTTCTAATTAATTAATACAGAAAAAAAAATCACGAATTATTTTGAGGTTATAACTCATTTAAACATTCTTTATGAATTAATCAAAATTTAGTTCAATTGACTTGAAGATAGACTATAATTTAAATAACAAAAATATTTTTATACAATCACATTGTTATTCTTTAAACAAAAAATTCACTCTAAATAGATAACTTTATCTCGCATAGTAGCACTTTCCTTCATGATTAGTGTGGTTATTTATATGGATAAAAAAAAAATGTAAATATAAAACATAAAGAAACAACAAAAACCAATTACAGCGGTGATATGTCTGGTCTTTTTCTCAGGAGAAAAATTTAATTTCCAATGATGATCCAAGTATGAACAAAATCTGACGAATCACTGTACACATAAAACTATCAACTGCACTCGGATGTTTCAAGAACGGTAATAGTGTCCTACTACGAAAAGTAAAATGTAGGTGTATAACAAAAGCCCTTACTCACAGACCTCACAGAGACAGCAAGCCACCATTTGCTTGCTGGTAAAGTAATGGAGGACGAGTTGGTTTCTCCCTCTCTCTTTCACCGATTCTCTTGTCGCCAGAACCCGAGAGCTCTGGGATTGAGAGGTATAAAAGAGGGGGGAGGGAGAAAATCAAGGGGACGAGGGAGGATACGAGACGAGACGATTGTAGATGTCTACATGCCAAAAATATTGAATAGGTTATCTTTATGTAGGTATTATTGTGGAAATGGTTACCTGAATAACGAGAAAGCATACGCGTGGCATGATGAGGCTGAAGTAAATGGATTTCTTTGCAATACTCTGCACTTCTATGTGTGCAATACATACAGTGTCGAGACACGATGTGATGTATAACACACAACAGTACACACATGTACGAATGTAGGGGGTAGTGTCTATATGGATGAAGAAAAAATGACTCACACAAAAGCAACACCAAGTCACTACCCCATCGAGTACTGTCGAGGTCGTCGACGAGGCTCTACTGAGCTCTATCTACTATCAAAATGTGCGGGTTATCAAGCTTAGGTTGGTTAGGATTGGGGAACCTACGGGAGGCGCTCCGCCCACTTGATAAAGAACGAAAAAAAGCAAGAAGGTAAAAAGATGATGAAAAAAATGTCAGACACAATCACAGGCGTTATAAGTGAAGATAAAAGCATTGAATCTTTAGAAAAAGATGATGAACAAGTAAAAATAAGTCTTACCATTACTCCCTCGAGACTCGAGAATTAAACACACTTGATTGTAAAAGAAAATAAAAGAAAAACTTGAAACTATAGATGATGACGAACCACTAGTTGGTCTTGGCCTCAGACGGCCTTTCAGTACGTTTAATTATTTCACCAACTACTTTATTCTCATCATACATAATATATAACTGTAATTTACACTTATAAACACTCAAAATAATAGCAATTTGTCCAGTATATACGGTTATAATTTAATTTTTACGTGATTGTGTAAAATACTTATAAATTACCTAAGATATCACTGCGCAGGTGTTAAACTCACGACTGACTTCGAAATTCTGATAGGCTTGAAGTGCGTGCAATGTGTACGCGGCGTGTTCACTTTATTTTACAGTGTTGCCACGTCATTTTCCGATTGCGCGCGAAAAATGACAAATTCAAATAAAAAAAATATCGATAAAATGACGTAAAAGCAAAAAATGACCATGAGGTTAAGGAAAAGGTCAAAACAGACTAATTTCAAACTCATTGGGTGTAGATTAAAGAATTCAGAATAATAGTTTTTAAAAAAAATGATCCTATTTAAAGGGAAAACACGACAAAAGCGAGGCATTTAATAGTGAAAATTAACTAACTTATGAGATGATAGATATGACAACGTTGATATTCTAACAGCTGTTTGATGCAGGTCCTTTTGTTCAGTCTCGGCCTTCAAGTACGACAACCGATTGGTGGAAATTACAGACGACTTCTTATTGGCTGCTGATTTGTATCTAACTGACTTAAGACAATAAAAGCTCGTGTCCATCAAAACAACGTACTGCTTTTGATGCAATTGAATCAATAAATTTTAAAATAAGCAGAATTTATGATGTCTATCAGCAACGACAAGTCGCATAATATGTCTTATCGTTCGATATGATTCTGCGTTTTATCTTCATCTATGTGGACTTACCGAAAAAGGGAGTTCCTTGCAGTAGAACTCTTAATTACGCAACACGAGACACAAAAGTACACGTGGATATATAGACGAACTGTCAAATGGAGAAATTTTTCTTGATTGCCATCAGGTTTAGAATGATTTTTTTTTCTTTACTTAAAATCTTTCAACACTTTGACAAACCAGAATTATCCAATCTTCTATTCAGTTCTGACTTTTCTGCCAGTTTTTTCAGTGAACCTTCAAACTTCCGTAATGGAGCCGCCTGCTGACTGAACTACGAAGCACACTTTAAACTCGCAATTGTCCTACTGATTACTCAATGGATAAAGGATTTCTCAATTTATTATATTAAATAGATCTAAAGAATATTATAGATATTGTACCAAAGACAAAAATTATTTGTACCCATTTTAAAAGCAAATTGTCTGTAAGCTTTCTCTCACAATAATCCTACGTTATTACAATTAGTCATATGAATTTGTTCAGTATTTTTGTCAGTTAGCAATGGAAGTACTCATTCAATATTCAAGGATGAAAATTAAATATTCCTACACTTTTTTCAATTGCAAATATTGTTTATGTTTATTCTAAAACTCTAGTCTTTAATAATTATTCATTCGTTTCAACTAAATAATCCAATACTATCTATTTGTATTCAACAAAAATTTCTGATATTTCTTAACTAACAAATATTTATTTTATTTTGTTATTGACAGTTTTTAATTTCCATGCAGTTATTTTATTTTTACCCAAAATTTTTCACTTTTCTCATTTTTCTACATGCATGAAAATAAAAGTATGAAAATTGATTGAATTTTATTTTCACTTTTAATAAAGAATGGTATTTTTCTAAATATATGTCTTTATGAGGGCATTATAAAGTTATTTATAAAAAACATTACAAATAATTTTGGTTATGATAATTAATATTATAGTTAATTTTATTATCGTCTTTTTCTATTATTACCATTAATGGTGTCATTTATTTGAGCACTTTATTAATGTTTCTCACTACTATCTTAAGTAAACAATACTATAATCATTCAGTAAAGAATACGCAATGTGTCCGGCATCCATTCAAAGACATCACTCATCTATAAAAAATGTTTCAAGGGTACATAAATAAATTAATATAATTTTGCTATTTTTTTTAGTATAATTCAAACTATGTTACGTTTCCTTATCGATTCCATATAACAATTGCTTGAACGAATCTTCATTTATTGTTTCTAGAGATAGAGGATTATCTTCAATATATCTTTCCTTGAGGATACCATCAATTGCGTGTTTTATGTCTTTATGCAGGTCGGTTGGAATTTCCCTTAAAGTCCTAAAAGGATCATCTGGCCTCATAAAAATATCTTCGTTCGTTGGTGATGATAATCTTAGTTGTTTCATTTCTACAGATGGAGAAAACAAATTGCTACGAGAATTATAATTAGTAACAGGTAAATCAATTGCTCTTGGATTTATGAATAAATTTTCTAAAGCTCTATTATTTCTCTGAGACAATTCTCTGAGAACATTATCACCATTGTCCTGAGATATTAGATTTACTGTAGAATTTTTTACTTCCCAACTATTTATTTTACTGTTTTCATTTCCATTAATTTTATTGTTATTACTAGCATTATTCAAGTTCAAATCACTTTCTCTTTTTAAAACTGTTTGTCCATCACTATTGACAATCAGAATAAATTTGTTCACCTGATTCGGATCTATTGAAAGAGGGGGATCTGATAGTAAAGGAGTTTTTTCTCTGCTTGTAAGAGAAAGGTCACTATTTTCATTGGTAATCTTGGTAACAGGAAGTAAATGAGACTCTGATTGTTCTAATGACTCACTGGTGTCTACTGCAGCTGGACATTTATGTGTTCTTTGACTGACCTAAAATGAAAATTCAAGAAAATGATTCATTTCATTATTCTTCGAGAGTTGCAATCTATTATAATTCTTTTAAATGAAAGTTTAGAGATTCTCTTCAAACAAACATGTATGTATGTATGTATGTATGTATGTATGTATGTATGTATGTATGTAAATTTGTGGATCTTTGTTCAACACAAAGATCATGTTGATGGACTTTACACAATTATTTATTCTTCTAAATGTTACTTTATCAACAATTACTAGTGAGACATGCAACTTTTGCCTTTCTATTAAAAATAATTTCTCGTGCTAACTGAAGAGATAAAATAAACAATTACACAACATTATTAAAATAATGACCTTGTATCTAAAGCTCTTTCCACAAGCAGTACAAGTATAAGGCATAACTCCTGTATGGATTCTCCTGTGAACCAAGTAAGAAACACGCTGTCTAAAACATTTTCCTAGAACAAAATTGATATTTATGCTTAATTATTATAATATAATTCAATTTCAAAAGTATAATAATACGTTTATGTTTCGGAGAGCACTTACATCAATAATTTAAAGATTAATCCATGCCTCACACACTGTATTAGATGTTTATACAAAATAGAAACACCATTAGTAGTATTAACTGAAAGCAATAAAATTCATGGAGTAGCAGCAATAATGAAGTACAATAATATAGTGAATATTCTGATGATTACATACCACAAGTCTCACATGCAAACGGCTTTTCTCCAGTATGAATTCTCTCATGGTTATGCAATGTTGAAAGCTCTTTAAATGATCTTCCACATGTAGTACATGTATGAGGCTTATCGTCCTTATGATATAATCTATGCTTGTGATATGATTGTTGAAAGGTAAATGTTTTATTGCATATATCACATTTGTAGGGCATTTCTCCAGAATGTAATCTTTTATGCTTTTTAAGAAAATATTTTGTCGTAAACATTTTACTGCATACATCACACTCCCATTGCTTAGCTTCGTGCGTTTTTAAATGCTGAGTTACGTGTTGCTCCTAAAATAGATAAAGATTATGAGTTTATAAAATAGTTTAGCTTGACGTAAGTATAGATTATGAAGAGTGACATTGAAATTACCTTACGAAAATTCTTCCCACACGTTGGACAATTAAAGCCATTCCTACAGCCCACTTGATTTGAATCTTTCTCATTGGATAATAGTCCTGTTAATTAATTAATACACATGTCAGCTAATTTGTTTAATGTTTATTTTATTCTTTAATTACAACTATTTAAGATAGAAAAGTATGATAAAAATAACGTTTATTTGATCAATTATCTTATTGATGTAATTATAAATTATTTTTCTATTTAAATAAAAAAATTTACCTGAATTGTAATTAGTATGAGCAACACGCATATGAACCATCAAACTTCCTCGTATTTTAAATACTTTGTGGCATAAATGACATGGATAGTTTTTTAATAAAACTTCAGATTTAACATTAACATCATTTTCAGCTATCGTATGTACTAGTTGTTTATGTAACATCAATATATTATAATCAGGAAAGTGAAAGCCACATAAGTTACATCGTTCTGTTTTCTCTGAAGACGCTAAATTTCTCAATGACTTTAAATGAGGTAAAGCATGAATGTCATTATTACTGAAAGAAGACGACACTTTACGTTCACCTTTCTTTTCTTCAGGTTCAATAGAAGTTGGAGCGTGACGAGTATCTGGAATGTGCAAAGTCAACTTTTTCGAGTCAATTTTCTTATCTGTTTCAGCTGAAAGAACTTGATTCTTCAATTGATTTGATAACATATTTTTACAGTTTCCAATGTTTACTGAAGACTTCAAAATACATGTTGAATTCTCTCTGTCAGGATGAAGCAATAAATCGTTTGTCCACGTCGATGCCAGCTGAAGAGCATCACGTTGGTGTGGTTTATTAATAGACGTTGAATTTTCAGCTTGTATCACACATGGGTTAGTGTTATTCGATGATAATAGTTTGTAGGATTCTAGATTTTGCTCAAAATTGATTGAACTCGATTGATGCAATAATCGTGATTGTTTATCGAAAATTAATTCATTTGAAGATTCTTTTGAAGTACTTTGAGGAACAAAATTGTTTACATTGGCAGTATCTTGAGGCTTATTAATTTTTACTTGATTTTCTTTGGGTAATTTTGATGATTCAAGAGTGTTGATAGAATGACCAAATAAATGAATTGTTAATTTTTCTATTCCTAGAAGCGTCTCATTACAAATTGGACACATTAATGGACGAGTTGCTACACTTACAAGACCAATTCTCAACGAATCCAGTGATTCAAAACTGGGTCGCGCACATAAAGGACAAGAAAATAATTGTGGACACATTTCTGTGGATCTTAAATTGAAATATTATAAGTAAAACATTACTTTGGATAGTGAATTATTTTTAAGTATATTTATTTAAATAACAAGGTTGATAAAAAATAAGTATTCAAATAACTTTTTGAATTCACTCAACATGTTTCACTAGTATTACTATAATTATCTCCAACAGTCACTCTTGAGATGTAAAGACTATAGTTAAACTTGACCTAATTGGTACACTAATTGTAATTATCACGTCTAAGAATTCAATTTATGTAAAAAATAAGAATTTCAGGACATGGGAAGTATGTTGAATTATTTTTTGTCAATATACGACTGAGCCTTAAATATGTCTGCTACTGGTTAAAAATGATTTCAGGGTGTTTAGATTATTTTTAGATTACCGGCGGGATTTTTAAAAAAGTTATTTAAAAAAAGCATTTCAATTTTTATTTAATGAACAATAATAATCTGGTTAACACCATAAAAAAAGTAGAAAAAGCATTATTAAAATTAATTCAATACTTAACATTTATATGGTAAATTATCTTTACAGCAATATTCTCGTCCACCTGACAAATGAGTATTAATCCACTTGTCAGTGCAATTTTTCACAAATAGATATGCTTTTTCTTTATGACAATCACGTTTGAGGGCTCCACAAATAATTGCAGTACTATTCGCCATGTGTTTTGCGATCTATAATGATTGATAATAAATAAATTACCATTACAAAATATCCAGAGAAACTCTTTTCATTAGAATATTTTTGTTTACTCACCACATCAATACATTTATGGGTGCATGATTTCCTTCCAGCTGTAGTACAAGAAAATTTTCCTGATATTTCATGAATAATAGTAGGTTCACCCTTTGGTGGTTCTTTGCTTGATTTTTTAATAGATGGACTAACGAATATGCCACAAGTGCAATCAATTGAATCTTCTGTTATTGGTTCAACAGTTGATGAGATCACGTCTGATGAAGTTTTGTTTTCGTTGGCACAGCAGAGGTATATCCAGAGAAAAATTATTCCAAACTGCTTCATCATTATGAACTACGTAACGAATATTTTAAATCAATAATTTATGAAATATATAACTTAAATGAATATATAAATATTAATTCACTTACTTAATCAGGTTATCGGTCTCGTTAATAACGATTAAATGATGTACTGTCACTCAAATCAATCTCTCTTATATATTTCGTGTGAATATCGCAATAATAATTAAGCAAAAGATTGAACTCGTGGAATTTTAAACTTGCAGCGTTAGCAAGTGACCGTAAAATGTTTCAATTATGTAATAATTCACGTAAGTTATTAAATTATTATTTGAATTATAAATGATAATAATAAAAGGAAACGAAAACAATCCACTTGAAATATTTCAAACATTTATTCTAGGTCATCTTACTAAATCGATCAATGAAAACAAACTTCCCTTCTCCATCTAAAACAACTCTTTCAGAATTAGCTACGATTTTGTAACTACATTTTATGATCTTTCTGTTCGATAAGACTGTCACTGATATTTCAATAACATCTCCAGCATAACAAGGCTTTGGATAATTAAGTAGTTGATGAACCACAAGTGTTCCTGGTCCTGGTAATTTTGTACCTAAAACTCCGGATAAGAATCCATTTAATAAAGCACCGTGAACTATTTTTTTATCTGCGTTTAAGTGAATGGGATTATAATCATTAGTCAGCTTGGCAAAATTAATTACATCATCTTCTGTAACTGTTCTAATCATTGATACCTTCTGACCAGGCTCAAATTTCCGAGATAATTCACTTGAAGATGAACTCGACAGTTTTTTATGAGCTTGTAATATCTGAAGCTTTTGAGAAATATTCAAAAATGTTTTTATGTCTTTTAAATAGTTCATCGTAGATGATTAATTACGAAACAATTTCAGACGTATCAGTTGATGACGACTCTTCAGTATTTTGAAGAGTACTTTCTGGTTTATCGCAGTAATCAGTTACAAATATAGTTACTAAATTTTTGATACGCTTATTAGACGAATTAGATAGCTCAGTTAATCGATTGATTAAATCAGGTGTGACAATTGAAGCTTTTGAACTATTCGTAATTAAAAACATCAAAGTCGTTAGAGCAGAAAGCACAGATTCTTCGTCATTAGAGAAAATAAGGGGTAATATCAACTGTCTGCCCTGGTTTCGCAAGATATATGCTTTATTCAGCGGGTCTGAAAACAACGTCATTATTGAAATAATAATATTTATTAAGTAATAACTTTCCACTTACCTAAGCATAAATTACATATTCCGCCAATGGCATATCTGACAAGAATTTTATCGGGCTCTGAAAGTATGTGGAGAAAAAGATCAAGTATTCTCAGCTCTCTAATGTAATCGTAATTAATTGGATCATACGCAAAATTTGCCAAGTTGGCTAAAGTTTGTTTCTTTGCCTCTGTAAAACATTAATTTATTCATTTATAATAATTTTAAGTTATTATTTAATCAGCATACAAATAAAGAATTTACTTAAACGTATTCTAACCTCTGGATTTCGTGGTCTTAAATTCGGTAGCTAACAACTTTAAATAATCATATCGTCCAATGTTATTATATCCAGTACGTTCAATTAAACGTTTTTTTGTTGAAAACATTGTCTCACTCCTTATAATAGTATTTTTTCATCATAAAAATATGCAGCATCAATTGTAAACAAAATAACCTTCAAACACTCATCACTCGATCAGCTGATTAGTCTACATTCCTGCCATCTCAAGCCCAACAAGTGAAACAATTTAAAAGTAAAGCGGGAGCCGTCATTCAGTCCTTATTTATAACTATCGCACAATTGAAAGATGCATAATTTATGTATTTATGTATTTATAATCTTCTTTTCTCACTTAAAAAACTTACAAACATTATTTTTATTTCTTTCAATTATTGATTTTGGATACTTATATATTTCTTGGTAAAACCAAAGTCTTCTATTTAAAATTCAGTATTGTTTTTACTATTTTTATTTAGAAAAATATTTTTTTATCTATAAATATGTTTGTGTTTTATACCTACAGATTATTACTTTTCTTTCTCACAATTGAGGTTTTCAACGTCCTTTTTCACCACTTTTGTTGAATATTCTTAAAAGAGAATTAAAAATTACATAATTTGTAACTCAAGAAAATGTTAAAATGCTCATATCTAAAATTTTTATCATCTTGATTCAATATGTTTTATATAATTAGATCTTTCCGATGTTTTGACTCAAATGAATAATTTTGATTAGTAAGTTAATTCATGCTAACAAGTGGAAAAGTCAACGATATGTTACATACCTTTTTAATTAATTAATATAATGCAAACAAAATAAATAGTCTAATGATGAATTGTTTCAGTAGATTTATGAGTATGGTAATCATTACTTTAAATAAGATTGTCAAGACTAATTATAACCATCTTAAGTATTTTATAAGAATTTTAGTAAATTATTTTTGGATCAAATGAAGTTTATTTATTTTGCATTAATTTAGTCTATTATTGCAGAATCTCTTGCCGTTTGCAATTATTATATATTCTAATCAGCAACGCGTCAAAAATGCTCTGTGTTTCGGAAAGGAAGCGATGAATAAAGTAATTGGTATTCCTACTTAACATCACTTGACCTTTACCCTTCTCTAGGGCGACTGACTATTTCGTCTTTTTAATTATAGGACTAATAAATAAGATTAATAAGTTTTAAGAGACCGAAAGCAAGTTACTATTAATTTATTTATCCTCTTAATCTCTTAAGTTATTTTTATATTTAAAATTTAATCTAAGCAATTGTTAAATCCAATTGATAGATAAACACTACTTATGATAATTCAATCTTCAATGTTGTTAACTATCATTTTTAATCAAAGAAATCAATACTTTAATCACTTGATAAACTTTGATATTGATACTTGTTTTGTAATGTGATCAATATTTTAGCTGATATAAATCAATAAATCCAGTATATCTTGCTAATCAAGCTTTGAATTAATGGAAGGTAATTTATTAATAGTGGATAATAGTTACAAACAAATTAGATATTTTTTAAACTTCATTAAATAAATTTATCTTTAGTATAAACGACGCATAATAAGCACTACAAGGTAAGTCATGTTATTTCTACCATTGATGTAGTCATTAACGAGCATCTTCCACATCCCCTTTGTGCATTTCATTCATCACAGACACACATGTATTTATTCGTAGGTGTACTATATAAATAATGCGTCTCTTCAGGAAGTTTTAGTCGCTTCCCAGTTCATGATGTTTTGATCTTCTCCACTCATTCATTTACATCTTAAGAAAGTTTGTGGAAGAAATAGTGTACCATTTTTCAAGTTTTTGCGGCTCTAATAAAGTTTGTGTCGGTGGTTCTGCCTTATTATTAATTTGAAAATATGCGATTACTTTTGATTTATTATTGGATAAGCGGTGTCCTACTTTCTTCAGGATTATGTCTAAAAACCGCTTTCGGGCAGTATCAATCAGCACCCCATATCGTCGTCTTTATGGTAGATGATCTGGTGAGAGGAATTATTAAATAATAACGACAATTATTTATAATCCAGTTATGTACATCAGTAAAATATTAAACAATGAACTTTTGATTCTAATTCTTTAGCATAGATTATGATGAATTAAACTCATATTGTTTCACGAAAGTGGTAGATTGATGTGAACTTCGCGTGTACTTAAGTGAAAGAAGTAATCGTGGAAGCAAAAAATCTAAAGCTACTCAACGTCTAGTTCATGTTATATCGAAGCTAGGATTATATTTAAATAACAGAGTGCATATTTTTTTAACTTGGATCTACATATTTAATGTAATTCGGTATGATTACTCTGCAGTATAAAATTGTCTTGAATTAACGAGAGCTTCAGTTAAGACAATTACTTAGACTGACACGTTATCAACGCCCACATAGTCAATGAGGATGCTCTCTTACTAAACTGATGACTCACAATCCGACACAACAAATAAATTTCCTTCAAAGTAGCAACAACAAACGTGCCGTTCCTACATGTGCATTTTATCGTCGCATCTACCCTTCTTTGAAGTTCAATTGTCATTCCAGACTATTAACACTCGCTTGATATTTTTTCTTTTTATTAGGGATGGAATGATGTTAGTTTTCATGGCTCCAGCCAGATTCCAACACCTAATATCGATGCTCTTGCTTACAATGGAATTATTTTGAATAGACATTATGTTCTTCCCTCTTGTACACCCACCAGGGCAGCTTTCTTCTCCGGGAAATATCCCATACGCATGGGTTGGTATATCCTATAAAGATAAAATAAATGTGTATATAATTAAAAATTAAAAAATAGAAAATAGTTTGAATTATTTTTTACCTCACTCAATTCATTTCTAGGAATGCAAGGTGAAGGAATAATGGGCGGAGAGCCACGTGGCTTACCTCTAAACGTACGAATTCTACCAGAGTACCTTCGAGATTTAGGATATTCACCTAAACTCGTTGGTAAATGGCATCTAGGCTTCCACACACGACAGCACACACCACTTCATCGAGGATTTGAGACATTTTTCGGATTCTACAACAGTCATATTGCTTATTATGACTACAGATATTCACAAGGCGTAAATTTCAGCATTTTAATTTAATTATCAATCGATTAATAAGCATCAGAAATACATTTTATTTTGATAAATGATATTGAAGAATTTTAATTTTAGTTGAAAAGAAAATATATGGGCTCTGATGTATAAAATCTTGATTGGATTTAATTATTTATTTTGTAAATAATATAATTTTTTATTTGATTATAGAATATGAGTGGATTTGATCTACATCGTGGTGATCTTCCTGCGTATGATGTTCAAGGTCAATATGCTACAGATTTGTTCACTGAAGAGGCTGTCAAAATAATCGATCATCATGACCCTATCAACTCACTATATCTTCAAATCAATCATCTTGCTGCACATGCCCCTCTAGAACCTCCAAACGATAACTTCAATCTGGATGACTTTGTACATATTCGCGAGCCAAATCGGCGCAATTATGCCTGTATGAATATCCATTTATTGATTTCTTTCTTTTTCATCAAATTTCTCTTCCCTAACCACTATTGCTTTTTTTGTTAGTAATGGTAGCTCGCATGGATGAATCTCTGGGACGTATCGTAGCTTCCCTCGGTGATAAAAACATGCTAAAAAACAGTATAATAATTTTCATGACAGACAATGGAGCACCAACTATTGGCAAATATCGAAATTCTGGATCAAATTGGCCTCTCAGAGGCGTGAGTATCAATCCATTATTATTTATGATTTTAATTATGAAGATGTTTGATTGTCTAATAAAGAACTCTGCTCTCAATATTTCAAAATGAATTTAAAAAAATTATTTTCTTCTCTTCATTGGCGATTCAAAATTTTTTATTTGCTTCAAGTTTTTCACGAACGTTAATGGGTTAAAGCCAGCAGCTGGAAGATGTTTTTTGTCTGAAGGATATCAAATAATTATGTTAAATCATTCTACAGACAAAATATACCCTCTACGAAGGTGGCGTGAGAGGTGTAGCTGCAATTTGGTCGCCGAGATTACACTCAATGGCTCGTGTTTCCAATAATCTGATGCACGTAACTGACTGGCTACCAACTTTGTATACAGCAGCAGGTGGGAACATCGCTGATTTAGGCGAAATTGATGGTGTAGATCACTGGCCATACTTAAGTCAAGGCAAAGAGATTCCACGAGAAACACTTTTACTTAACATTGATGAAATATCCAAGACTGAAGGTGCCATTCATAGGCGATTTAAACTTGTTCGAGGTGCTTACAAACGTGGTTATTATGATCAATACTATGGAGAGTCTGGCAGGAATCATGAAGTACCAGCATATAATTATACTCTAGTTCATCGCAGCTTCGTTGCCACTGCTATCAGTGCTCACTTAGGTGATCCAATGACACAGCCAAGTGCCATGACACATTTAAGAGAACAGGCATCTGTTTTGTGTCGAAGAAAGAGCACTTTTTCGTATTGTAATGAGACCGAGTGTCTGTTTGATATTGTCAATGATCCTTGCGAAGCTACCAATATCGCCAAGCAATATCCGAAGGTCAGTAACTGCGTGATAAATTATTTCACTTGTTATTCCAATCACGTTATGATACTCTGGAAGAAAAAAAAAAACATAAAAATATATTAATATACTGATACTTTAATAAGTTAATTAATGACTGGTCATAATTTTTATATTAATAAAAATAACAAAAAATTCCTATGCATAGGTCAGTAATTATTTTTACTTACTCATTGGAATTTTATCAATATTAAGAGGTTTCTCTTTAATTAAATGATGAAACCTTTAAATGTTTTTGTCATAAATTATTAGTTCCAAGGTAACTTTAAAAGGAAAAGTTATCAGATACCTTGCCCTTGATACTCAATTAAATTTCAACTTCTAAAAACTTTAAAACCAGAATATCTGAAGTCATAAGAATTTAAATGAAATTTTTAACAAAATTTTACAGAATACTAGTTGCTGAAATTATTTTCTTCAATGTATTTGTGTTAGTACTATTATAGTTAGAAATATTATGCAATAGTGAATCGATTAAAATGCTAATTACATATGAGGCAACGCCTTTCTGCATAATAGAATCAATTAATAATGAATTCTTCATTACTAATTCTAATAAAAATAATTACAGGTTGTAACGGAACTTGATCTATTTCTGGAAAAATATGGCAATGTCCTGGTAAAACAACCAAGACTTCCAATTGATTGGTTGGCAGATCCTCGAAGGAGAAATAATACTTGGGAGTCCTGGTTAAATACTGGAATGGATCTACAACATCTTTATGGGTATAATGCTGCTTCATCAGTCAACACTGTAACAGTCTGTGCTCATCTAGGATTGGCATTGCTTATCATAGGTCTAAGATACCTTTATTTTAATCCAGGATACTAGCCTATCGTTGAATGGAGATGATTTTATTTTCTATCGGTCTACTTCAAATGTACCCAATCAAACTAATTAATAGTAAATACAATTTTATCACGATCTTGATAATGATCAAGATGCTGATAGATAACGAATACAAACCCCACTGATAAACTATAGTATTTTTACAAATAATTAATAGATAAAATGGAATATAATTAATATATATCTTGATCATATTTTATCCGTTTCATTTTCATGTATATCATTTATGTAAAATTTTTTTTATTACTTTCAATGAGTAATTATCAATATTTCTCCGAAACTTGGACTAATGATTTTACTTTATCATATTTTATTATTATATTATACTTTTTGCTAGACAAAAAAGTTAGTAGTAAAGTGTAAATAATAAAGTTTTGTATAATCAAGACTCCTTATAATAAAACCTTGGCCAAGAAATTCTTTATTAATTAATATTCTCAATGTAAGACATCACTTATAAAATTCATGTTAATAGATATAACTTTTGCTATGACGTAGATAAAATAGTCGGGATAAAAATTCCCCACCACTTTGTTTAATGAAATAAAGTAAAAGATAAGAATTTTCTTGTTCAGCATTTCAATGTGATATCCATCAGTGTACATCTGGCGACATTGGTTGATTCGAAAGATCAGTTATTGAATTCTCTAAAGACTTTAATTAAAGTCAAATTTTCCATCCAAATATCAAAAATTAATCTGTATATACGAAGCCATTGAGTATAAAAAGAAAAACATAATAATTGATGGTTGATTTGTGAGCGTGACATTTTCTTTAATAAATAGAGAAAGTAATTGATAATATTTCCTTGTTGTTCATGAAAGCATATCCAGTTTTATTATTCTTGTCACCGATGTCATCAGGAATGTTTTTTTTATCGTTCATTAATATTTAATCAGTCATTGTGAATACTCTGTATTTTTTTTTATCATGAAACCACGAAAGTTTTCAGTAGCTTCCAAAATATTCGCAGTTATCGCAGTTGTTTTTGTGCTATCTTTTTCCATTTGCATTGCAATTTGGAAGTTAAGTATTCAATCTGAAGATGATGCATGGAATAAACCTGAAACTCAACCACATATCGTAGTCATTATTGCTGATGATATGGTAAGTCATTTGGACTTGTACAAATCAGGAAAATTTACTGGGTCATTATAAAATAAACATAAACAATTTACTTTAGTGATAAAAGTAAAACCTTGAATTGTCTTTTATTGCACTTGAAGCAATAAATATGAGCTCAAGTAATCTACATAATATATAAAAAGCTGTGGTTCTAAAATAATTTTCCAGTTAGTTATTCTATTCTTTTGACATGAATTCTACCTGTCAATTTATTTATTATCAAATAAAAATAATTCTTTTATTTACAACTTTATTCAATGTTCATTCTCATATAATTTTTCACCGTCGAAGATTTAGTAAACCAAATATTATTGTTATGATAGCAGATGATCTTGTAAGACATTATTTTTTTATAAATTGATATTTTAATTTATAAGCTCCTTTCGTTATATGTTGATTTATGTTGACAAGCATATCACTTGAACCTCTTTATTAATTTAAATAATTCATAAAACTTTATAATTTTTACATAAGGGATGGAACGATGTAAGTTACCATGGCTCGAATCAAATTCCAACACCCAACATTGATGCTTTAGCATACAACGGAGTGATTTTAAGAAATCATTATGTTCTGCCGATATGTACGCCTTCCCGAACAGCATTCTTTACCGGGCGTTATCCGATAAGAGATGGTATGTAGTCAAACCCACCACCAATAATATATTCTCCAGCATCTAACTCCAATATTCAATTATATTTAATATTGAATTAATAATATTTCCAGGAATGTATGGTTATCCTTTAAAAGCTGGTGAGCCTCGAGGAATTCCTCTAAATACAACTTTACTTCCTCAGCATCTTCGTAATTTAGGATACTCTACTCATATAGTTGGTAAATGGCACACTGGATACCAATCTGATGATTTTACTCCAGCTCGAAGAGGATTTGAAACATTTTTCGGCTATTACAATGGTTATATTTCATATTTTGATTATTTGGCTTCCAATGAAAAGGATGTATGTAAAAGTATTTCATTATAATATTTATTTTAAAGTAATTAAAGCTTATCATTTATTTATTTTATAAGAATTTAGTAAATTTATCAATATGTTATTATTTGCAATTACATCAGAGATAATGTGACAATTCATTGGTATGAGAGCTTGTAAAAGTTATTTCATAATAATCATTTTCTATCTATAATTTTCTTCGTATGATGTTCCGATATCCATTAATCAAATAATTAAATAATTTAATATGAAATTATTTTTCAAGAACGTAACTGGCTATGATATGCACAGAGATAATGCGAAAGAAATAAAACCTGACTGGTCTCATACAAACAAGTATGCTACTGATGTATTCACAGATGAAGCTATCAAGGTAATTGACAATCATAATAGCAACAAGCCACTGTATCTTCAAATTTCTCATCTCGCTCCACACTCGTCTGATCAAAGACATCCTCTAGAAGTTCGAGATATGAAGGAAGTGAACAGGACATTTGGTCATATATCAGACATATCTCGACGTCAATATGCAGGTAAATGGAGATTTTAATATTTATGTTCTAAGAAAATAATATACTGACGTTAGTTATTATCCTAGGAATGGTGAGTGCTCTAGATGAGTCTGTGGGGCGAGTTGTAGAAGCGCTTAGTCAGAATAACATGTTAGAAAATTCAATTATTCTTTTTATGAGCGATAATGGAGCTCAGACCATTGGATTTCTGAAGAATCATGGATCTAACTATCCATTCAGAGGTGTAAGTATGATAGATTGATAACTTATTCGTATATAAAAATTAAGAAAACAAAAAATCAACGATACTTACCTTATGATTAATTATATTTAAGCTTAAATTCACTCTGTATGAAGGAGGAGTACATGGTGTCGCATGTGTTTATTCTCCGTTGATAAAGTACAGGCAACGAGTCAGTGAAAACTTTATACACATAACTGATTGGCTACCAACACTTTATTCTGCTGCTGGAGGTCACTCTGCTGATTTAGGAATGATAGATGGTGTGGATCAGTGGCTCACTATCAGTCGAAGAAAACGTAGTAGACGGCACTCTTTACTAGTCAATATTGATGATAGCGTGAATTTAGAAGCAGCTATAATCGGACAGTACAAATTACTCAAAGGTTTTTAAAAATTTTTTTGTGGTAAGGTGACTCAATAAAAATAAAGTAACTTAAAAGGAAAAAAGAAGTTACCTAGCTTTTTTTTAGATCACTCATAAACTTTATCTTTCACAATCTCTTGCAACTAATGCACACTTTAATGATGATTATTTTTTAGGAGCTAGTCCAGAGTATGATAGTTATTACGGCGAGAATGTTGATGATGATGATCCATCGACGCCTGCTTATGATTTAGACGCAGTCTCGAATTCTCTAGCTGGTCAGGCTATCGCTCGAGTCTCGGGAGCTTACTTATCTCGAAAGCAAATGCTACAGCTTCGGTCGACGAGTAAAATTATTTGTAAACCGTTTAGTCAATACTCCAACTGCTCAGATCGTTGTCTATTTGATTTGACTGTTGATCCGTGTGAAACAACAGACATCTCTCAGCAGTATCCGGAAGTGAGTGACTATTATTCACTAGCAATATTATTCTCGACACGTGACAAAGTATCATGGTTTTTTATTCTCATCCCCTTTTTTAGGTCGTTCGAACGTTAGAGGATTACATCGATGGATACCGAAGAGTGCTGTTACAGCAAAATAAAACATACGTGGACCCCAATTCTTTGCCATACCACTTTGGAGGAGTCTGGATGCCTTGGCTTCCTGCAAAATAATTGATACATATTCTTGTATTGTATAATTACCATTAAGCTGAATAAAAACTAATTTTGTACTGTAATTAGTGATATTTATTATGTAATTAAAAATTTCTCTTCTCTATTAATTTCTGGCAAAATTTTCCTGATTTTTTTTTACATAATTGACACATTAAATAATTTTCATATCAAGAATTTATAATTTCCCTTCATTTTTTCTTCATTTGTCATCATTATATGATCTATTATTGTCCTGTTGCATACTTCTAAACTATCAACTTCCGTGCTAGTTTCTTTTGTAATTTCCTGAATAAAAAATTCTTCGAGCACATAATTCATTATAACTAATTTTAGTTCACAATTGATAACGATATTATAAAGTAGATTAATGAAAAGTTCATTCTCTTTTTTGCAATTAAATGTAGCAAAGTAAAAGATAAGAGGTATCCAATGTAATATGTCATTGTAATATCCATCAGCGTACACCTGGAGCTAATAGTTGTTTAAAGAGATCAGTTATCAAGCTTACTTCAAATTTATTCATTGAAATATTACATATTCTAATCTACATGTACGATTCTATTAGAATGAAAGGAAAATTAATATAAATTGGTACTTTATAAACGTGACATTTTCTGTTATAACTCGAGAAAGTAATTGATTACATTTCCTTGTTGTTCAAGAAAGCATATCCAGCTTTATGATTCTTTTTTCAACGGAGTAGTCAAGAATTTTTTTCATTGTGTATTAATATCTAATCAGTCACTGCGAATGCTTAATATTTTTTTCAACAATGAAACCATCAAAGTTCTCACTTTTTTCCAAAATTCTTGCACTTGTTTCAATTGTTTTTGTGCTTTCTGTTTGTATTTGTATGGCAATCTGGATGCTTAACATTCGTACTGAGAATATTTTATGGAAAAAAAGCGCCTCAAAACCTCACATCATAGTTATCATTGCTGATGATATGGTGAGTTAGTCCTAAGCCTGACAAATCCAAGTCCACATTTTTATCATTTTATTTTAAAAAATTTTTATGATTATAAAATAATACTTGATTTTATCTTTCTTCGCTAGCTAATTTACTTTTATATTAAAAAATGATTTTTCTTGTTTACAAGGGATGGAACGATGTAAGTTATCACGGTTCTAATCAAATCCCAACGCCTAACATCGATACTTTAGCATACAACGGAGTGATTTTAAAAAACCATCATGTTCTACCAATGTGTACACCTTCCCGAACAGCATTCTTTACTGGCCGTTATCCGATAAGAGACGGTGTGTTGTCGACTCGAATACAAGTCATGTAGTTTTAAATGTTCAACTTTATCATTAAAATATATTTAATATTAAATTAAAAATTTTTTTAGGAATGTATGGTTATCCTTTGAAAGCTGGTGAGCCTCGAGGGCTTCCTTTAAATACTACTTTGCTTCCCCAGTATCTTCGTGGTCTAGGATATTCTACACATATGGTTGGCAAGTGGCATGTAGGATATCAGTCTAATGATTACACACCAACTCGGCGAGGTTTTGAAACATTTTTTGGATACTACAATGGCCAAATCCAGTATTACAATTATACAATAACAACTAAACAATTTGTAAGTATTTTTAATTTTCATTGCTTTGAAGGAGTTGATATATAACTGAATTATTTGTTTTTGTCTTCAAAGATAACGTTTTCTCACAATAAAAATTTAATTGCTACTTAAAGTATCGTTAAACCGAATAATCAATTAATAAAATATAAATATTGTGTGTGAAGAATGTAAATGGATACGACATGCACAGAGATAATGCGGAAGAAATACGACCAGACTGGTCTCACAAAAACGAGTATGCTACTGACGTATTCACGGATGAAGCTATAAAGATCATTGACAACCATAATAACATCAAGCCGTTGTATCTTCAAATATCCCATTTAGCTCCACACTGTTCCGACTTAGAAGATCCACTAGAAGTTCGAGATATGAAGGAAGTAAACAGGACATTCGGTCATATATCAGATATTTCCCGTCGTAAATATGCTGGTAATCTGAAATTCTATAACATTAATAATCACATACTAATAATAAGTAATTTTCTAACTTTACCTAATCATTCAGGCATGGTGAGTGCTTTGGACGAGTCTGTTGGACACGTAGTCAAGGCTCTTGATCAAAATAATATGTTAGAAAATTCAATCATCGTTTTTATGAGTGATAATGGAGCTCCCACTACTGGATTTTTAGCTAATTATGGATCAAATTATCCATTAAGAGGTGTAAGTAAAATAATTTTATTTATAACGAAAAATATTTTGACGAAAAGAGTGGATCAGTAACACTTACTTTTGTTTAATTGTTGAAGTTGAAATTCACTCTGTATGAAGGGGGAGTGCATACGCCTGCCTGTATTTATTCTCCGTTAATAAATTTCAAAGGGAGAGTCATTGAGAATCTCTTCCACATGACTGATTGGATGCCAACTCTTTACGCTGCTGCAGGAGGAAACACGGCTGATTTAGGGGTGATCGATGGTGTTAATCAGTGGTCCATGATTAGTCAAGGAAAATTTGGTCGACGAAACTCCTTGTTAATAAATGTTTATGATGAAGGGAACCTTGGAGCAGCTATTATTGGACAATATAAATTACTCACAGGTTACTAATAAATCTTATTTATTTTATAAATTATTTTACCTATATTTTATCACGTTGAAGCTCTATATAAGTCTCATTTTTCTTCCTTTAATAAAGTCAAAGGCTGCTCAATTCTTATCTGATATACTTTTTAGTATCCATAAAATGAATTGTTGATACTACTTCATAATTCTTTTGCAGGAGCAAGTCGTATATATGGTGATTATTATGGGGAGAATATTGATGATGATGATCCATCGACGCCTGCTTATGATTTAGACGCAGTCTCGAATTCTCTAGCTGGTCAGGCTATCGCTCGAGTCTCGGGAGCTTACTTATCTCGAAAGCAAATGCTACAGCTTCGGTCGACGAGTAAAATTATTTGTAAACCGTTTAGTCAATACTCCAACTGCTCAGATCGTTGTCTATTTGATTTGACTGTTGATCCGTGTGAAACAACAGACATCTCTCAGCAGTATCCGGAAGTGAGTGACTATTATTCACTAGCAATATTATTCTCGACACGTGACAAAGTATCATGGTTTTTTATTCTCATCCCCTTTTTTAGGTCGTTCGAACGTTAGAGGATTACATCAATGGATACCGAGGAGTGCTGGTAGAAGAAAGCAAAAACCCTATAGATCCCAATTCTTTACCATTTCACTTTGGGGGAGTCTGGATGCCTTGGTTACCTACGGAATAATTTTAGTATAATTTCTAAACTTTGTAGAAATTATGACATTGAATAAAAAGATTTTGTTTTTGTCAGTTATTTAAATTTCAATAAGTTATTAAATTTATGAAAGTTCCAGTTTCTTTAAAAGAATTAAAATTGACTATATCTTTCGCGAACTAGTAATTTATACTAACGCAATTAGATGATAAAAATTAAAGCATAAATATCGATATTTTTGTGAATAATTAAAAAAAAAAAAATTAACATAAAAGTTAAAAATAATCAACTTATTTTTGACTTCTGTGGCGCCGTTGATGTCATTGTATAGACATTATGGAGATGAGAATCGTTCATCGGTAAGTTATACCTTGATATCACTTTAATGACCATCCCTCGACGTCAAGAATTCAACTGGTGCATAAATTTACGTAGAATCATATCAGTTATTTCAACTAGCTTTTACTAATATAAATACAACTCTCTTTTCTTGTACTTGATATAATTTTATCTGCACGAAGAAAAGGATCACCTTGATGTTGAAAACATTTCTGTAACAATAACCAAAATGTCAGTTACACCCTAGCTTTTCTTCTATCCAAGTGTGCGTTTGTCAACTTTAGTTCGTGTTCCACGTGAATCATTGCAATTCGAAACGCTAGAACGGTTAACGTCGATCGCAGGGCTTTTTTTTAGATGCGTAATAAATTCTTGTATGTCGACATCTTTTTCTCTTCTTATTCCACGCACATCTGACGTGTCTTTAGGCTTGATGTGTTCTCTCTTATCGCTTTGTCATGGCTCATTTAGTAATTGTGATATTTTCCCAGTGTGTGTTATATTAGTTGGCACAGTGGACGAGGATCGAAACAAGAGCGAGGGTTGTTGTGACGTAGAAGAGAGGAGGCGGAGGGGTGACCCGCGGATTGAACATTCGCGAGGGTTGGGTAAGTCGCTTTTAATAGCCGACCAACTCGCAGCTGCCGCTCACTTGCGTTGCCACCCCAGCTTCTATGTCTTTACCCTCTTCTTTGATAGGTGTAGAGCTTCCAGACAAGCTGAAAAAGATGTTTTTTCTTCATTACTTCCTGATAATAAAAATAATAATTAATAATTGGTAGTATTTTGAAAATAAAGATGTTGATGATAAAGAAATCAGTGATGAAGGTGAGAGACTTTAAGCCAGGAGGAGGAAGCATGCAAAAATCGTAAAATTGGTTTTGATGTAACTTCCTTCAGGGGATGATACTGGTGGCGAAGAAGAACGCAGAGAAACAGGTATACAAGTGCTTATTAGGTTCGACGCTCGAGAATAAGGTGCGGGATAAGTTTGGGCCGAAACTTAACGACGTAATGAACGTCTGACAGAGGATTATTTATTGGCGGTGGAAGGAGAAAAAAGGCGGCAGAAGGAAGAGGAGTAACGGCCGCAAGGATGAAATAGGCGGTGGGAGGAGGACAAGAGGTGAAAAAAAAAAAGAAAGAAATAAAGAAGAGCAGGAAAAAAGGTAAAAAGAAACTCTCCGGCTGGTATTGTGAGCACGATCGTACTAATTATCAATATGAATGGCTTTGAGGGTGCGGAATGACTCGGACCGATTGGCTTTGATGGCCAGGAACAAGAGACGAAAGAGGATTGATGTATGTATATATGACCCTTGCAGTAGCAAATTTTCCCGTGTAAAATACCGTTTATACACAAACCAATTTAAAGTTGAATTTTTATGTATTTACATTCTTGTACTTACACAATAACTGGTTGTTGAACCTATGGGATTTTTCAGAAGAAATTTAAAAAGTAAGGAAATGCAAGAGAGCAAGGGATGTGAAAAAATGTCTTGCCACAAGTCTTTCTTTTGCCGCAGCATCCCAAGGTAATTATCGGTCGGTTTCTTTGTCAAAATCCTCACTTCTCTTTTTACCTGCTTTACACTTGGTTTAATACATAATTATCTTTTCGCGTTCAGCTTGAGTATGTCTTCTCTTTGTTTAAGTGTGCATATTTTGATAGAGACATCTTGAGATTTGTTGAAGAATCTGAAAATAAAGCAAAAGAATGAATAAAACAGCAAAAAAAGAAACAAGTTGAATAAGATTTATATAAATTCAACGTGTGGGGCGCTTTCCACACGTTTGCCTAAAGGAATCTTCATAGAAAGGAGGCGCGGGAACAGAACTAAAATAGTGAATGAGCGCGTTTCAGAACATATGACAGATGGTTATTGGATAGTGGTTGGATTCCATAGAGTATGGTGGGGTAACCTGGACCCTCCTTCGTCTCCACCTTCTCTACCTCCACTACCTTCCTTGATAGACTTTCTTCTCCTTCTACTGATCGTCCTGGAGACTTGTCAGAATATCCTGCACTCTCATCTCTACGTACTTTAGATCCTGTCCACGCGCCGACTCCACCTAGGGCGCATCCACTCTTCAACCACCGCAATACCATCACGCGATTACCACCACCATCCATTGGACACCACCACTAACGTCACTCCTCAAGTAAGACGCTTCATTTCGGACACCTGTAACCCGCAAGCCACCTCTCTTTCGCGGACTTTCAAAGTAGTCGTCGACAAAGCGTGAAACAATCAACAATCATCCTTAACAAGTTCATTTTCATTTCAACAATGTTTGTGTTTTTTGATTTTTTTCAACCAAGTGCTTTTTCGATTGTTAATTTGAGTTAAATGTCCAGTTTGTAAGATAGTTGATTGTTCAATTGGTGGATAGAAGAATGTGAAATAAAGTTTAAAAAATGCGTGTATTAAAGTGTCTAGAGACATCAAAAAGTGTGGTCCTGCTTGTATTCTTTCTATCAATCGTCATTCAGGATGGCTCGTGCATCAAGTGGCTGTAAGTACTTGCTGATGACCAGCGAAAAGTCTGCAAGTGCAGCATACTCTACCGGTGGTCCAGAGTCTAATGCTCGTTTTGGAGCCAATAACAAGTCCTTCACGACGTGTGCTCGCACGCAGGATTCATCTGTCCATGATTAATGTGGTTACTTTAATGAGAAACAAATAGGATGATCGAGAGCAACCGCAGTGACTGCGGGTGATCTCAGACGTATTCTTTATCATGCAGGTAGACCGGGCAGACAATATCTTAAGTTACAAAAAATGATAGGATAATCAGAGGATGTATCTCTATATACAGAAGGCATTTGAAAGCATGACTGGACTCATGTTAATAATATAATGGAATGGGAAAAGCTTAAAAGCAAGCGTGAGCGTGGATGTAATTATTGTGCGATCTCCCCGTAGGAGAATTTGATCGCGAGCAAGGGGTCGAGAGGGAATGATGAATGAAGGAGCGATGGTGGTTTTGCGTGCTGAGAGGCACACCGAAAATGTATACAAGGAGCCCGCGGGGTTGAAGCCGCAAGACGAAGACGCGAACCTAAGGGGGAATAAAAGGGGAGAAAGATTAGGGGGCTATAGTACATACTCACTGAGATTGTGATTTATAAAGGCAGCTCTTTCTCCAACCAAATGATGTTTTCTTCCTTCATCTGTACTGTAGATAACCACATCTTTCTTTGTTATATTCCTGATTTTAATTATAACCACACCTCGAGCTTCTCCTAGATGAATAATTGACTCAGACATCCTTTTTTTTATCTTTTCAATTCTTGTATCATATCATTGACGATTAGCAGCGCCAATTAGTGAACGAGAATATTCATAGCGTCCGGTAATTATCAAGATACTATTTTTATCAATTGAAAACTTGGTTTTACGTTCAATAAATTATATCTCAACTGTTGTAGCTTATAGACAATTAGTGACTTTAATTAATAAACTAAAAATATTTGTGTAGTATCCTGTAATTATTTTAAAATAATATCAGTTAAAAAATGAATATAAGATTTCCGTTATTTGCCAAACTTACCTATAAGCCCACCGGGTTCCATATTAAATAAATAATATCTGAATTTTGGGACATTACATGGTATTAACTTCAGTGTGGCCGAGTTCCGTAAGGTCGTGGGCGCTTATTATCAAAGTGAGTAAAGATTCTACTTTATGATGATGTCCAGCAGAAGATACTAATTTGAAAATCGTGGGCTTTAGTAAGAGTTTTACGCCCTTTGCTATATATTTATAGCAATCTTATGACGCTATTCAACTTAATTAACGTAATTTTAGAAGATGTTATCTTAGATAATTGCCCTCTTGTTATAAACTTGCCATTTCACTTTACGGATAGGCCATTTAAATAGAATAAATAATATTGGCAATAGAGATCATCCTTCTTCCGTATATCTTTGATGATCATCCTTCTTCCGTATATCTTTGATGATCATCTCTCTACTTGAACGGGTTTACAACTGGTCCATATACATATTTATATGCTCAGGAGATTGGTTCGCCAAGACTTAAATGCAACTCTCGGTATTACTGTCACGTGAATTAAATTGCGAGCTAAATGTATACTTATCACGCATTTAATTACAGCTTTGATATTCATCCAGATTAATAGCGCACGAGCGATAAATAAAATGTCGCTTTATATTTCTCTTGACACATCTGCTGGCAATCACTGATAATCGATTAGGGATTAATGTAGGTATGCAAATAATTATAAAAGCCAGACGATCACAAGCTGCACACATGGCGCGTGTACCACGCGAAGTGTCTAAATGTTGATCGTTTTCATGGGGTCATCATATTTGCAATATCGTCAACGTCAACAGCACGAGGGTTGGATACTTGGCCATTCCAACTGGCATTTATGTCTAGATATATTTTGTAGTCAAGCCATTTGAAACTTTAAGGTGTCAGTAATTATAATGTGCATTCTCTATTGAGTATTATTATTATTCTCTTGTATTCCGTGCGAAAGCACTGTCAATTAGTTGCCTTATAATTAACAAATTTATTCATGATTTATGAGAGAATAAATCGTTTGATACAACGTAAAAACTTTTGAATATATTATTTAGGGCTCTAGGTAAAACATCCGACGGTAAAATTTGGACCAGAGAAGCTTGTACAAATGCACGAAGCGCTGGCCTGCTGGAGAGAAAGCAAGCACGAGCATGTAGAGCTACACCAGATGTAATGTCGAGTCTTGTTCAAGCGGCAAGGGATACTTCTTCTGTTTGCCAACAAGCGTTCCGGAATCGTCGGTGGAACTGCAGTAGCATTGAACGTGCACCTCATTACACACCAGAGCTGCTTTTAGGTATCAGCAAATCACGTTATTAAATATTCTATTAAATCTTTTTATTGATTCAATAATAACTGAAATAATAATAATGATGACGATGATAATGGTAGTAATAATAATGATGATAATAAGACTCCGTATAATTATTTTAAATCTGTGGGAAAAACAATAAATATCTCGATGAATATTTTCATTGCTTGGTGGAGAACATGGAGATTTCATTATGTGGGAAGAGAGGCGGAGCCGATAACTCACAGAGCAATCTGTGTACGAGTGTTCCTTTTCAAGATGAGAAGAGAAAGAATGAAGAAAAAGCGAGAGCACCAGAGAGTTGGCCATTCAATGGGAAGACCCCGAAGCGACTGCGTAATTAGAGGCTATTACCAAACGAAAAAGATTAGGCGCTCTCTCGCCAAACTGGCTTCCCTCTTCGTTTTCTTTCCATCTCTCATCTCATTTTACTCTTTTCCTCTGCCCACCATAGACTCGTTTCCAAGCTTGCCCGGGTTTTAATTAGTACTCAATTCCAACGTACTTCCGTCTATGATGGAACTGGTCTTTCGTCAATGAGATTTAATACCAATCCACAGCTTAACTCTTTTCTTTACTCTGTCACTCATTCTATTTTATTCTAATTATTATGCTTCTTCATATAAAATAGGAACCAGGGAGCAAGCATTTGTTTATGCCATGTCAGCCGCCGCTGCGGTTTGGAGACTTGCTCGTGGCTGTGCTTTAGGCAGTTTAGCCGCTTGTTCATGTGCAACACCACCACGTAGAGAACCACCGTCACCGTCGGCACTCACGGCCTCTAATTCTTTCATCTCACGATCCGTGTCTTTTGACGCCTTGTCCGCCAGAAATTCATTCAAATGGGGCGGCTGTGGTGATGACGTTCGGTCTGCTTCAAGAATGGCCAAGAGGTTTCTTCAAGGTTCTAGTCCATCTGGCTCCAGCTCAATGAGTAAATTCCTTCATGCTGTTAATATGCACAATAATCGAGCTGGTCGAAGGGTTAGTATCTGAAATCATATCAATTATTACCTTTTAATTTATTAAATTTTTTTCAATTAAAAACTTATTAATGTGTCTTACAATTTTTTTATTATTTTACGAATACTTTTTTATAGTTCATGAAAAGGTATTTCAAGACAGATTATGAATGAACAAATTAACTCCAAGTTTCTAATTAGTTAAATTCCTTTTTAAAATAATTAATATTACTTTTTTTTAGATTTAGTTTTTATAAAATATTTTATTGATAAATTTTTAGCAATAAATGAAGGATATAAGAAACTCCTATTAAAGAAAAACATTCCTAATAAAATTGAAAAAGATTTAACATATGATAATGGTTGCATTGTTCTCGAATAGGCAGTAGAACAATCGCTGACATTGGAGTGCAAATGCCATGGAGTATCTGGATCGTGCAGCGTCCGAACTTGCTGGAGAGGTCTGGACTCCAAAGGACCAGCAGCGGCGGGTGCACGGCTCTTTCGCAAGTATGCAACTGCTGCTGAAGTAAAACCCAAGTCTGGAAGTCGTTTACCACCACTTTATCATCATGATAATTTACTCTACACCACCAAGAGTCCTGACTACTGTTTACCAGACAAGAAGAGAGGCAGTTTAGGAACCATTGGAAGGTGAGAATTATAAAAAATTACTATTGATCACCTGGAGTACGTCCTTGAACCCTTGTGGAATTCGCTGATACACAGTTTGTCGAGACTTAGGCTATAGAAACTTGGGGATAAGCATAAAAGTTTGGACGTGGAGAAAAGGGGGTGTGAGAAAAAAAAAAAGGAGTTCAATAAGTTGGACTTGAGTGTATGGTCCAAAAGTCGCAAAAAATAATCCTTGGAAAAGAGATAAAGGGAAGAAGTCGTCATCTTTTGAAATGATATTCTTCTCCTCTTATTCTTCCAAAGTGCGTAGCAGAAAATGCTGGACATTCGATTTATCACTCGTGCAAATGACAATAAGTTCATTATGAAAAATATGTCGTCACTGTGAGGATGAGACGATAAATCAACTTACACGTTAATCGCTGAATATCATCTGTGATGTTGCTTTGAAAAATATATCTTTAACGAGATCGATAAATGGCCTCCAGATATGATCTGTATATACCAGTAGCAGAAAGTTTTTAACGATTTAAACGAGCATTCCGGCATATGTAAAAAAGAATAACGAAGACAGAGGAGGAGGAGGAGAGAAAAAGAGAAAGGAAGAGAAGCTGTTTTGTGACTGTGTATTGAAAGCGCGACAAATCCAGCAGGGAGAGGACATCCAGGTGTGCCACAGTAAAAACGGCTTACTCGATTAACTTTTACGATGCTTTTAACTGGTATGCCATCATCAATGATGGGAGTCAAAAATATTCTTCGTATCTAGTCCTATCGATTAGTAGTCTTGAAATCCTACCCAATTTCAAGATTTATTTGTTTATTAGAATTTTTTCGTTAGATCCGGACCATTCTCTATCATATAAGCTTTTACTTTACGCCTGTATCCAGCTTGTAAATTTATTTTGATCACACACTGAATGCGGGCGTATACAGGAAATTGCTTCTTTTATTATCGCGTTCAATGCATATGTATATCTTTCCAGTCTCATTCTCTTTAACATCTTAAAGAGGCATATATTTTATCTCAGGTGCTAATAATGAAATTTTTTCTCCATCACGAACTCTTCCTCACTACATTCTCTTGGTTGGTGTCAAGACTCGTGTGATGTGGCGTACCCTAAAGCCTACACAATGAATATCTTTACTCCTGTTATCTCAAGTCAAGGAACTTTGTTCATGCAAACTTATTTATACTGGTGTACAAGTAATTATAAGTCAGAATGAACAAGTTGTAAAAGATAGGGTGTATTTAAATACCCATTTTTTGATTTTTATTCTTGCAAACCAGTTTTGAATCATCAACAAATTGGTTTTTTTTTGCAACATTAATTCTATCATTCAAACCACTGCAAAAAATAATGAATAAAAAATTAGTCAATGAAGAAATTACTTGATATAAAATGAAAGAAATTAAAAGGAAATGCTCTTAATTAAAGTGTATTTATGGTAAGAAATGATTAATAGTTATTACTATAATAATTATCAGTTTTCAGACACTCTTTTGGTATCAATGAAAAATAGAAGTTCAATTTCTAACTAAAAAAAAATTATTTAATTTACAGCTCATAATGTATCTTATAATTAAGAAAAGTTACATTCATAATTTATTTAATTATTGGATTAAGAAATTATTTGATTTAAATGGATGAAAAATATTTTCTCATAAAATTTAATTCGCCTCTACTGATAATTAATATAAATTATTTCAAATAATTATTATTATGGTCAAGCATGTCTAAATAATAATGAAAAGTATCATATATATGTACATACATATATGTATATTTACATATATGTATATGTATATTAAACTATTAATGGGACAAATATTCTTTATGACGCAATAATATTATATTAATATTTCAAACATTGGATTTTACCCATAAAGAGCCATTATTCTTTTCTTTTTCAACAAAACAAATTTATTCTATTTAATAGCAAATATATTTTTATTTAGTATAATAAAGCCCACAATAAAATCTTTGAATTCTTCAGCTATTACATAATTTTTATAAGATTTAATGACGTATTCATGAAAAATATGAGTTATACTTGAGTGATTTCGCATAATAAAAAGAAACACGTGCGTCTTTATACAATTATTGAATTCGCTACGGTTTTTCTACCGCCAAAGAGGAAATGAAGGAATCGATGACGTCCCTACGACCTACCGCGCCCTCAAATTAGATACGCTAACTCCTCAGCTATTGAAAAAAAAAATTATTGTTCTCAAATGCATGCTTATACCATCACGCATTGGAGATTCGTCCTTGTTTCTTTCTTCTATTATTCTTCCTTTATCTGATGCTTTTTTAAAAGACGTAATATGATATATAACGGTATTTATTATTCCAGGCAATGTAACGGCAGTAGCTCTGGATATGAAGGCTGCGAATATCTTTGCTGTGGACGAGGACACACCACAATGACACGTGAAGTACTAGAACGATGCGAATGCAAGTACATTACTTGCTGTTACAGTGTAAAGTGTAAAACCTGTAGAAACATCATCACCACATATGAGTGCAATTGAAATTATCGATCTTCAGCATTTGATTCAAGTGATAATTAATGGGACATTTGTGAAGCTAAAGCTCATCTAAAACAATGAAATTGACCAAGATTTAATATCTTGTAGAGTTCAAGTGATTATTTGCTACATAATTGCATTTACTACTAATACCGTACTTGACCAAATCGTTATTTATATTATTCTTAACAATATTTATTAATCCAGTATTTCTCACTCTCACTCCAAGTCATGTACTTATGCGTATATTTATATTAATAAGCTATTATATTATAATTATGCTAGATGTCGGCGTGATAGTTTTTAGTTCAGTGTAAATAGCATGTCGACTTCAGTTGAATGTATGATGAACATAATTACATTATCCATCAATAAATGCACATAAAAATTACTTTATTATATTATTAAAATTATTATGATTTACCGTTGATTATTATTGGCTTCCTGTCATTGCTGAAATTGGATTGTCTTCACTAATATTAAGATCATTCAAGAATTTGCTCCAATTCAATCCAGGACAATAATCCTTCTCTTCTGAAGTCCACCAAAGTGTTTCTTTCAAAGACATTGGATGAATAGGGGTAACAGGATTCACCTTTACGTTTAAATATTCCAACAAATCCTTACAATCAATTTTTCCTTCTTCATTCTTTGTAATACTGAAATTTACATTTTATTTATTTCAATTAATGACTTCTTTTCTATTTACAAGTGGTTTTATTCATTTTAATGAGCTTGATGTTTTGATTGATTAAATGCAAAGCACTAACTTCAATTTTCTCGCAATCTTCAATAAGTTTTTTCTTGAATAAATAATACTACATGTCTCTTACGTTACAAGATTTAAGCTAATTAGATAGTTTTTATTGCATTTTTATTAAATACTTTCTCAACCATCATTTACTGCACTTTATGTATCAATAATAATTAAATCTCATTAAAATTAATGAAGCCTCTCATTGATTCATTCATTCACTTTAATGTGCTATTGTAATTCATTATATATATATATATATATATACATATACATATATATTTTAATCATAAAAAACCATTTGAAAAACCTTTCAATATTATGCATCATCTTTTTTGATTTAATAGAAAAAAAAATACCTAATTGTTCACAAAACTATATATGTTGATCTTTATAAAAGCTTACCAATTTAGCATAGCATTAATAACTTTAGGATCTACTGGTAGTCTGCATCCTCTTAAAATAGTATACACTTGATTACGAGGTAAAAGTCCACTACCTGATGGATCCCAGTGGTTTATATCTTCCTCGAGTCTATCCAAGTCATTCCACAAAAATCTTTTAATTTCATTATGTATTAAACGCCTGTCAACCAACATCAATCAAAATGATTAATGTTTCTTATCACACACAACATGAAAATACGATACACGGATGAGAACTCACCTTATGTCTTCTCGTAAATTACGTTCAGGCTTTTGTCTAATTTTATAATGCCTGGCAATAGTTATGATTTCATGTTCACATATATTCTTTTCTAAATATTTATACAAAGCCTCCCTGAAAAAGTTCATCACACCATGATGATAAATGAAATATTATCAATTTTCTTGATGTCAAAATCTTTACACGTTGTATAAAGAGTATTTATTTTTAATAAATTTATTATTAGTTAATTTCTGCATATATACCTTAATTTATCACATGATAATACAGGAATTTCTCCACTTTCTATGACCGGCTCATAATTTTGAATAAATTCTTTATATGAAGGTTTTATAGCTTCTCTAATTTTATCAATAATTAATAAAGGATTAGCTATGCAAAACTTATCACAATTTTCTTCCATATAACGAATGGTATAATCATCTGCAGAAGTTATTAGAAACTGGAATTTTCCAATATTCACCACAGCACCGATGTAAAAAAAACAAGGATCGTAAAATCTTGGTTTATCACTTGAATAAATTTCCTGATCTGGAAGCATTATTGGCATCCTTTTTTGGAAACGGCAGCTTTGAAAACCTGTATTCTTCATAGCTAACTCAAAAATTGAAATTGTATTGTCCATCAAATGAATGTTAATAATAAACTGACGATCAGCATTTGAAGAGACATCAGATATCATTTTTGCTGTGAATCTTAGTATGTTGTTGTTCTCAGGTTTTCTGAAAAAATATTTTTCTAATCAGTCAACTAATTCATACGTAAATGTTTTCCCTTTTTATAAATATTTTGTTAATTACTTATCATACTGAAATGATCTAACATAATCGATTTTTGGCGGCTTGGGAACAATTCTGAAGCAGTTTCCGAAAGAGTCATCGTAGGAGCCAAACCCATTGTAAGGCGGTGGTTTATGTTTGTCAGCATTAGGGTGGTAGTAATCGGGTTTTATGTCTGGTCGTTCAAGTGGTGTAAACTCCTCGATACCATACTTGGTTCTTCACCGAATCATTTGAAGCATAGCAAATTAATAAAGATCAATGCGCACATTGTGTTGTAAAAAAATAATAACGGAAGAATAATACTTAGGTGGGTAAGTACCTATAGTACTCTTTAGTAGCTGAATCAAGGTCAGTAATAACGACTTCTCGACCAAACACATTCATTCTGACCCCAATTACGAGATCGCTGTCTTTGTAGTATTCACATGATGGTTTGCCTGTGTTTAATGGGTCAGCTATGTAATAACTTTGGCCTGTACTGTCTCCCAGGACATTTAGAACTGTGAATGGATCATGAACACCAATGGGGTCAATTCCTGTATAAAACTGAAATATTTCAAATGACTTTGTTGTGTTGTTAAAAAGATTTTGCTATGAACATTCAATGTATGAAAGTGTTCAAGTACAAATTTTAATTCAAAATGTCAATAATAATTATAATTGAAAATGTAATTAATATTTTATAACACGTAATATTTATCAATATTTAATTGAATTTAAATATTTTATATCGTACCTTGGGTATTTTCATTCGTTTGAGAAAGGTAGCATTCAAGTCTCTCGATGAGTTGGGTGGTAAAATCTCTTTAATCTCAATAGTATCATCGGCCAAATAATAATATAATTCCAAACTATGAATAACTCCATATTCATTAGCAGTATCATCCCAATATCCGATAAACTTTAATACTTTTCTATCATATTTTAGAAATTTCCCAAGGGTATCGGGCTTTTGCTGTAGCTTTTTCGAGGACATTGGAATAATTCTTGTATTTACAAAAGGATTTAAAGGAATTTCTAGAGGATCTGATACTGCAATACCCATTCGATTTAAAAATTGTCGTGTAAATTGATCACAATCTACTATATTATAAATGCGGCCATATATTTCTACTTGTTTTCCAATATTTAAATCAATTATATCAAAAAAACGATATTTTGAAGAACCTGGTAATGGAATTCTTTGACGTCTTACCAAAACTCCTAGAATATTTTTAAAGATACCATAAAAAAAATAAAATTTTTAATAATTAATTCAAATGAAAAAATTAAAATACAATAAAATACCTTGCTGTAATCCACTATTTCTCATATTTGGTTCAACAATTTTTATCGTTCCATCTTCTAGGAAGAAACTAATCTTTACTACATGAATTTGATAAGTTGGTGCTCGTCGATTGGGATTGTCATCTTTAAAATATGCCGTAAACATTAGTCTTTGGCTGTCGTATGCCAGCCATGGTGGCATATTTTTTTCATCATGAAATGGATAAAGGGGTGAATACCGTTTACGATCTTCTACACTCAATCGATCCACTAGATAATAAACTCCATCATGAATTTTTTCAAACTGTTGGGATATATGAAAATTTTTTTTTCCTTTCTAAAATAAATCAAATTATACTTCTATTAAATATAAACCATGATTCTAAAAGATTTTCTCACTGAGTAAAAAATTTTTCTTACCGCAGCAGGAGGGTTGTAGCCTGGTAAGGAAGGAAATATAATTTTTTGGGTTTTTTTATTAATTTCCATCGTTCATAAATACTTTCAACTTATAAAAGTTTTGATTTTTTTTAACCAATAATTATTGATAATAATGATAATCTATATAACCAAAGTACCTGCTTAGACAAAGACTTTAATACTGTCTTTATTTATTCAAGTCTCCTTGGTAACATGTCCAGTTTGTTGACGTTTATTAAGGACCTCTGTACTTATTGTATATTATTGTAATAAATTTAAACATGGATGTATCATAAAATCATATTACTAAATATAACAATGCGTACTAAAACGTCGCAGTTTTTAGTTTTATATTTACATTTATTATGAAAAACAGATACAAGACATATAAATTTCTTAGAATAACAAAAATAGTACGTTTATGTAATACTAATCAATAACGAAAACTTAAACTTGTATAGAACATTTTATGGAGAAAAAAAATATTAATACATTTATTCAACAAGATGCTTAACTCGGTACTCTTCAAGTCTATCAATGAGCTCTTGTTTTTTTCCTTGAATTCTTTGATCTAGAGTCTTTAGCATTGATTTTAATACATCTACGGTATACTTATGAAGTTGTTGTTCCCGTAAAGCATTTCGTACCCATTCTACCTCTAATCTTTTAACTTTCACCTGCTCTTGAAGTGCATGACAACCAAAATTATCTTTATAACGTTGAAGCAAATTATCTCTTCTCAGTCGTTCATTAATATCATCTTCATTAGGTAAAGTAGTATCTACAGGAGGAGAACCGGGTGGCAATTCTAATGCTAAGCTTTCAACGTAATCCATTTGTTTTTGTAGACGTGGATTTTTAAACATTTTAGGATCATATGAAAAATATAATTTTTTAGCAACATGTTTCATTAAGTTAATATCGAGATCATTGATTGGAGGTGGGTTGTCTTCAGTAAAATTAAACCCTTCAGTTATATCATCCAGCGAATGTCGTACATCTTCTTTAAATGGCATTCGATGAATGTAAAATCCTCCGTATTTAGTACAAGGCCACATTTCGAATAGTCGAGTTGGTAGAGCAGTTTTTAATGTCACTGCACAAATTGCTTTGAGATTTTTTGCATTCATTCGTGATAATAAAGCAGCAAAAAATTCCATTTCACATTTTGTCGCACCACTGTGGCATCCAACAAAAAGAGGAGGGTGTATTTGATATAAAGGATCTCTTGAATCTTTCGGTTTGAAGCCTAAGAGATCAATTCCTCGAGGACGCATATTACGCATCTTTCGGAATTCATCTAGTGTAAAAAAAATATTTCTCTGACCATAAGATATCATTTTTTTCAACGTTTCTGGATCCTTTTGAGTTAAAAATGTATTAAGTTCATCATCTAATTCATCCGAAATATCTTGGTCAAATGACCACCACGAATATCGATCAAGAGGTTCATTAGTAGCTTTACTTGCTGGAATTTCTCGTAAATGTTTGCGACTTTTACAAAATCCTTGAATACTAACTCTTATATACATATTTGGTTGTATTCTCAGGTCCATGTGGCCTGCCACATGAGATCGGTGAATAATATCTTCCTCTAAGTCTTTTAAATTCATCATCTTAAATTCTCGAGCACCTGAGAATTCTGATAACATTTCTACTTCTTTATAAAAACAATTATAATCAAATTCTTCACCCAATCCTATAACTTGTAGCTTAATATCTATGTCTTTGAAGCTTTTAGCATTTATTCTTATTTTATTTTGTTCTTCAATATCATGAGGTGATGGATTATCGTTGCAAGTAATAAAAATGACTCGACGTCCGGACATTACCTTTTTTACTCCATTAATGGTCCTAGCTGCATGGATTAAAACATCACCAATAGAACACTCTTCATCAGAACACAAATTTTTCCAATATTCAATGTCTTTTGTATCTACAAGTAGAAAATATTTATTTATAGTACGATGGTTCATTTGATTGTCAAATTTTTATATAAAATTTTGATGTTTGTAATATTTTTGATTAATCTTTTTTGATGAATGATAGTTGAATCATATCAACTTACAAGCTTTAGAAATATCAAAAAACATATCACGATCGATTAAGCTAAATTTTTGTATGGTTAATAAACCTTCGGGCTCTGGATCATTATCATCATTTGTAATACTCAAATCATCTGTAGGTTTATTTGCCCTACAAAATATCAATCCCATCCAATCTTCTTTGTTATGCGAGAGTTTTTTCCTTAAAATATTTATGTATGCCTAAAAAATGATTTCATGTAATTTTTTGAAAGAATAAAAACTACAAGATTTTTTATTTATCATACCTCAAGACATTGTTGAAAATATATTTTTTCTGAGCCATTATCAATAAACATTTCTTTTGTAAGCTCGATTATAAAAAGATTACCCACTCGTATACCGTATGGCACCGGTTGATTCCCATAATGTCGTTGAGTCGTGGGTACTCCTTGTGATAGTGTAGCCATTTTTTTCTTTAATAATTACTATATTTATTTAATTAATCTATTTATGTTTATATAATTTACTGTTTGAAAAATTTATTCATAAAAAATGCGACTGTTCATTACAAAACTAAAGATAAACGCGATCTCTCATTTACTATAGATGCAATTCTTCGTACACTATACATGATTTTGTATATTTGACCCAGAGAAGAGAGACTAGTATGTACACTCGGCATCATTGATGTCTGGTGTATCCTTAGAGAGCAGTTACCGACCGCAGGTATGATTTTTTTTACATTGAGTTTCTAATTTTTTATAATTTTTTAGGCTTGGGCTGAACTCAAAAAACTATAAAATTCGTGTAATGATTACATTCTAAATATGATGTTTTAGTATAAAAATTAATTTTATGGTGTTTTTCGATGTAGCATAGACTTGAAAAATTATAGATTGAGAACTCTCTACACAAAAAAAATCTTCCCGCAGTCGGTAATTACTCGGAGGGTATAGGACGGACTCAATAGATAACACAACCCAGCCATTAATAGACCCGGGTGTATTATTTAATAAAAATCTTCTTGTTGACATCTTGATAGTTTTTAGTGTTTTCGTAATTTTATTGTCGAAAAGAAGAAATAAATGTAAGTAACATTTTTTATTATGTATGTATACTTAATCGTGAATAAAAAAATTTTATTATACGATTTGATAAATAAATTATGAAATTTATTGAATATAAAATTGTTTGATTTAGTCGATATTTTTTATAAACAGAATTATTCAATCAGAATAATGTTGAAAATAGTACAAAGTATAAAATTTATTGATGTAATAAAATTCTTTATTAATAATTTGAAAAGAAAAGGAAAAAATCCATACAAAATGATAAGAAAATATGGTTCTCATTATATTTGTAAAAAGTTATTTATTCTATAATAATAATAATAATAATAATAATAATAATTGATATTTTATGTATAAAACTACAATTTATAAATTGCATTAAACAGATAGCATTTTTAATCGTTTGCTTGTAGAGTTTATTCCACATTAATTGTCACATCAAGCTTTGATGATACTTATTTTAATACCAAAAACAAACACTGTGTATTGTTATTTTCAAGTATACAAGTAATATTGATAAAAAATACTATATGTATCCATAACATTTTACTCAACATAAAGAATATTTTCCATTTAATATTACATATTTTTTAAAATAAATTTTACACTTATTAATTTATAGGTATGTATAGATGTATTTATATAAAACATTGTTAGTACAGTCTGTTGTCTGCAAGCGCTTCAAATATTAAAAACGTTTTTGTTGTCATATTCATTTACATGGAGTATCGTTTGAAATATTATCATTATCAATAAACAATGCACTATTCGTTTTCCCCCAAAATAGGAATAAAATTTGTTATATCGTTCATGAATAAATTGATCTTTGTAGACAAAGTACCCAATTTACTTTTTTTCTAATAAATGAGAACCAAATAAACTAGTCTTTATAAATTTTTTTTATCAATCCTCATCTAAGAAAATAATTCGTTTTTGATATTAAACAAATATTAATTAATGTACTTTTTTATGTTAAAAAACAAATGTTCCAATATTTAAATCATAAAGTATCAATGTAAAATAATCACTTTGCAACAGACAAATACCTATCTTTAATTAATCTATTGTTCTACCAGACATACGTTTTTGTTCTTGATTAATTAAGGAAATAAAAAAATTCACTTCATTCAATCAGCACAAAGTTGTCGAGTCATTTTCTTAAATTTTTAGCTTAATTTTACATTTTATGTTTGTCGCATTTTATATAATGATGATGACTATTGATATATGATATTTGTATATAACATATATAATACCAATATTTTTTAAATCTTCAAAAATACTGCATTATTGTATTATAATTAATGATTACATTTTTTGAAAAAAAATTTTCACATATTTTCTACTGTTTAGCACTATTATTTATAACTTATTGAATGGTTACAACAGTATAAAGTCTTGCACTAAACAACTATTGTGTATGTCATTTTACACTTCAGAAAGTGAAAAAAATTTCAAATAGCAATTATTACTTCAAAACATCATGTTAAGTATTACTAATACTTATTAAATGACAACGTTTAATAAAATTTAATTAATAAAATAAAAAAAATTTTGTCATTACCGATTTTATACACGCAGTTTGATTAATATTGGGTTCATTATAAAAAATTTTTATATAAAATGAATAATTATTTAAAAAATATTCTTACTTTTAGTGAGATTTTGTATGTGGAGGATGAACGAATAGATTACGCCTCAATATGATGAGTAGAGTACCGCCAGCGTTACTAAATGCGGAAATCTACTTTCTCTCTTCTATCGTATACTAAGAGTAATTCAAAATATACGTAATATTGTTTTTTTCATTTTACATATACACATACTTAGTTGCTAATGTGTCTTTCAAAAAAATTTATAAACTTTATTATCATTGCTTTCTTTTACATCGCAGTCTTTTTCTTTATTTTATCTATTTTTGGAGATACACAGACACATATGGAGGAATATATTTTTTTTATCAAAAACTGTTTACTACTCATAAATATTCCTATGACAGCATCACTAGAAATGCCGCGTGAGAAAAGGCCAACATTATACACGTCTTACACGTATCTATCATACTTGATACGTGGCGCATGAAACATAGACTACGACCAACAATTTCTATGTGCTCGTTTTTTTTTCTTTTCTACATACAACTAGTCTCCTAGCATTCCCTTATATTATACTTCAATTTATATTATTTATTATATTGCCGAAAAAATTATATTTTTACGACACATTCATATTTTCAATAGAGTACGATTTAAAAAATGACACATTAATGGAAAATTACGTTTATAATTTTTTTTTATTGGCACCTCAAAAAAGGCACACGACTATCTTAACTACCAATCAGATTCATAAGCATTGTAAAATTGCATGTAAAAATTTAATTTAATCCTATCATAATTTTTAAGTACATTTTTATCCACCGGGATATAAGACAATATATTTTATTTTTATTTTTGTTTAAGTAATTTTTATCATAAGAAACAGTACGAAATACTGGTGATGTATAAAAAAATATCCTCCATTTATTGACATAGTTATTTGAAACCTGCTAAATTTTACACAACTAATTTTTATTCTTACACTCTTGGTACGCTTATCATTATTCTTTACAATATTTCATTAATAAAAAAAAAATTATGCATATGTTCATTTTTCTGTAAAATTACGGGCCTTAAATTTTCAGTCTCACTCGCACCAGAACTTACGTTGGAACTTTGCAAAAAAGTCCTGTATATTAAGGCAGGAATGCAAGTCCCTTTCCTAATTTTTTTATTTTTAATTTTTGCAATTAATTTTCAATGGAAGCATATTTATATAAAATATATTTATGTATTGTTTTTACTTAATTATATTTAATATATTATTATATAAACTCATCATTTATAAGTTTAAAATAGTTTTATAAAAATGTAGTCCCCTCACCGAGCTATGCTACTATGGACTATGCATGAGTTACAGTCATTTTTATTTCTAGACATCAATTTCTAGTACTAGTATTATTACAACCTGATTTCCGGAGCTTTATGGACCTAATAAACGATTAAAAATTCTAGTGATGTACTCTGTACACCAACAGATTATTTAATTTTTTTATATACAGTTGTGGTCAAAGTTATATAATAAAATAAATTTGTTATAATACAATCAATGGACCATTAACGATTGTCATTATGATAATATGTATTATATATTTATGAACATTTAATTGAGCACTTCAAGTTTAAAATTTTTATTTAATAATTAATCAATAATTGAATTATGAAAATTTTTTACTTATTATGGAAATTAATGAAATAGTATTTTTTATAAAATAATAAATGTTAATTTGAAAATATAATGCTAATTCGCATCATTTTTGACCATAACTGTTTATTAAAACAGAATAAATAAAATTAAATCAATGATCCCCGCGTAAAAGTTCCATAAGGAGATTAAAAGAGCTGCCCTCTCCTTCGGCACGTTTTTGACTTAGCAATTCTTTGCCTACTTGACATGTTCTCTGAAGATCTGGTATTCGTAGTAAAAGTTCACCAAATTTGGCAGGCATCTCTGGATACCTTGCAATCGTATATTGCTGCAATGCTTGAAGTGCTTTTTCTTGTGAAGCGCGAACTTTTTCTGGTTCTTTTAATTCACTGGTATCTGATGTCAACAATACTATTACTTTCATTGCAACATATTCATACTGATCTACACGAAGTCGTCGAAGATTATTTGTAAATGCAAGCATTCTTTCAATGCATGTTGCCAATCCAAGTTGTCGAGCTTGTTCTAGAGTTATGGATTTACCAAGAGATACTCTAATTTCTCCAGGAGTACTCATACTACGAAAACAACAAGAGAAAAGAAGTAATTCACACCATGAGTTGATGAGTAAACAAATTTGATCATCGATTGAAATATTTTTAAAGAGTGGAAGACTCTTACACCATTTTACTATTTTATACAGTCTGTGATCAGCAATATTGCACAAATTTGAAAGGAAATCGGGATGTTGTGATGAATTTCCATTGGGATTTTCACTTAAATCATTAACAAGTGCTGTACTTAATGATGAATGTTGATCATGATTAGTTTGAGATATTGAACCGGTAGAATTAGGTCTTGAAGAATCTCTTCTTGTTTCAATGTTTCCATTAGTACTTCTTTCACCAGTACTTAAACATGAATCAACACTAGATCCATTTCCACTGGTTTGACTTACTCGATCATTGTCATTATAATGCCAAAGATGCTCAACATCCATTATATCTTGAAGTAATTGTGGTACTACTTGAATTTTGTGAGAATGATTCCAATGATGACGGTTAGAATGATGGTGTTCAGCACCTGGTGGTGCCGGACTGCATGTACCTCCAGTTATTTTTTCTCCAGGCATAACACCTGCTGGGCTTCCTATAAGATTTGTCGGCAATGTGTATGTACATTGATATGTACTTCTACCCCCCCTTGTTCGATCTTCTCTTATTGCTTCCAACTTCATTCCCATGTTTAGACATTTATCAAAGCGACATGCAGGACACTTCTTCCGAGTTGCCACAGTCACAGGACATCCTGCGCCTCTTAAACACACATAATTCTTTCTGTTTTGTACAGTACGTTTAAAAAATCCTTTGCAAGATTCACAAGAAAAGATTCCATAGTGAAAACCACTTATTTTATCACCACATATTGGACAAGGACTGTTGATAAGCTGCTGTCTTGTTGATATTCCTGAGGGTGTTGATGGAATCTTACAGTCTTCTTGATCTTCTGAATGCGGATCAGAGTTAAGCTCAGGAACATTGTAGTGGTGGGCGTTAGTGGCTGACGTTACTGGCAGGTGTAAAGGACTACTCTGTGGTACTTGGTGATGATGTTGATGATGGGCGTGCCTTGGCTGTTGGACGGGTGAATGAGTAGGCGGACTCAAAGATCCATAACTATAACAACTACTCGAGGCATCAGAGTTATTGCGTGACAATGAGTGTGACAGTGATAAAGACAGTGATGATGTTGAATTGTTAAAGCTATGTCGAGATAGCGAAAGTGAAGATGAAGGAACTGGACTACCAGCACCTAAAGCTGAATGTCGAGCCGCATGTGGACTTTGAGTCGGTGAACTAAAAACACTGTATGCCGAGTGAATTGCGGAATCAGGGGACGGAACTTGTGATCTAGTATGACTGTGTTTTGTCAAGTGATGACGAGGATTAAGAACGGGGCTATGGTTTGGAGTAGAACTATTATATCCACCAAGCAATTTTCCCACTAAAAGCGGAAGGTCGCTTTGTTGATTCTGTTCAAGTTCACGCTGTTGAGGATGATGTTGTTGTTGATGATGAAGCTGCTGGGAATGAAGAGGCATTACGGTGTCGGTATGAGATCCAATGTTTAATCCTGGACTCGATCTAAAATCTGGTTCTGGTTTAATAGGAAACTTTTGCTCTTGAATACCAGGACTCGTACTACATATTTGTACACCTTCCATTGACGTTTCTTCATGATCTTGATTAGTTAATGTATTGGAAGACATTTCTTGATCTGAAAGTTCACCCTCCCAAGACATTGGACGTTCTGGTTGCTGATGATGTGAATCTTCAACAATTGTACAATCTGCTTCACCATCACGTTTCTTTTTAGTTCTTAAATTAACTCCTCTAAAATCAATTTTGCTAATTTCTCCATCACTATCTTCAAGATTATCTATAGAATTATAATCTGGAGCTGTCATTGGGCTTTGACTATTTCCACATGATGATACCACCGATACTGTTATGCCATTTTGTCCCGTTAAATATTTTACACTTTTACCTAAAACAAAATATAAATTTTGTTGATTATTATTTACTAAATAACAATTTTATACATAAATAAATGTTTAACAGATATTAAAAGTCAATATTAGTATTATTAGTTTCAAGTACTCTAAAGTATTTTTTTAAAGTTATATTTAAAAATTTTAATCTACCTACTTAAAACTAAAATATTTATTTTTTTTTTGTTGTTAACATTAATTTTAAATTACTAATAATAATTACCATCATGTATTTCCTGTATTGGCGGTACATTTATTGTTGTTACAGACACATTTTTTCCTGTTTCAATAGTGCGTGAAGACGATGTATTATTGTTATTAATATTATTATTATTATTGTTATTATTATTATTATTATTATTATTGGTGATAGTTGAAGAAGTCGTCGAAGTAGTGATAGTAGTAGTAGTAGTAGTGGTAGTAGTAGAAGTAGTGGTAGTAATAGTGGTGGTGGATGAGGAACTTGAAGATAACTTCCATGATTGCGCTGATGGCCACCAGCCCGGGCCCTCTGTGGGCCCGTTTTGCTCCGACATTCTCAGCTGGTGACTAACCTCCGCCAGTAGATCTTTGCGTCGTCACGTGAGCTAGTAATTTTTGCCGGGTTGCTCAGCATCCTGAGCACGACCCACCTTCTAAGAAATGTTGCTCTTTATTTTATCGGGCTAAGATGCTCGAATCTTGATATTTTTTTCTGGAAAACAATCAATATATTTGTTTTTAGAGTTTGTCATCTTATCTACATTATCATTTTAATCTTTAATAATAAGAAAAAACAAAATTTACTAATATAACTTAAAAAAAAAAATAATAATAGTAACACTAGAAGAGATAAAGAAAATTTTATAATAAAATATTAAACTATCAAAATAAATTTGACGGCAAATATATTTACTATAGTTTGTTTTTTATAATAAAGAAAAATATGAATAAAAAATGACGAATAGTTGAGGAGTAGAATGATTTAAAAAAGGGAAAATTATCAAAGATAAAATTAATAAAAATACGTTTTGTATAGTTTTGAAAAATAAAAAAAAAAAAAAACCAATTTAGAGAAATAGTGATAAAAAGCCAGATACTTCCCGGAGAACGTGCGTAACGGTCGTCCGTGCAAGGCCGGCCCACTTCCGGTCCCGCGAACGACCTTCGCGCGGAAATGAACACGCACATGACTAACGAACGATATAAATACAATAAAGATGAATTAAAGTATACAACAGAGGGCGCAATGATCATATTGAAACATGATAAAATGTCTGAAGTGGAGGAAACAGACAGCAGGGTACAAGAGACCACAGTTGCCTTGAAGCTGGTATAAAAAATGTTGTAGTGATATGACGCATGCGAAAGACGGAAAGGGAGAGCTTGCCCATGAGAAAGCTGAGGAAGGGAGTGAAAGGGAGAAGAGACTTGACGCGAAGTCGACAAGGAGAGAATATCTATGCATTCTTGGCATTTGCACATGTGTAAATTATAATTTTTTTTTATATTTCTATAAAAATCATTCAATTTATGTGTATATAGTTTTAAGATTTTCAATGAAATATCAATACAATGTCCAACTAATACTGTTTTATTTTAACGGCTAAAAAATACATTATTTTTTGTTTCAATAAGAAAATAGATAGATTAATTAGTTGATTAATAAAAAAATTTCTTTTATTATAAATTTATATTTAAATAATAATAGAGGAAAAATTTTATAAACTTTTTCCTGCCAAACCGGACCGGACGACAAAACCTCGCAACAGCTGCCGGAACCTGTTCTTAAGCTTTTTATCGGTTAATAAAATAGATTATCACAGGACCAACATTCCTACCGGGCCACCACCTTCTCCGACCTCTCCTCTCGTTTCTAAGACACACACGGTGAAACCGACCGGTTATCTGGTTTGGGCGTTGCTCTATACCACTTTACCTCCCTCTCTCTCCTTCTCTCTTCATACTTTTAAAATTTTTCATTGCTCTCTTATTATAACTTCCACCTCTTCTTATATTCCCCCTTTATAAATTTTTTACCCGTCGATTTCTCAATCTTTTCCATGCATTTATCACCAACTTGTCTTAACTCTTTATAATTGTTTTGCTTATATATTTTAGAAGAATTAATAAAAATTTATGACAATTCAACAAAATGTAAATAAAATAGTGTTAAGATATAACATGAATTAACTCATTTTTTTTTTTTTTTCTAGTTTAAATAATTTATAAGAGGCGTTCGTGTGTCGTTAAAAAGTTAATTTGTTTTTTTTTATAAAAAATGTTTGAATTATCTAAATAAAGTACAATAATTTTTCAAAAATTAAAGCAAATTATAATAATTAACATTAAATACTTATTGACATCTTTATTCAAATGAAAAATTTATATTATTTTACTTTATTTTACTTAATTGTTTAAATTAAGTTTTTCCATAAAACGTACACTCAAAGATGATAAAGTTTTTGATAAACACAAGGGTATGAAAATCAAAAGATTAACGTTTTTGGAAACAGTTGTAGTAAGTCAAGTAACAGTCGTATTGTAAGAGTGAGTAGAAGTTGCGCATGCTCCTCATCATCTTCATCTTCTTGTTATTCTTCTTCTGAACACCGTTGAGGAACAAAGAAAGAAGAGAACAGAGAGGGCGAATGCAAGCATCGATGGTAAGGTCAAGGCCCTCAATGCTCTACCCTCTATGCATTGTGGCGATCACGTGACGCAATTCAAGGTCTCTTATCCCCTCTATATTATTGTGCAGCATGCATTTAAGTTAGACTAGTGCAACGTCTAAAAACAATATAATATATATCTTTCTTTTTTTTTAATTTTTATTTCACTTTATTTATTGCCTTTTTAGCCCTTATTTTACAAAAAAATTTTAACATTTTAAATATATTTTTAATACATCTCGATTTTTGATTTTCTATGTAAACAATTTTCTTCATTCCTGAGAAATGAATTTCTAATACTAATGATATAACAGCATTTGTAATTTTATTCCATAATTAAACAATATAACTCATCATTAAAAACAAATTTTTTCTTCTAAATTTTTCTTATTTATAAAAAGTAGATAAACATTAATATGATTTAATTAATTGGTTTTTAAAACATAAAATTTCAACACAAATTTTTAAATAATTCACAAATTCAATAAACGTTCATAATTATTGTCAAAATCATTGTATTAAGGTGTATCTAAATTAAGTTTAATTATAAATTAATATTGAAATGATTAAAGTTAACTTGACGATTGTGTAATGTAATATTTTCCCCTTTCGTGTTGCCTTATACATTTTATGTTGAATATGTATTCTAACACACGTTCTTCGTCCAAATGTCAGCTTTTCTCAGTTTCTATGTCAATTCTAATATTTGCCTCTCTCTTACTCTTTTTCTACTTCATATCAACATGCCAACTCGTTTGTATTATATTATGTTATATGTTTTCCTTTCACCAAACTCTTGATCCTTGCTTATAGTTTATACATACACCACATATCTTCAATATCGCACACTAATAAAAGAAACAGAAAGTAGTGAAAAAATATACATTATTAGATTTTAGAACTCTACTCATTTGATTTACTATTGTTTTATACATAAAATGATTATTAAAAAATATTTTCTATCTATATATTTGTATTTTTGGAAAATTTTGAGTAAGTGATTCACTATACAATATTTAGTGTATATAATATTTTTCATTATACTATTATATGAAAGAAGTTATATGTATATTGAATACTACAAAATATATCCTATTCTGGATATAGTCAAATTATCTATTACTTATTCAGTTGTTTTTCAAAAATATAAAAAAATCTAGTGGGAAGGAAATTAATGACTTTGATAAGTATATTGAAAGAAATAATAAATAGATTGAGGTTAGCCATTATCCCATGAGAATCGTGGCTTACGTAATATCTTCGAGGACGATGTCAAAGTCATAATCGAAAGGACGAACGTTCTCCTCAATCACCATCTTTCCCTTCTTTTCTTTCTACTACATATAAGAAAGTCTGTTTATACTTAAAAAAATATATAATATAGTCATCAAGAAAAATATCAAAAAATTGACAATATATTATACACACTTTTTAAAATTTCAATTATCAAATAATATATTAATATAAAAATTTTATTATTCTGTCAAAGAATAATCTCCAGAACTAAATCAATTGGGAGCATTGCAACTAATGTAAGGTCGTCGATCGTTCGCGCAAGAGAGCAGAAAGTACAGTTACGTGGTTGCCCCTCATGATCGTACAGGCGAGAAGTCTTTACGAATCTTTAGGGGGATTAAGTTGAATTTGGACTAGAAAGAAAATAAAATAGTGATTGAATGAATTTAAAGAAATATATAATAATTTAATATTTAGAGGAAAAAAAAAATTTATTTCAAAATTAATTCATACTATGTAACCAAATTTAATACTTAATGAATTTTTATAATATATAGTTACAAAACAATTGTAATAAATAATTAGTAAATCTTTATATTTCTAACATAGCTAATAATTTATTCAAATAAAATTAGATGTGTTTACGAAAATAAGTGTTTAAAGTGCCGTCATTCATGCAGTGAGTTGATAATAGATTAATCAATATTCATAAGCATTGCCCTGTCTATGATCCAAGGATTCTGAATGATTTCCACGAAGACACAAATATATAAATCAATAATAATAATATTCTAATTTAAATTAAATAATAGCATATAATCAAGAGAGTTGAAGCATTATTGTTGCAAATATCTTACGTAGGATGTAATATACATTGAATGTACGGCAATGTATAATAAAAATGTAAGGAATATACATCAATCACTTCAACGTGTGGTGTTTGAATGACAAGGAATTAGGTTACACATATTATTATAATATTCAGAATAGGTATGTACAATTAATAAATATACTATACGTATGAGGTTCAGTTACGTGTTAACTACTGTATATTAGATAAACAATACAACTCATACGTAAATTGTTATGTTCATGAATCAACTATTGACGAAGTAAAAACTTATTGTCTTTTTTACAGTTGAGAGTTATTAATAATATTAAATAAATAAATGAAATGAAAAATTGGAAAGATTAATAATTAATTTAAACTTTTAAACCTCATAGAAAAGTCGACTATGAAATCGGTCTGGATGCAGCTTTTCGAGGTCGGTCATCGAGCTCCAGAGAATCTGCCAACATAAACAAGTCGTGCTGACAGGAGCGTCAATTGTATTACCGTAATCCCGTCAATATACCGCTAAGTCAGTCTACGTTAACGATGTAAGAAAGACATTCATTCCCGTTTCCATTTCTTCTGATAGTATTATTTTTGTTCATGTTCATATATATATATATATATATATGTATACTGTGATAATTGTTCGTTCATTGGAATTAAATACATTGATAATCGTTAAAACAAAAAAAAAATGTATAATGAATATTAAAAAGAATAATTGTGTGATAAATTCAATAATTGTTTGGAAATCGAAAAATAATAACGGCATTTACAAGATCAAATCATAGTTGGAGATATGAAGAGAGAACATTTCAAGGTCAGTTAGACTGTCAAAAGCCTGTTATGTACTTTGAAATATCAACATAAGTTGCTCACTTACACATATCATGACATTTTAACGTTTCTACTTTGTCTTTGAGACAGGTTTAAGTTTCCAGAGTTGTCGTCACGTGCCAGAGAAAGCCAGAGAAGTACAGAGTTAATAAAAAAAAATATTAAAAAATGTGTCAAGTATTAACATCGCTAACTGCATTGTTGTAATGATACTCGTATTTGCAATGCTATTTATAATATTTTAATAATTTCAATTTTTTATGTTTATGGTTAAATAATTATTGAATCTTTTATAAGTTATTTCATATTTGACATAAAATTAAAACAAATTTGCGTTTTTGAAAGTAAAAATGATTCATTCAAATATTTAATTAATAAAGAAGTTAATCAATTAGCAACAAATAAATACATAATATTATAAACAAAGATTTGATATTTTTGACATAATAAAAATGTAAATTCAATAAGTAAATAACTCGACTAAGTGGTACATAACCACTTTATTGAGACGATATACCGGTGTTTTAGAGCTTTTTTCAACAAGTACATTATATTTGCGGCGATTTCAGGAGCACTCTCACCAGATCGGCCTCGCTCGTGACTTACCTCATACTCTGTGGTTCCTCGAGACCGTGTGCACCACTCTAATACACGCGCACAAGACACACAGGGCCACGCACTCTCTTTTTTGTTCCTTCTCCTTCTTACACGCTCAAGTCGCGTTGTCGTTGTCGTAGTTGTCTCACTTCACGTCCTCTTCCCCTCCAATACACTCACATATCGCTGTTGGCTCTTTCTTTCTCTCACCCGCACACTCTTTTTCACTAGTCACTTGATACTAAAAAATCCTTAAGCTCTTTTTTTTGTCATTCTTCTTTCCTCAATCTATTTTCTTAATTTTTATATAATATCCATATTTCTAACCTTTTTTGTTCGACCTTATTCAATCTGATTCATCACCTTAGCCGAACACAGACAAACAACATTCCAATAAATGTTTCTGACAAACCTCTCGAAACAATTTGCAACCACCAGGAAGAGATCTTTATATTTTAAAGGTACCAGACCTGATGGCGATGACGACGCGTACCTAGTTCAACTGGTGAACAGTTAACGGGTCAATGACGATTACTTTATGGCACACCTTTGTGTTACGTTACAACGGATTTTATAAGGCACACTTGCGCCGCAGATTTCTCTATCTTCGACTCGTCTCGTTTCTTAAACTACCACGAGTCCGGGCTGCGCTGGCCAAGAGCTTGGCTAAGAACGTTTGTTTCAACCTAACCAAGTTACTATCAACCGTGATACAGTGCACCGACGCCAGAGGCCGACTAATGGTTGTCTGTTTTATTACGGCCATATTTCTATTTTGTTAGTCATCGACTAAATACTTCTAGATAAGAAAACTTACTTGTTTAATAAAGCAAGTTTTAAAAGAACTCATTGTATAATACTGTTTCACAAATAATTTACTATTTTACAGGAGAAGTATAAATATTTTCAATACTTACTTCAAATGAAAATATTAAATTAATGAGCTGATGAATTATTGAATGTCAATAAAGTAGAAAAGTGAGTAATCATTATATGGTCATTGTTGTCAAATACCAGATGACAATAAGAATAATTTCAACATATAAATTACAATATTATTTATTGTTTTTATTATAAATCAAATTGTAATGAGATAAATTTAGATAAAAAATTCTGTATGTAGATATTAAAATAAATTATAAACAATTAATTCATTTTAAAGAGCAGATTTCTATAATGTGTTTTATGAAGTTAGGTATCTTTATGTTATTCAAGTATAAATTTATTGATTATATTAAATAAAATAAAAACTCTTATTAATCTTTTAATTGTATAAAGATTTAATTGTTTCGACTAGTAGCTATTTAAAACTCTTAAAAAATAAGAAAGTAGAAACAGAAAATTATAAGGCGAGTTTGACGGCATATTTTCTTGTTTTCTCATATGTCAATACAGTCTTTGTATCAATTTAAATTCCGAAAACAATGGACACCCTTGTCTCAAACGTGACGTTAGTAATTACATTTATTGCTATTACTTCTAATCGAATTACCTAACTATCCATCAAGCTTCCTCAAATACTGATCGTGCCAGGTAATATCCGCTAAGTTACAGTGCCTCTCAAGATATTACTCAAGCAACTTTCGGACAATCACTACTATCACCATTTATATCATGTAAATATTTTTAACCTCAATATCCTATATAATGTTAATTTTACAAATTAAAAGTATTGTTTGTTGTAATGTAATTTGTTTATTAATTAAAATTTAATTTAAATCTAGACAATATTTTATTATACAAAAAAATTACAAAAATAAAGAAAAATTTTCAATTGCTGCATGCAAGAGAAAAGAAGATGCTTATTATGTAGCTTAGAATTTCGGAATAAAAGTTTTTCAACGATCTTGATTTAAAAAATTCGATAAAATAACATCAATATGATGTAAATGAAAAAAATCAAAAGTGACATATTATTTTGTAATGTCTGCAGATGCAGAATTTCTATTTATTTAATTTACCAAAAAATTAACAGATAGAATATTAATTACGAATTTTGTGAATGTTTTTATCTTAGTTTTTTTTTAAATTTAAATTGCGTTTATCACTGACATTGTTTAATAATTGCGTAAATAACTGCAAACGAGACAAACTCTATTGTGTAGGAAATTCTGGGTGACTCTCCTTTTTTGCAATCTTTTAACACGCGATCCATCGATCTGTTTCCTTCGTCATTTATTTTTCCAATTACAATAATAGTTGTTCTACTTTTATATTAAACTAAAATTTTGAAACATTCGCTTTTTTTTCATCAAATTTATTGTCAATAATAAATGAGAAAATAAATTTTTATCATATTATTATTTAAATACATAATTTGATTGATACAAAGAATAAAAATTAGTATAAAGATTTTCTATGATTTAAACTGATCATTGAATAAAAATGTTATTATTCATACTATCAGAGACAATAAATATTATCTACTATTTTTTACTAGACAATTAGATGTAAATTAATATGCCAACAGAATTATTTCATTCTCATGAATGAAATCTCAACAACCACGTGATGTTCGAGTGATCGGTTAAATGATGGTCCGGCAGATGCCGCTCACAATGTTTGTGTCGATTGCTTGAAAACACCTGACGACTCACAGTGCAGCATGAACTTGTGCGCCAACAACTTCTTAAAAACATTAGTAGTTTGTTTAAATATAAATTATTTTAGTTTATTAACGTTCTTGGCAAATCAAAATAAAGGCAAAAATATATTTTAACAATATTTAATTTTATTATAATTAACATATAATAAATACTGTTATCAAAAAATATATTCATTTTATTGAGAGTTATAAAAATTTGTGAAGTGACATTTTAAGAAATGAAATGAAGATGGTTAAGTAAATAATTAAGTTGATTGAATAATAGTTTGTAAGAAATACACAAGTGGAGGATTGTTATTGGGTTGAGTAAATTACACAAGTGTCTAAGAAATAAAATACGTAAACAAAATGTAATCAAACGCGAATGATGCTTCGTAAAACGGAGTGAAGGCTCCTCTGAGAGCGTTAAAGTGTTGGTTAATTTTTTTATTACACTATCAAGATGATATTCGTTCGATTGGTGCTAATTACAACGTTACTATTACTAATTCTTGGGAATTCAAAGAGCCAGCGGCCAGATGAACTTGTTTCTTTAATCAAAGATCGTCAACTTATTAATAAAGGTAAAAAATAATTAAAAGGTATTAATTACAATATTAATATTAATAATATTATTAAAAATATTATTTCACGATACTTTTGATCTATTGATAAATTTAATAGCTAAAAACTCGTCAAATACATTTCAAAACTGAAAGGTAGATAAATAACAATAAGAATAATAGAGTAAAATAAATAGATAAAAAACATAGAGATCCTGGGTCACGTGAAAACTTGAGAGCTCTTTCATAGTTATAGAATCGTGGTTGTTGGTAAAGAGAATGAGAGACGACGACGATGGTGAACGTCTGAACTTTATTAGCACGAAGAGAATGAGCACGAGTAGAACATACGGGCAAGTCGAACACTGCGGCCTTTGCTCTCGCCTTCCTATTTCTTCGTATCGCGTGAAAGTACTGCATCTGTACATTATTTACTAAGAGCACAGTTTCAGAATTTACTTTATTTATTTTTTAATTTCAAGATTAAAATACGTTCAATTATTGTCAAAAAATTATCATCCATTTTTTTTGTTTCTAATTTTTTTTTCACGAAAATGAATGTAACTAATAATTAGTTCAATTCATGTAAAGAATTTACTGCCGTTATAAATAAATAAGTGATAATATATTAAATTTGCTAATGTATTGAAAAAATTACTTCTGTTAAACAGAAAGCAAGGATGTAAAAACGGTGAACAGTATTTAGAAACTCATGTATGCGATAAGTCAAGTAACATATAGTATGAAGTGCTTATTAAGTTTCACTTGTTGAGAAAAGTGTACGTATAATTTTACTATATAAAAATAATAACGCATTGATGTATGCTATACGAATAACATTTATATGAATATATATATATATATATTCATATAAATTATTATATATATATTATGTCTAAATTGTCATGCTTAATGTGTATATTTAATAAATACAGGAGATGCGCTTGGCCGTTTTCAACTCAATGAGAATATAATTAGCACTAAAAATACAATATAATTCGCGCATTATTTAATTACAAGCATTATTGTGACAGACAGGGAGATGGTTATCAGAGAAAAAGAGAAAAAAACTAAATCTAAAAAAATATAAAATTATGATAGTATCGAAATAATACTTTATTGAGCGTTTGCATTACAACTAGTTCTCATGACACAAATTTATATCTTATTACTATTTTCACACATTCTTCTTGCAGGCGTTGATGATGTATTGAGCATTTGAGCTATAAAAATGTATAAAATAAGAAAATATATTTGAATATCATTTAATACGCAATTGATGCGTGTATTTTTACAAAGCAACAAATGATGTGCGTTCAGCTGGTCGACTCAATTCAATACCAATTGCAAAATCTACGTAAGGGTGATATATGTATATACTTTCTATTAACGATTACTTCGGAATCGTGAGAAGGTTAAGCAGTAGATATTCATTTACTAAATCATTTTATCATTTATTTTGTACTTTACATTTTGTTAAGAAAATTTAACCAAATTATTATTATTCTTATTTATTAATATGGGAAAATTTCATTCATTAAATTCCTTAGCATGAACAAAATTATTTGTCTTACTTATTATTAATTTTAATAATAAATTTATGATCGTCATATCTACAGATATTCTATTTATCTTTTCAATTTATTAACTAATTAACTTTAAAATTTTTGAATAATATTTAATATTCAAACAATTAATTGATTTTTGAAAATAAATTATACTATGGTGATGACATTGATTACGTGATTTTGATATTAGCTTTAAAGTATGCGATTTTTCTCTTCTTCTATTTATCAACTATCTGCAGGAAAGAATCCTTGCGTGTTCAAAGTTTGCCCCGATTTTTTGCTAATTTTTTTCTACGAAACTCACGCAACAAGAGAGGCATAAATTGTCGGCAAAGTTTCGATATAAAATTGATAAAATATACATCGATAAAATACATAAAAATTCAATTAAAAATTTTAGAATACTAATAGTCAACGTATCAAAAACTGATAAATAATATGAAAGAAAAAAGAATAAACTTATTGTTTCTGTTTGAATTCAAAATGAAAATAATTTTCTAAATAAAGTTTTTTCTAAATGATTTCCTAGGTTCATCCAATACAATTACATGTATTTCTGTTTAGTCAAACCTATAGATGCAATCACAATGTAGGTGTAAAGACGTACTCTCGTATTTAATTAGAAAGTTTCTCTTTCCTGTGTAAACTTTATTGCCATTATTTTTTTTTTACCATTTATTTGTATTTAAATCTATATTATTATTATAAATTTACATAAGTTATTTTATAATTAAATTTTACATTTGGTTAAAATTTATGTTACAATTATCTATTTTTAAGAAATAATTAGTAAAATTTGGATGCTACAAAAGTTAGTTATTTTATTGTGATGTAGTCTAGTCTACTCGAGATATTATATGATTGTTCGTCAACAAGTGAAAAAAAATGAGCTTAAAAAATTTTCACTTTATGCTCTCTAGTTTTTACTTTATATTTTTATAAAATATGAATGGTAAAAACAAGAAAAAAGTTTAATTTTATGTATATTACATTTAACTATAAAAAAAAAAATTCCATTTGTTTATACTGAATATAATTAATGTTATTGATGATTTTGTTCACATTAAATTTATTTTTGATTCGAGATAATCTCAATCGTGTAGTATGAGTAAGATCCAATTCACTGGACAGAAACATGGTGATTACATCGACTAAAGAGGCGCGTGCAAGCTCCAGAGTTATAGGTGTATATATTATTTTATAGAATCTCATGGGGCGAATCTCTCGTTAATGCTCAAGGTCACAGGTTATGTCTATCATATTGTTTAGCTGGTTGTAGAACGTTTGTATCCATAATAGCAGTGCCTACTTGAGCATACTATAGACTCTATTCCATGTCGAGATAAGTACTCGTAACCAAATAAAGGGGTGGAAATAAACAAAGATTCTGATAAAACTTTAATAAGAATAAAACTATATATCCTACCTATTATATTTGATAAAATTAATTCGATGGTTATCACATGATATCACATGTATTAATTATATTTTGTATAGTGGTTTTTATTATCTTCTATCTAGAGATGGCTAAAAAAATATATGAAAAAAACATATAATTAAATTTAAAAAATCGATTTAAAAAATTAATTTTTAAAATTTCTCTATTATTTAGAAGAATACATTTTTTCAGCATTGAGTAGCATATTGAATTGCTTTGTTGACATCATGCTTTTTAGATGAGTCAGGACCTTTCTATTCTGGAGAAAGTCGTTGACCTATTGTAAAAAAAAGTTAAACTTAGATGAGAAGGAGCTGAGAGTGTAAAAAAGTTGTGTAAAGGTTCAGTCAATTCACAATTGCTTTTTATAAAGAAAGAATCGATTTGCAATTATAGAAGTTTATTAGCTAGATCGAATACAGGGTATTACAGTAAAAGAGCAAAGAAAAAAATGAAAAAACTACTGCACAACGGGAGGGATACTTTTAGATCATGGTTTATACTTAAGAAAGTCAATGACCTAAAAGGTCTCATCAGATTCAAGTTCACGTATAGAAGATAATGTTATACCATTATTGATTATTTCAATTTCATTTAATAATTTATTTTTTAATTTCTATTATTTTTGTATTTCTAACAAAATTACTATTAAAGATAAAACTTTAATACTTGAAAATAACAAACGATGATAAATTCTTATTATAAACTAAAAGTCTAAAGTTCATATACATATATTTGCTATTATCAATTGATTAGTTGATAATTATACTTAGTACATTTGATTGCATTAATTTTTAAATAATTAACAATTGAATTTAATGATAAATATGAAAATATGCTGTTAGAAATAGATTTAAAAAATCATAAATATTTGTGTCAGGATTGGTAATGATATCTTCGTGCTTCTGCGGCAAATGATTGTTGCCAAAGATAATTTAACATATATTTGCGTCTTGGTGTCCATGCAGGTAAGCGAATGGAATAATCCCACGCGTTTGATTCTCCATGTTTGGTAGACACGTGCACAGAAGAGAGAGAGAGAGAGAGAGAGCAACAATGTGTTTCTTATGTACCTAAAGGATTACTTATTCAGGATTATAGAATTATAGAATAGCACTGGATACGTCGAGATATTGTCGCGTTTTACAGAAGCTACTGGACCAATACGTTTATAGATGATGGTCTTATTTTGGATGCTTGAATAAAATGAGTTTAGAAAAATTTCAAAGTTTATGTAAATATTTCATGACCAAAATGATTAATTATTTGATAAATCAATCATTTTTGAACTAAAATTCAATTAGGAATAAAGAGATATTATGTATCAAGTTCAATGCCCTTGTAATGTTTTATAGTCCTTGTAATATGAAACCATGAACTGTTGGTGTGGTTACAAGAGGTGGATGAGTGTCTTCTGCTCTCGTCTTTTCTTAGAGATCATAAAAATCACCAACAGACCTGTTTCCTATCTCGCACTGGCATTAAATCAGGATCTCACAGACAACTACTTGGCTACGCGTTTCACCTATTCTCTCACTTTTTAAAATTTTTTTTTAACGTTTTTCCACTTCCTTCGACAAGGTATATACATCTACAGCTTATTGGAATTCAACATCACCATCGCAAAAGGATTTACGCCCTTTCGAGACATAGAAATAGAAACCAAGGCAAATAAAAGCTGCGTAACTTGAGATTCACAGTAAAAAAAATATTTTTTATTTTTCTTGTGTTTTAAAAAATATTATAAGTTATACGAAGGTTATTTTTATTTGGGAAAACGTCTATAAAAGCGAATGGGAATAGAAGCAGCTTTTTCCGTTCTTGGAGTTTGCACTTTTTTTTTCTTTAGCTATTACTGAATCGGGATCTCATGTACTTGGTACTTTGCTACGTGTTACGTTGTTCTTGTGGTTCGTAGAATTACATCAAGGCTCACTACGACTTGTGCTGCTCCCGAGAAACAGGAATTTGCGCTTAAGAGTTTTTCCCAAGTATTTTTTTTTTTTTTAAAACTT